CTGTCAACTACGAACTGCCTCATAAAGTACTGTTCCCGAGTACAGAGGACTGGATCCTCCAGGAGAAGGAAATATTAGGAGCAGATAGTTGTAGGTTCACAGATGGATCAAAAACATCTTCCGGTTCTGATGCAGGTGTTTTCAACCGCAGATCCCGTACATAGATATCAACCTGTCTAGGAACCTATGCCTAGGAACCTATTTCAAGCGGAAATTTACGCTATTGAATTGTGTGCGGAAAGATTGAAAGAATCCACAACCGCATACACAAGTCAATAAAAATATTCTCGGACAGTCAAGCGGCGTTAGAAGCTCTTGGATCCTGCCAATTAACGTCTGAATTGGTATCAAATTGCCAAAAACGACTCTCTTCGATAGGAAGACTCAACATATTGTCTCTGGTGTGGATTCCTGGCCTGGAAGGCAATGAGGCTTCTGACTTCCTTGCAAAGGACGGTGCTGCAAACAGCTTCATCGGACCAGAACCTGGCAGACTTCTGGCAGAATCTTCCAGGATTGGCTCACTCTAAGGCGTTTATTCGCCCTTCGAAGCTTGATACCAAACATTCGTTAGACTACAGTAGGGATGAACTACAATGTCTAACTGGCCTTCTTACAAGTCATTGTCATTTGAGTCATCATAGGCAAAGTTTCGGTGGACTGTCGGAAGACAGTGTATGTCGCCTCTGTTTGGAAAATGATGAAACAGCGGAGCACATACTTTGTGCTTGCCCCGCTGGGGGCCGAATCAGGTTTTTAAAATTCGGCAGAGCCGTACTCCTACCATCTGACCTGAAAGACCACTCACCATACAAACTAATCGGCTTCGTTAGTGAGCTGGGTTTATTTAGTCGAGTGTGAACACAATACATCCTTGCGGGTTGCGGTGGAGGGTCGACTAAACTCACTCACTTTGGACCTAACCTAACACAACCTAACCTATTACGAGGGTGGTTTGAAAATTTTCCGACCCAACAAAGGTACAAGACATTTTTTCAAATTTTTTTAATATTTTTCAACATAATCTTCTTTTAACTATACACACTCCTCCCAGCAATGCTTCCATCTCTGTAACCCATCCAAATAGTACTCGGTGTTTTTCTCTGCAATATAATTGTTCACAAAGGTGATCGCCTCTTCATTTGACGAAAGTCAATTTTCGCAATTTTCAGATGAGGGAACGAAAAGAAATCGCTTGGGGCTAAATCTGGTGAGTAAGGAGGACGGTCGAGCAGTACAAACCGTAATTCGTGGATTTTCGCCATGACAACCGCTGAGGTGTGAGACGATGCGTTGTCTTGGTGAAACAGAATTTGCTTCTTCCGCAAATGTGGCCGTTTTTCCGCAAGTTCTGCCTTCAGCTTGTCAAGTAATGAAGCGTAGTATGCTCCTGCAATGATTTTTCTTTTTTGATGATAATCGATTGAAATGAAAATAGTCGCCATCACTTTCCCAGCCGAAAAAACAGTGTTTGCTTTTTTTGGAGCCGGTTTCCCCTTTGCGGTCCTTTGCTTGGACTGTATTTTTGTTTCGAGCGTATAATGGTATATCCAATCTCATCTACAGTGTTTAATCGGCGCCAAAACTTGGATTTATTGCGCCTAAACTGCCCCAACAGAGCCTTGGGAATGTTCATTCGAACACGTTTTGGGCTAACATGAGCAAACGAGGCACTCAACGCACGTACAGCTTTATCATGTCTAAATGTTGATTCAATATGTGACAAACACGTTCTTTCAACATGTTCATAACCTCTACTATCTCTCTTACTTTAATTCGGCGGTCGTCAAGCACCATTTAATGAACTAAAACGATGTTTGTGTCGGTAGTTTCGTCAATTTTCATAAAAACACTCACATTAACTCACTCAAACGACTGTTACATAATAACTGCACGTCCAAAATGGCTGAACCTTTGTGAGTCAACAGATGAACAACGAAATGCACTAGTTTTTACTTACGAATACTGCTATCTTCATGTTGAGTTTGGAAAATTCTCAGACGAACCTCGTATTCCTTGTCATTTTATTCACTAGCTGTGTAGATCCAGTTCAACAAAGCAGTTCGAAAATTGGATTTCCTCATCATTCTTACTTCTTTTGACGATCCCTTTCAAATCGTGCAACTCGCGTCTTTCGCTTCTTCTACGGCAAATTTCTAACAAAAGGAACAAGGAGTGTCCCTACAAGTCCTACGGAATCTTGTCTTTACTATTTTACTCTCTCGGTTACCAGACAGCTCAGAACCAAACATTTAAAACGCAGAGTATAAATCTTGTTCGTAATTTTTTCTGTCTGGCTCTCTGATCAAGTTTATGTAGCTGGTTGTTTATATCCAGGCCTCCTATGCAGTAAAACAGTAGATAATTTGATATGCACAGACTACGAGACGGCTAGATGCGGTAGAAGTGCGTTGGCATCGCGCAAAAACTCCCTTCAATTGAATTGAGGTATGAAATCGGTCGGGAAAAATAATTGATGGATTGACGGGTTTCATCTTCAATAGATCCGTAGTGTGGAATACAAGTTGATTTTTCCCAAGAATAACAACCATGTACATTCGATAGGAATTTCAAAATTATCCAACTCATTAGTCTTTTCGAGAAAGTCGCTATAAAAGAACTTTGGAGCAGACGAGGCAATAAATGGATACCCACTTGAAGAATTTCTGTTATTTTCTCTTACCACTTCCCGAAGATGTTATAAAATTTTGTGAGTTGTAACTTGAGTCGATATTGTATATCGAGTCAAGTTTCTCTTAATGCGAGAGGTTTTCGTAATTTTTTTCGATTTATTCTGTTTTAAAATCTGTTTTTCCGTTAATCAGCTGTCGCCCCCATACGAACGACAAATCTCAGGAGTTGAGAAACTTGTGCGAGCTAAGGACTAACGAGGTCTTACCTTTTAACGTGTGATTCCTATAAAAAGTGCCATCCTTCTGTGCTTCCTTAGTTAATAAATGAAAACTTACATAATTGCAATATTGATACTGTTGTACTTCTTTTACTGCCTACTATTTTGCCTCGAAATTCTAAAAACCATAACTTTTTCAATTTCAACTATTTGCATTTAGTATACAATTATATAAAAATATATGAACCACGAGTTTCTGTAAGAAAAAGTTCGTAATATTGTTGGGTATAGAGACTCTCTAAAAAATGAATAGACATCGAAAGAGGGTCCAAATAAGACAATTGCTCTTAATGTTTATACCTCTTCAGTTATTCATACACTAAAGTACTTTTTTTTCAGGTCTGGCAGTTTGGGCTCGGCAAAACCAGTTCTGGACATAGAACAAGGCCCGTCTGCTGCACACAGTTGATGATTTTATTCGGATTAAAAAAACCTGTTAAAAATATGTTGTTTTGTTTGCGTTTTATTTAAAAAGTATCTAACTGATAATTCATTTTCTTTGGAATGAAAAATGATCACATTCATTTGTTTATATCAACTTTTCAACGAAAATACTCACGATTTGTTCTAGATAGTTCGTGCTGATATTTTATCAAATACGTCATTTCTATAGTATTTGACTTTCTACTGGATACAAACTGGAACAAACACCCATTTGATGAAGGTACTACTTTCAAACAGATAAACATTAAATTTTATGAAAATCACCTTTTCTATTTGTGTTCCAAACATTCGTTATAGAATTGAAACAGATCATTCACAGGAACACTAGAAAACGTAATATAAGAAAAGAGTACCTACATGAAAAATGAGAAATGATACTTTCTGTTTTTTACCACTAATACGATAAAACTTCAGTTTTATTGTATTAGTTTGAAAATGACGATATAGGACGAAACTGCAGTAACGATTGTTACAAATAAAAGTGGTGAAAAACGGGAGTTTCATTTTTCATGATGATATCCTGCCACGTAGTTAACGGCTACATAAATCAATGTATTGAAAGAATACATTCTTATGAAAATTCACTTGTATGATAATATATCATATTCTTGTCGAAGTTTCAGATCGAAACAATTGTTTTCAACTCCTCATCAAGACCGTTTTGAACTTTAGCATAGAAAAATACGTATTTCTCCCACATGATTACGACTTATTCTCAGTTGAAGAGACGATTCTATTTTCACGATAACGGTTCATAAAAACTTTCATATTATTGTGTCAAAAGCTTTTTTCCTTTTTTTTTAGCTGTGCTCCCAAAAAAAACCGGACAGCTTTGACACAGTCATCAGCGGCTGTGAGAGTTTACATTTTTTGGTTGATATAATTATTCGATTTGATTCCAGCCATAGTAATTTCGTCAGAGTTTCTCACAAAAGTTTAATCTATTCTTGAAAAATCCCATTTTTATTCAAAATTCGAAAGGAAATAACCGTTTTAAGAATTGAACGTTGAAAGATAAGACCTCGTTAGCCCTTAGTTCGCACAAGTTTCGACTTCTGAGAATTGTCGTTAGTAGGGGTGCGACAGGTGGTTAACGGAACAACAGATTTTAACAGATAAACACAATGTTAAAACGATCTGTCATCATGACAAGAGCAGAATTGTCTCATGGTGACATGATTAAATGTTAATCTTGTGCGAGAAATGCGAGTTTTTTTCTACTAAAGGTCATAAAAGAGTTGAGAAGGAGTTGAAGACAAGTGCACCATAAGAATGATATATTTCCATATAACTTAAGTTTCATATCAATACTCTCCAAACATTTCTTTGTGGAGTGTTCCTGTGAATGATATTTGTTTCAATTCTATAATTGAAGTTTGGAGTACAAACTGAACAGGAGAAAGTAATTTTTGAGTAATTCAATGATCATATGTTTGAATGGGTTGTTCTTTCTCTTCCAAAATTTATCTGAAAGAAACTTATGTGCATGATCTACATATTTTTGTAAATAGTTCAATTTGAACCTCATTACTTTCATTCTTTTGTTGTGAATATTCCACCTTTTCTTAATAATGAAAGATTGCTGCTGAAGGGAGAAGTAAAGTTTTGAATTTCGTATCAATATTGTACCTGCTAGGATTCAAAAATGATCTGTGGACAACAATCTTCTGAATACCTTTCACTAATTATTTTGTTTTTGTTTCAGGAGCTCCTCATTTCCCGCCTGCAACGCGAAAAATGCGATCAGCTCAAAGCCCTCAGTTCCAAGCTGCTCCTCTTTGAGTCGCGACTGATCCGAAAACAGAAAGACATCTCCACAATGCTCAACATCCGAGAAAACATCATCAGCAGACAGCAAAGAATAATCGAAACGCTCTCAAACAGACTCAGCGATAACGGCCTAGAAATTCCTCAGTTAGAAATCAGCGAATTGGAAACGAACTTGCCAGATTTAGATTCCCTAAATGACTCAGATAGCGCGGTAGTCCTAGAAGACGTAGACTCCGATAGCACGTACCATGTTCCCAAGTTCCGAACAAACACAGACGGTGTGACCGTCATGCGGTCCATATCTGACGCCATCGACCCGAACTTGAAATACACCTCGGTGAGAAGAAACAATGGTTTTCTACGCAGACCGGAGATCCTGGAAACAGTCTACAGCGTGGAAGAAGATGCAGACAACGATATAGACAGTAAGACTGAGGCAAACAGAAAACGGGAGTCTTTCGCCAATCGAGGTAAATCAAACTGTAACGTCGAAAGCGGAAGCATAAGAGAAAAATCACTCGAAGAGAAAATAGCTGAGCTTCCCAGTTGGCCCTATACCAACGGTGAAAAGAATATCGAAGAACCCACTGAGGAAAGTCCGAAAAACCAGGTAAAAACTTACAACCGGGTTATGTCAAATCACAGATCCGTGACGAAACCAAAAGACGTGAAATACAAGAGAATAAACAAGGCCAAATCGAAGAGTCTAGAAGAGTTGAGGGGAAGACTGAAGAATTGGGTAGAACAAGGAAATAAGTTGAATGGACTCTCGCTGGAACACAGTCAGAGTTATGCCTAATATTCGATGAATTCCAGATTTGAGCTGTACTGCAAAATGTGTACTTTGATTATTTTCGCATCACTAATATTTTGGTTATTTGTGGCTGTTCAATTTTTTGATGTTTGATGGAAAATTTTCTTTTTCTCCGATTCGCAAAACAATGCTAACTGGCAACTGCAAAATTTGTTTTTAATGTCGGCCTTTTAAGACTAATTCAACCTTAAGAGTTCCATCTGCTGATGAAGTTGCACCCAGCAATATTTTTTACTGGACCTTCATATTATACTGGAAAGCAACCCCTAAAAGTCATAATAAATCCGAGAAAAAGCTGTTTTAGTCAATGTCAAAATACCTCAAGTTGGAATATTTGGAATACCAATAGTTGGAATATTTAAAAATTCTTACTTATTACACACTAAATCATGAAACGAACCTACATACAAAATTTCAGCCTCCGAAACTATAGCGGTGCAGAGAAACAGGGATGAATAGGTAACTTAATTTTATGAATGCCCCTTTTCTCCCGCAGCTGGTGTTTTTGGAATATTTGAAAATCATTTCCTATTGTACATCTACAATATAGAAAGAACATACATACAAAATTTCAGCCTCCGGAAATATAGCAGTACGGAGAAAGGGATGAAAAGGTAATGTTCATATGTAAATGCGCCCCTTTTTCCCCCACGGGGGACGCCCCAGTTAGAATATTTCAAAATTTTCTCTGTGTGCGCGTCTAGACCTATAAAGCACCTGTATACCAAATTTTAGCTTCCTAGGACTCGCCAGTACGAAGAAACAGATATGTAACCTTTTTTATTAAGTTCTTTAGAAATAGGGATCGACACTTAGTTCTTGGAAGTGCCACGATTTAAAAAAAATACGTGTAGATGCATATTATTCCAAAACATCTATTTCTTCAACGTCACCAAAGGTGTGAAGTACTTAAGGTGTTCTTGTCATGTGATGTCTACAATAAGACTAGAAGAAAAACCTGTTTTCAAGTTGGTTTAGGTTTTATTCTGATACTCATTGTAGTTTCCCAAAAATGTTATAGGATCAGACTTTCTACAAGCAACGGCAATCCAAAAATTATATCAAATACAGCGACTGGCTTGAGGAGCCATGAAATAACACCAACCGCGGCAATGGAATTAATTACTGGTCTGATCCCTCTGCACCTGTACGTTAAGGAGGTTGCGTTAATGGTCATGTTACGATTGCACACGGCTGGTGTAAACCTCGAAGTAAGAATGGGTCAATTGAGGCTGAGTCTATGGCGAGAAGCGCTTACTCCGCAACCTCTGCTGCAGGTAACCAGTGATGCAATTGAACCCATGTTTGTGTTTAATAAACCCTACAAAATACAAATGAAGCAGAACACGGAGTCAGATGCTACAAATGCAATACACATATAAACAGATGACTCAAAAACCAAAGAAGGCTCAGGATGTGGAGTGAACTCCAGATAACTAAGCCTAAGGATTAAGTGGGGAATGGGAAAAAAACCCGCGTGGTTCAAACAGAACCTGCTCGTATCCCAATCGCCACAAAAGAAATAACCAGGAAAAATCTACGCTTAAAAGTAGGATTTCTGACTGGCCACTGTCAACTAAGGAAACACCTACATAATATGGGGCAAGGGGACACACCTCTATGCAGGATGTGTGAACAGGAAGATGAAACTGTCAGGCATGTCATATGCGAGTGCCCGGAGTTATCGTCAATAAGAGAGTGTGTGTTCGGCGAGTCTTGGCCTACACCTGCCGATATAAAAGAGATGTCTCCTAGTGACCTGTCCACGATGTGAACGATGTGAAAAATGTAAAATTACCGAAATAATGCTTTATTGTACTATTGATAGATCTGAAGATATTAAAAAAAACTATTTTTTTGATCTTCTACACAGAATAAAAAAGATCTACGATTTTTCAGTAATTGCTATTCACAATAGAATAGAAGTTATAGAATTCAGCAGGCTGCAATTTCATCAACAGCAGAAGTCTATTAATCCTGTATTATCATCAAATTATTGAAGTGGAACCGTGAGTCATATTTTGAAATATATAACGGTTTCATAACTTACAGTTGCCAGTTTTTCAACAAATACAAGACATGACATTCCTGGTTTGTAGTTGCCGACTATGGATTAGTGAACTATTCATTGATATATTTCGTATATGGGGTGGTAGGAAATTTTGTGGATGAAAGAAAATATCCTGCTTGGTCAACTCTGAACACGAAAAAAATTACCAGTGCCAGTGTAGCTTCTAAGAGCAATCAAAAATTCACTTTATTTTTTCTATTTTGCATTATACTATCCTTTATGTTTACAGTTGTTTAGTCCTATAATGAATCTTGATCAATCTAGTGTTTTGCTGGTAATTTATCTGGATGAACTTGGAGTTTGTTAACCTCTATCTGTGAAAAATTCTCCACAACAGTTTTCATTTGTAGACTCCGACAGATGAATCTAACGAAACAAGGTTAAAAAAGGTTTCTAATACGTTTTTTCTCGTTTAACTTCAACGAATTTCATCGTCTGTCCACACACTATTTGTTCCAATGTTATACATATAATCCCTTATTGTTATTACTGCGCTTTGAATCTCAAAATTTTGTGTCGACAAATCTGGAATATGTGGATAAATGAAAATAAGAAATGAAGTCATGCCTGTAAGGCAGATGATTAGTGTAACTATTGTCAACTAAAGTTGTGGCACCAAAATGATAATGATTTTCAAAATAAATCCTTTTAGTGCTTCAACTAATATGTGATCAGAATGTATAAAAGTAACAAGAACGTCTATTTATTGGTGTAGAGTTGAAATGTTCATTTAGGAAATAGCTTGTAAAGTTATAAGAAAGTGTGATATTGTTTTAAACTATTTTCCTTCCTATGAAGTACAGAATTTCGATAATGTTGCCTATTTCATTTGACTCGGCATTCAAAACATCGCCAGGAGTTCAGATTACGTGATAAATCGTTACCAGTCGAGCGGGGCAACTTTTGAAATATCTTGTTACTTTAACGATCTTTCATCAATTATAGAATTGATGTAAAATCTATTTTAGTTTTGTACATATTTTGATCTGTAAATATGAGCACTGAAAATTTTGAGTTCCTTACTATGTAAGTATATATGCTGTAAATACATCTAGCTTTTATATTCCTCAACGAACATATCCTTCACAAGAGTTCAAGTGTTTTTAATGAGGCTTTGTCGATCGACGATATATCCTTTGCCATATACACGTTTTGATTATTCGGTTTGATTTTCATTTGCTTTCCTTCTATTGGACACTAGTTTTGTTTTAAAAATACATGTTATTCCTCAAACTTAGAACACCTTTCAATTTAATAAGACATTTAGTTTTCACTACTGTAATATGATGGTAATGCAATAAAAAATAATTTTGCGTTAATGTGTTTTCTCATTTACCTGATTTACCATTTTTCTAGGACTGTTAAAAAAAAATGTCAACTATTTTTGTTGAGAGAGTAAGCAAACTAATCCGGAACTCTTTCATACCTTATTTGAACTAACAACAGTTAACTAGGTTAATGATTCCGTTGCTTTCAATTCCAAGCAGACCTTGAGAATTCCTACTTCAAAATATGTTCTCAAATTTCCCTCCAATAAGTTCCAAGAAAAAGATGGGGTTATGAATTTGAAATTTAGTTGATAACATTTTTGTGAATCGGAGGGTCCCAGCATGTGAAATTCTGATGTACATACTCGAGCAGTCAATGTCATCCTTCAGCTTGTGTTGAGTATTTATAGTTTTTCAACTCAATTTTATGAGTAACGTGTCTTAGTATGTCAGGTGAGAATGTGTTTTTATGTTAAACTAAATGAAAATAAGCCATTATAAATGCCCGTAACTCCGTACGTGTTGTTAATGATGTTTTATTGAATGAAATACTGTATGGCTTTCCAGGCTAACCACAAGGCATTGAATTATCAACGACCCAGAAGAATCCCTAATTATGAAAGGTCCAGAAGATGATGTGCATAGATAGCCTTTTTGACATAGAATCAATGAATTTAGATATGCTGGATGACGAGCAATTCGAACAAGTTTGTCGGCGTGATATTGATGCATCACCTACCATAGCCAAAGAAACTGATGGATGGAACACAGAAGGTGAAATGTCTCTATCACAATTACAACTTCAACTATGGAGACTGACCACTGACCAAGCTATGCCACATTATGTACATTCTCCATTTATACAGGAAACAGAACCAATCATTCCATTACGAATATTTTGATTGAAAAAATTGTTTTTCAAACAAACCTCTATGCCTTACAGAAAAGCGGTCGCAATTCTCGAGCTTTTCTTGCGACAATCTCATCGGAAATAAAGATTTATCTCATATTGAATATTCTCATGGGACTAAAATCCATGCCCAGCTTTGGAGATCACTGGTCATCGTGAATTGAGCTGAGATACCCTTACATAACCAATGCTATGGGAAGAGACCGTTTTGGATGGTTGCTTAGTAACTTACACATGAATGATAATGCAATTCGGCCAAAATATCAAGACCCACAGTTTGATAAACTTTACAAAGTTCGGCCGCTTATTGAAAACTAACTATAACATAACTAAGTATGATGTCGTCAAGCGATTTTCACCAATTTTTCTCTACGAATTCAAATTGAACAAAAGCGCTGCCGAAACAAACCGAAAAATCAACTAGGCATTTGGCAATGATAGCGTTAATGAATAACAGACTGTTTGACGTTGGTTTGCAAAATTTTGTTCCTGATAATTTAGCCTCGAAGATGAGCCCCGAAGTGGTCGACCTACAGTAATCCATCACGAAAATTTGAGGACCCTGGTGGAGACTGATCCATTGGAAAGTGGTTGCCTAATGATTTGCACGATTGACATGAATTGTCACGTTTCGTGGTATGTTTTTCTTTGCTTTTGCGCAACCCAAAATGATTATTTTTTTAATTGGATCGTCACGTGTGATGAAAAGTGAATCCTCTATGACAACTGGAGACGTTTAGGACAGTGGTTGGACACCGATGAGCCAGCCTTGTCTCTTTCCAAAGGCGAAAATCCACCAAAAAGACCATGGTTACTGTATGCTGGTTAGCGGGTCAAACCATCACAGTAGCAGAGTCCTGTTGTGAGGAAATCGACGAAATGTACCGAAAATAGCGCCAGCAACAGCTGGCATAGGTCAACAGAAAAAGTCCAATCCTGCTCCACGACAACGCCCGGCCGCGCATTTTCCAAATCACGGGCTACAATAACACTGCAATTAATGAATCGATGATACAGAACCAAGGCTGACCAGTTTCACTATACAATATTGCCAGTTTGATCAACATAGCTACTTACTGAACACATCAACACTGGATTCCATGTGATTGGTATCTAACCGGTCAATGAAAACTTTTTCAGTGAGGAGTAAATTCATTTACCCATGTAACAGATCGCCCACTTGAACAGACCACCTCAAAACCTACTTTAATATGGACAAAAAAATGAACCCATTGTTACTCCAGGTCCCAGCAATAAAACGGAACATATCTAATGACATTGATATTGGACCTGAAAAACTTCAGAAAATAGTTCACTCCTGAAGCGATTAGGTCCTTTTGGAATTCTCCATCAAGAAAAAGTGAAGGTGGAAGAAAAAAAGGCAAGAATAGGATATCAACAGACACTCGTAAAAAAACTAAATTAGAAGCATACAAAGTACAGAAAGCAAGAAAAGAAAGCGCTGACAAAAAGACAGAGATGACTGCAAAAATACACGTGAAACGAAAAATAGCTGCTGATATTTCAGATGATGATTATGTTGAATTTGACAATATTTTGGAGGACATGAGTGATGATGATTTAGGCAATATGACGGAGTTTTATGAGTGAGAGGATGATGAAGATTTATTGTTACTGTCCTTTACAGGAAGGTGGACAGGTCTCTGGGAGACATCTCCTTTATATCGGCAGGTGTAGGCCAAGACTCGCCCAACACACACTCTCTCATTGACGATAACTCCAAACATTCGCATAGGACATGCCTGACAGTTTCATCTTCCTGTTCACACATCCTGCATAGAGGTGTGTCTACTAGTCTCATATTGTGGAGGTGTTTCCCTAGTTGACAGTGGCAAGTCAGAAATCCTACTGCTAAGCGTAGATTTTTCCTGGTCATCGCCAGATATTTCTTCGGCGCCAGCTTCCCAGGGTCGCCTAGGGTGATCCTGACAAGATTGCATCCTTTGATTCCATCCCATCTCTTTAGGGATTGAGCATAGGTATGACGTTTGGCTAGTTCCGCAATTGTCGAAGTCATCTGGCCGTGGTTGCCACTGGGTCCTAAAATTCTTCCTTGGCTAAAGAGTCGTCGGCAATGCGACTGACTACCTTTACTCCTGTCGTGTCCTTTAACCCACCTCAGAATAATGTCATTATCTACCGAGGCTTTGGCTAAATCTTGGTGACACTCTAGTACTAGCCCTGAGGTAACACGTTGTATGTTCAAGGCTAATAGGGCTTGTCTGCTATCAGTGCAGATTGTTATGTTTTTGCCAGAAATTCCTTTTCTGGTTATTTCTTTTGTGGCGATTGAGATACCAGCCAGTTCTGTTTGGACCACACTAGTATTTTTTCCCATTCCCCACTTAATCCTTAGGTTTAGTGATCTGGAGTACACTCTACATCCTGAACCTTCTTTGGTTTTTGAGCCGTCTAAAATTTTACTGTAACTGTTTTTCTTTAAATTCCAATTGGATAAAAAATAACAGGAATTTTTCGATCTGCCTAACAAAGTAACAAAATGTTGAATACTTGTAATGCACTGTTTGGAACCTTTGGAGTAGTAATGAATATTACTGGAGTTTTATCCCAACACCGAAAACTTATTTTAACATCTCGACTCGTGTTTCGACCACAAGTGATCATCTTCAAGATGGAGGTGAAACTGTTTAATTTTCATCTTGAGGATGATCACTTGTTAAAAATAACGGATTGGTGTTGGGATAAAACTCCAGTAATATTAAAAATAACAAATAATAATAATGAAATACATCCTCAAAATATTAAAAAACATTCAGGTTTCTATTCAATTCATCAAGAGATTTATTTTATTCTAAATGTTCAACTAAGACTGATGTATATTATTTGATTTCCAATCATCTGACAGTCCTTTTCTTTAAATAAAAGTCATCTACAAACTAAACATATCATAAAGAGAAGGCCAACAGAAAAACAGCCTTGATGTAATTCATAGAATTTGAAAAATTATAAAAGCTTTCAACCTGAAGGTCAAAATACAACAATATACGTATATAATTATGAAGAGCGTGCAAATGTTTCAAACGAATGAAAAAATAATTATTGATATTGAAAACTAATATGACAGACACATAATTATTTTTTGAGGATTGAATGCAGCATTGTAAAAAAAGACCACTTTAGCGGAGGCTGAAGTTCTATGGTTGGCATCCACGAAAGCGGAGTTTAACGGAGGTGTAGGCGGATGTGGATACAAAAAAAATCATTGATAACCATTCATTAAATAAAAAAAAATCTGTTGGTAATCTAAATTATCAAAAGCCAAATTATGTACTTTGATGTTTTCTGGGTTTTTAACCTTCCACAACGTGAAATAGCGTGCCCTTTCATAAACAAAAAGTGTTAAAATATGCTGAGGGGATTTTTTAATGTTTTTGTCTTTGAAATATTTCACTTGTTATAGAAAAGATGGTTTTTCAGTCCTGAAAGGAGAATGGTAGAAGAGAAAGCTCAAAAAATTTCAATTTTTTCCAATCTGTACTCACAGAAAAAAGAGAATCTAAGAAGTAGCATTATGCCATATAAAACCTAGATTACTTTTTTGGACTATGGATTTTCGATAGCTATGAAAATCTTTGCAAAAGACTGAAAAAAAAAGTGGTGTGTAGGAGTGGAGTGTAGAACGTATTTTATACAAAACTAAATAATTATTTTGTCTGTTTGAAAATTTCATTTTTTGTTTTCAGTTTGATTCAACATCAATAACTATTTTTTATCTTTAGTCTTATGTATGTGAAATTTTGCAATAGATTTTGAATATCGAAATGAAATTATGGCAATGACGGAGAGAGAAATTATGGTATTGTAGAAATTGATACTCACCATTGATATCACTTCACGCTTCAAAGTTGAAATTCATGGGTTTATTTCAAATCTGGTTTATGAGAACGTCATTTCAAAATCAATTGCAAAGTTTCTACCGAACAGACAAACAAATAAAAACGCGAAAAGAGATTTTTTACCATCAATTGAAAAAGTAACAAAAATTCTACTGCGCTAAAAAAAGCAATGAAAGTTCCATACCCAGTAAATGAAAAAAATATATCACTATTGATAAAGCTTCTTGTTAAATGTTAGAGTTTCGGAGTTCGTTATCTAGACAAGCAATAACTTATTTGAAATTGAAGAGAAGGTCGGTGAAGTACTTAAATTCTTTTTGGAACCGAAATATTCTGATAAGCTAATAAAAAAAAGGAAATAATAAAAAACATAAAAACTATGACTTGGGAATCTTGAAGTATAAAAGCACTAATTTGTAAAGAAAAAATAAATTAGTTTGACCTGAGTTGGAAACCAATTCGAACAATATTGTTGAAATAATAAAAAATATAATCGAAATCAACAGAAATGATGATGTAAAAAAAGATTCAAAACCAAGCTACTTCATATTTCAATAGTTTTTGGGACAGAACGGTTTTGGATTTCTATTTCTCCATCCATACATCTTTTTATTTTGAAATTAATTGATCTGTTTTTCTTTGGAAGATTCCCAGAGTTTTTTACATAAAGATGAAGAAGTAGGAATCCAAAACCTTTCCTTCCTAAAAATTATTCTCTCTTAGAAATATACCCCTTGCAATTTCAATGTTTCAAATCTTTTTTCGTTATTCTCATCTACAAAAACACTGTGATATTTTCACTGAACAGTTTACCGCAACACTCGTTTATATATACAATAGCTTCCTCAGGCATGTTCATACTGACTAAATTTCACCTAATGCTTTATATAATATAACAATAAGAATCATATTACTTTCTACTAACTGAACGAGTAAATAATGTCACTAGAGTTTAGATATAAACTAATTAAAAAAACATTAAAATAATTTTAACATATTAAATGGACATGTAATGAACTAATTACCAATTTCCACATCAGAAAACAGATTTAACAAAGGGGAAGAATTCAATTATATTTAGCCATTCAGTAAATTTTCAGAATTATTGAATCTATCAATTTCCAAGCACTTCAAAAGATTCCAAATGTATCATGTCATAGTTGTGGTTGAACCCATTCAAAAAATTACTGCTGTCTTTCATTCTTTGGAAAAAGTTCTCCCTGTTTGGCCAATACAAAATTTTGGGCATGAATCGCAAGGTAAGTTATATACTGTAGATCTATTGTTATATATTTGCTCAAATTATTAGTTGTTCCGTTTTTTTTTTTTTCAGAAAACAAGCGATGTACTTGGTGGGTTCACCAAAATGTAAATGTCCTATGAAGGTTATTATCTTTTATTGAAGTGGAATAGACCTGGTAAATGACTTGTTTTTGTTATTTTATGGAAACCATAAAGTCAATAATACAGACCTTGTAACTGCTGTTCATAGCAATTCAATTCTCTCTGAATATTACTTTGACAGTGGACTATTCAATGTATTTGCAAACTGTTCAGTGAAAAATGTCAATAAAGTGTTACTTGTTGAATTATACAGAGCACTAATTAGATACAATTTGGTCAGATGCTTTTGTGTAGTGAACATATATGAACACAATTATTTCATTCCTTTTTTTACAAAGCCATTCTTTTATTTTTTACATTTCATATCATTGCTTTTTCTCTTTCAGGAATTCATTCATTCACCTTATCTTCAAATCCGTTAACGCTTCTTTAGGTAATGCAAATTGAAATCCTAACATCCAACAACTCAAAACTAATTTATATGCAGATTATTGCATGAATGATTTTTGTCACACGCGTGCAACAATCTTCCTCTTTATTGACACAAAATCATTTCACATTTATTCACAATCAATTTTCAATGTTAAATATGAAAATTTGAGCTGAAAAATTTTTTAGTACTGCAACTGTCATTCAATGGATACTTACAGTTTATATCGAATACATTTATTGAATGTTACCACTATTTTCACAGGCAGATGAATATTATACTCAAAACAGACTTACTAACTCTTCAAGGCACATTAACTATTGGGATATTTCAAAAAATGGAGCATGTGTATTCGTTATTGTTATTAAAATAACAATCACTTGAATAAATGTAAGACAACAAATATTATGATTACCCAAAAGAGTTATCAAAACAATTTGGTTTAAACAAATTAATTTGCAACAGGTGAATCAATTACTGACTCAATTTTAATACAAAATTAAATTAAATGATGAAAAAGTAAATGTTTTCTAGAGTCCCAATTATTAGAAAAAAAGGAAACTATCCAACAAACGCGTTTGCTATTTATTATGTATCATGGAATAAAAATATCTTAACATATTTCCCTCTTTTGACTAGCCAGTGACAAATTTTGAATAAAAAATCTAAAGACCAATCGGCAGTAGGTTTTTCCAGAAATTTGTTTGAAATAAATGTATATCAAAATATCACAAAACAAGCTGTACTTATTATAAATTCTAAATCTATGCATAACCTACATGAATCAACGGGAATAAATAATCAGATAAAAATAATTTAGAAAATACCCGACTTGCGAAATTTCTCACTACAGTAGTTTCATCAAATGTACTATAACAAAAATATGTTTTGAATATCATTGAACACTTTTGATTGAGATGGATATACTCAGTTAATGAATACGGAAATATCAACAAAAATTACCGCGACAAAAAGCTTCAACGGCTCGAGGCGTCCCGTAGTCTAACCCAGCTACATCCAAAATGTTGGGAGAACCATCACCGCATACGACATTTGGAGAAGATAGACAAAAATTAATCAACCTGAAAAAAATTCGACAGAAAATTAAAACAGTTGGAAAGGCGCTACATCTAATATATTATGTCACTGTGTTCCTGGATTACCTTACAACAGAAAACTTCTAAGTCAAGCACAACACACACATATATACAGGGCTACTCAAATTCGTTTCTGTACATGGGGATCTCGAAAACGATAAGAGATAGAGTATCGGTTGAATTATGACAAAGTTGCGTATTTTAGAGACCTATTCAATGATGTAAAGAAATCGAATATAGCTCTTTTGGTTATGGAGGTATACAGGAAAAACCAAAAAATCCCAAATTATTTTTTTGCCTTTATCTTTTTTATTCGCAGACATATTGAAAATCTGTCCACATTTTGCTATTTGCACTTGATGTGGACTCTCAGAATATATCCATGAATTTTTTATACAGGGTTTCATCTGACTTGGGCAACTCCCATTTTTGGATCATAGACGTTCACTTCATACTGAGAAATTGAATTCAATTTTATATTTCGTTACTTCTTGGTAATATTCGATTATGATTGTGTGATATATTCCCTTTTAAATTACGGCCCTGGAAATTGGTTGACTGAGTTGAATAAAAACACAATAGATATTTTCTATGGGGGACATTGAAAAATAGGATTTACGCTGGCAGAGAGATAGAAAATGTGGAAGACTCGAGATTGAGGATTTTGAATGATTTCGCAACAATGCAGCGAATAAGTGTATTAATGGCAATAAATAATATGAAAAACCGAGTTTAAAAATGTCTTGAAATAGAAGGACTCCAATTCGAACATTTATTGTGCCAATAATTTTTTTGGGTACCTATATAAATTACTTCATTATAGTGTTCGTTTCGGATGTTATTATTGCCATCATTTCTTTTTCTGCTTATTAAAACACATATCTTGTTCGATTGATGACTTATTTATTTTGTAGAAATTCATGTTGAATATAGAATGAAGAAAATACTTTTGTCTAGTTTCTTCTGTGTTTATTTATTCGTTTCGACCGGTTTCGGCTTATAAGGCCATTTTCAAGTAACTACCACAAATTGTCAAGTTGCGTCTTAAATAGTGTGGATAGTGTGAAGAATAAAGGAAACATGAAAATTCTTCATGCATGTAACAGAAGAAGGGAGATGAATTTATTGGAAGCATTGGAAATAAATAAATTGTACAAGGACCCCAAGTTCATAACGCTAAACGACCAAATAGATCTATGCAGCTCGCCCCTTTTGAATTTAGGAATCTTAGGATCCATCCAATAGTTGGTAATCGTGACATATTGTAATATTGGTAACGTGTTAGGTCAGGTACCTAGAGCAGATACCTGTCCACACTATTTAAGACGCAACTTGACAATTTGTGGTAGTTACTTGAAAATGGCCTTATTAGCCGAAACCGGTCGTAACGAATAAAAAAACACATATAATATATTTTTGATGTAGATATGTTTCAAATAATCATAAAAAGTTTTCTTATTCAAAGTTCATTGTAGAAAACGCTCAGAGCAATGGAAAAAATATGAATAGGTACCTAAAAATTATAAAAACTCTCGAAAAACTCTACGATACATAGGGAGACGTGAAAGTTGCTATTATGTTTTTATTCAACTCAGTCAACCGTTCTGAAGAGACCATGTCCGGTACTGATGATGGGGCAAGCATCCCGAAACAGGTCTATCAGTTGATCGTATCAACTAAACAAAATTAATTTCTTCTTTTCATAGTGGAAAATAACTTGCGACGAATCTTCCAAATCGAAGACGTGGCACAGGTGCCTGATGGCTATAATTATAATTTGCTTTTTCGTTAAACTCAGAAAGTTCACACTGTTATGAAGAGATCATGCCTGGTACTGATGGTGGGGCAAGCACCCCGAACGAGAAACATCTGCGAGACTAACCTCTGTGAAGTATCTTGCATAAATGTCTATCGGATATAATTCAATATCTAGCGTGGTATTAGCCAGGGAAGTAGTTGTTGGGAGAGATCAATTATTCAAGTTAAAATTATTAATATTTATTTTCTTTTATGAGTAGGTGTTAAAAACCAAGACCATGGAAATAATGATGTAGATCTTCAAAAATCAAATTGAATATGTAAGTTAATTTTCAGTAGATAGATAGATAGATAGATAGATACATTTATTTCAACAGAGTATTTTTGTCTGAGAAATACGTCAAAAGGAAAATTGTAAAGATATCAAATATGTGTACATATAAATCTAAAAATGAAGCATTCAAAATGAATTGCTTCAAGTTTCAAACACGATTACAAACATATTAAAATGTGCGTCATATTGCGCATGATTACTGAAAGTAGAGATAATTTCTATAAATACATAGCGTAATTTTGAATAAAATTTTGTTTCATAAATTTCCACAGGCCAGAAAATATTCATCAGTATTGTAGGGCTCCAGATTACATAAGAATTTTCTTACAGATTTCAGAAATCTGTTAGCAACGACAATATCTTTTATGTTTTTCGGAAGATTATTATAAAATTTCATTCCAGCGTAGATAGTGCTACATTCATATAGGGATTTTGCATGGATGGGATATGAGAAGTCTTTTTTTTTGTCTTGTCTCGTCTACAGAACACAAAAATAAATATGTTAAACCAACGAAAACACTTACTTTGAATTTTGTAGATTAACCTTCTTCCTGTATTTCTGGAGAGCATGCTCAGGTTTCGTCATTTTCTCTCTAATCTCTTTAGGAATGGCGGCATAAAAATCTTTGTGGTGAATGAATGTAAGGAAGATATCTACATGCTTCTTCTGAAATGTAGCCCACTCTATGGGAGCGGCCAACAATACATATTTACTTTTGTTTTCTCTGAGTTTCTGAACGTGTTCATACAGGTGCCCCTCTGCAAAAATAAAAACAGTTTCACTAAATTCCAGTAAACCAATCAATGAGCCTCACTTTTATCTAGCTGCACCACAGCTATCTCTTTTTCTTTGAAAACTGCAACGGTGACATCTTTCTCGACTCTCAACAGAAACCAAGCAAAAGCAACAGCTGCCTCTATTGCCGTTATATTTTTATTAAACAAACATGGCGTGTCCATATGATCAGTAGTATCAATTGTGATCAAATATCGCTTACCAAATGACTGTACATTACTGCAAGCTATATTCATGCATTTCTGCAGATTATTGAGAACCAAAGGACACTTTGCTTCTCTAGGGCTCTTCAATTTCTGAATTTCTTCTTCGGAGAGTTTTTTTTCTGCAATTAAATGCTCCAGAAGTTTTGGATCAAGAGGCCTGAAATGGATTTTTGAACCTTTATTTGTTTTCTTGTTACTATGTTACGTGTTAGGAATCACACGTTAAAAGGTAAGACCCCGTTAATCCTTAGCTCTCACAAGTTTCGACTTCTGAGGGTTGTCGTTCGTAGGGATGCGACAGCTGGTTAACGGAAAAACAGATTTTAAAAACAGGTTTTTTATGAGTGTTACTTGCTCTACTGATTTCATAACACATAACTGAAAAACTGATTTGTTAGATGAATATTTTACAAAAATTTTTACTGATTTCTTCAAAAAATAACAGATGACAGAAATAAATCAAGTGCAACTATGCTTACAAATTGGAAATGGACCAAATATCAATAATTTTTTTTAACTGGCTATTGACTTATTGCCTGAATCTGATGATGAAAGAAAACTGACCATTGACTATATACAAAGATGTGTAATTCATTCAAAGAAGTAACTTTCAGACACAAACTTGAAGAAAGAGCTGTCTCGAAACAACTACTTTATATAAATATTGAATTATACAAAAACACTTTTTCCTATTCAGTTTGTACTATAAACATTCATTATGGAATTGAATCAGATAACATTCACAGGATTGCTACATAATGAAAGAGGTAGAAATTTCACTTACATGGAACACTGTCATCCTCAATGGCGGACAACCAATGTTTCGGATGTCAAAAATAAAATCAAAATAAAAGAAAGGTCTATGAATTAGTCATAAGTATTCATTTCTATATATATTCAAAATGCCAGCTCTACTAACTTACTTTCCTCCTTTTTCAAAATTCTTCATATGAATGAAAACTTCAATGGGATGAATATGACTAGCTTTTATTTTTAACGAATTTGTTAAATTCTCATTGACTATTGTTTGTGTGGGTGCATCCTTCTTTAAAAATCCTAGCTTGTAAAGTTTTGGCAGTGCTTGTAATATGTCTGATATAGTCATATTAAGTAATACCGAATTCCAAACCTAAAAATTATAACCATCGATAAAGGGCGAGTTTAAATATGATACCAGTGTATTTATCAAGAGGAGTCATATGCAAGGTCAAATAAACAAGAGTGCTCTCAGACACTGTTTGGAATATCAGTACCAAATCTGAAATCGATTCATTCTCATCAATGTTGCTACACTTTCAGTCTCTCAGAAAAAAATTATGAAAAATGGGCTGCCCTACATATTATTTGTTCATTAGTTAAATCAATACACCCTTAATATCTACATACACTGTTGGTATTGTATTTTAGATTCACCATACAAACACTATTATTAATATCGTCGTGTGCTACAAAACTATTGGAAAGGAACTTATGAGGTCAATCAGTGAGCTGATGAGAATAATCAAATCACCATTGCTAACAGTTGAGGCATTTGCAGTCTATCTTTTCTGATGTGATTTTCTTTTCTCTCATTTTGTAGGGTTACTTATAGTTATTTTTATTCTTCGCTTACTTATATTCTCTTTGATTTTAAATATAATAAAAATAATATACATGAGTTGTTGAAAAAATAAGGTGAACATTCAAATTACGTGGGCTCACACATTCAATTAGCGATTTTTTTAAATTTTTTTATGTTGGTACACTCATCTCAAAAATTATGTATACAGTTTCAGCTATTTAGCATGTTTAGTTTGTTGGTGAGAGAACATAAAACTTAGAAGGTTTTGCATGTTCGGCGATTTTCTGTTATTGAAAAAAAATGGACCAAAAAATTTGCATAAAAACAAGAATTATATTCTTAAACGATAAACATATTAAATATTACTGGAGTTCTTTCGTGATTCATTTAGAATGAAAAAGATGGTTGAGTTTGACACCATTGCCAAGAACGATTACCTGTATTCAAGAATAATACATCTCATTTCGATAGGTCCATTTCAAATTTGGTACAAATATTCCAAACAATTTCTAATACACTGAAGGCATTCAGTTTACATGCCTCAGAGTGAACAAGTGAAGAACTATGAAGAACATTACATTGAATCATTTGGTACTTTCGATTGTAGGTCAATAAAATATTTAAATATGAATATAACACACTTCAGCAGATTTTCTTAAAGATGGTTCAACTTGATTAATAGTAGCTTTCAATTCGCTTATCAGTGGAACTGCAACCTTATGATCCTTGGTTTTCCTTAAAATTTCTGATTTCTGCATGATATCAATGATCTTTTTCTCATCTTCGTTATCTTTGTCATTGAGTTTTTTCAGTAATATGTAATTAATAACCATATTTTTCACTGAAACCAACAAAAAAAGTATACCAATTTTACTAATGATTCACAAAAAAATCAGATACTCACAAGGTGTGTCTGGTTTGATGTGTACTAATTTTATCAAATCCTTGTGGGTCCAACCATGCCAACTTTTACAAGCAACAAATGAATGGGCTAATTCCAAAGCACTTTTCTTTATATAATATCTAGCTATTAATTTTCTCACAGTCGTTGATAGTTTGCTTTTGTCCAACCTCACACTTGATGTAAACTTTATAAAATTGAAAAAATCTTCATCTGATTTACATATGTTTAAAACATAAGAACATATTTCATGTTTTATATCAGCTGTGGCTGCTTCCGCATTGAGAGCTGCACCCAACAAATTGAACAATTGTGAGCGATATGGCAATAATTTATCTTCACTGGCAGAAACTATTACTTTGAGAAAATCTTCATGATTGCTGGCTAGCATTTCGTTGATTAGTTCCATCTTTCGTTCCGTATCTGGATAATACTTTTCTGGGCCTCCACAAAAGTATTTTGGAGTTAAATTGCCAACATAAATGAGGCGTTTGAGCTTTTCTTGATTTGATAATCTAGATGCCGCCATCCTAATAAAAGGTTACAAAATTATATTTAGTGTAAAGAACTTCAAAATTCATACTTGTTAGAATACGAGAAGTGAATACTAAAAATATTTCTAAAATAGGTTCAGAATAACTGGACAAGAAGTCTCCATAGAATTTTGCATGTCAAATAACAGACAGACCTTGGACATTTTACTTTTATACTGTCTTTTCAAGAGAATGATACTGGATGGAATTTGTAATCATGAATGTGGCTTACTCCCAGACAACACCGGATATCTTAGGCATATACAATTCATGTCCAATTCTGGTCGGAATATCCTTGGACATAAAATGGACATCCATAATATATCCAAAGAAAATATGAACTTATTTCAAAAATTCATTCGTTTGTCTGAAGAGCTTGTTATTTTAAAATGAATGTGCTTATCTTCATCAAGTTAAGCATTATATAAATATGAAAAATGAAAATAATCAGCTGGATATTCTTGGACGTGAAATGGATATCCATAAAATATACCTCAATGAACATAGAACAAATATCCTTCCGTGGATATTCTATGGACATCCATAAGACATTAAAAAATATAAAAACAAATTTCAAAATTTCAATTAATTTTCTGAGGAACTGTGTTGTCTTTCTTTCAGATATTATTTTAATATCAAAAATGAAAATTAACCCTGGGATATTCTTGGATATCCTTCAGTGGATTTTCTATGGACCTCCATAAGACATTCAGAGAAAATATAAACAAATTTCAATATTTTTTCTGAAGAGCTGTTTGAATATTTAAAATAATATTTGAAATAAAGATGATCAGGGGAATATTCTTGAACATTCATGTCAAGAATTAAGTTAGAATTAAATTTTATCATTATGTTTTCAAAACATTAATTTAAAAAAATAGAAAATTTTACTGAAGTACATACTTATTTTAGTAAGAGATGTAGGAAACTGTAAATCATATTCAATATATAGAGGTGATTCATGTTTCAAATTCCTATTGAACTCAATATATGGTTACAGAAGTAAGAACCATTGATGTCAAAAAAAAGTTTTAATAGGGGAAATTCTGGATAAGATTTGGCTTTGTAAACGAAATGGTATCGAAAGATAAGTGAATGCATGAATAATCAATATATCTCACCTCTATTTGTTTTTCAAATTATCAAAATATCTTATTACAACAAACAAATTGAGCTATGTATGGGATATGACCTGTACTACAGAATAAACAGCTGTTGAACTGTCATGTGCTGTCATGTCATTATGTGTATATATACAAAAAAAAAAGAATAAGGCGAGTTCTTAGATTCAACAGAATATTTCAGATGAACCAAGAGAAACGTACTAACGTTTCGAATGGGCACGTAACAAACTATCCAATGAGTAGGATATGCCGTATGCCGTACGAGTATGAACGCTATATAAGTGAATTATTTTGCGATTCGCAAAAAAATTCGAATATTTGAACTAGCCTTTATGGAGTTGTTGCGATTAGGGGATTTTTTCATCCACCATATTTGAAACGCGTTCTATAGTTCTAAGAATTAGTGTTTTGTGATTCCGACAAGGACACAGAGAGAGGAAGAAGGAATCAAAAAATACAAACTGTAAACCGAGAATACCTACTCTCGGCTGTAAATATGTCACAATTGTCAAATATTATTGGGATGTTTTAAGAAGTGTTATATTTATTTGGAAGAGTTCTCATGCTCCTAAAAAGTAATGGAGTAAATCAGATTATTGTGACACAAAAAACTCATTCATTGAAATTATAAGAACAATTGTTTTCTTCTGAAATAACCTCTAGCATATGGGACTTTGGAAGATATAATGAGAACATGTTTTCTGCGATCAAAAGATTTACCAGTAAGGGAGATGGGTCCCCAAATAACTCTGTTATCAGTGCTAGACCTCCAGGACACCAGGCAATGTCATCATCTCTACAAAAAAAATTTGCGAGAGGTGTACAGTATAACAGTAAGTGATATGATTTTGCATTCAAAGAAGTAATGTTCTAGATGGATGTTAATTTTGATTCGTCTTGCTCGTAATGATCGCAATATTCCCATCATTTAGTGAAATTGCCTCCCAATTTTTGACTGAACCCTGTTGATGATTTCTCTTATGTAGGTACCCAATATTCTGTTTATTACATGTTCAAGTAAAGAATTATTTCTTGATAAATATAAAATCAGTAAGGTTATTATTACAGTTTTCAAAGGAGGTGACCCATTTCTATTATTCCTATCTTTGGTAAAATTTACAAAATTATCAAAACTGGGTAATGTCTCAACTTCGTAAAAAACAATCTTTTAAATCCTGATCAGTATGGTTTTCATAAGTCTTGCTCCTCTGTACAAACAGTTGTACATATGGTGACATATAACAGCTTGACAGCTTTGAGAATGACAATATATGTGTTGTAGAGTACTGTGCTATAATGCGTGACTTGAGCAAGCATTTAATTGTGATTCTCATCAATTACTAAATAAAATGAATGCATAAGCTGTGAAAGGTGTAGTAGCTCTCTCTATTGTCACATCATATTTGATAATCTGAGCCTCTCCTATTCATAATTTTCAAAAATGACCTTTTTCTTCAATTTTACCACCTTATCGTGTCATTTTTGCCGATGAAATGTCTATTGTTCAGACAAAAACTGCAAAAATTCAATAAAAATCTCATAACTTACTGAATGTTAATCTTCAAAATTGTTCAATTGTAATCATATAAAGCAGATGCTAAAATTTTCTCCCAATGTTTTGATTGCAGAAGGAAAAACTTCCCAACTACTAGGTATAACTCTAGAAGAATGTCTAAACTGGACATGCCATATTGATGAATAAGATTAGAAACTATCCTAACATTTTTTTCTTTCGAGACAATTGTCTGTTTCTGAAAACATTCTTCTTGCAACCTACTATACCATTTTCTCATATTTACCATAAGACTCGTCTCTGTGTTAGGAATCACACGTTGAAAGTTAAGACCTCGTTAGTCCTTAGCTCGCACAAGTTTTTCAACTTCTGAGAGTTGTCGTTCGTATGGGGGCAACAGCTGATTAACGGAAAAACAGATTTTAAAAACAGACAGAAACTCGTCTCTGTTGAAATACGGGGCATTAAAACTTTTATATGAATTTTCATTTTTTAGTCTTTGCTGGATGTACGTACATAAACATGAAGGCAATCTCTTAATTAGTTTTCACTTTCGTAATTACGATACATCTGACAACTTAAGTCAAGAAGTTTCATACATATTTTAAAAATGTATAGTATAGATGTATACAATATATCTCAGTAAGTTGGAACCAGATGGAAAACTTTTTTATTGTCAATTTTCAAAAAGAGTTAGAGTATTTTGATATGTCCTGATGATTCCAACACACTCATATTCATTTTATTTTCAGAGACTTGCTACTTGCACTGTAATGATGTACTTAATTGAAAGCCTTTGATAAATCACAAAATCGGCATCATTTTTCGAATGAGAAAAGGGATCATTGGTATTTTCACTGACTTGACAGCCAAACAGATTGCTCACAAGGATTTTATATTTCCACCCTTCTAATTTTCATCAGCTTTTTAATTATTTCAGATAGTGTGAGGTTCTGGTGATATTTGTGCCCTTTATAACTTGTGATAAGTAGATCAAGCGAGATAAAATAGATGGAAATGTCAGGTGGACAAATGTTTTGAATTGATTTTCACTGATTTTCAATTTGTTTCAGTGAAAATAGTCATCAAAGGAGATAGAAATGTGGGAAAGACTTGTTTGTTCCAAAGACTGCAAGGCAAAAAGTTTGTTGAAGAGTATATTCCTACCGAAGAAATACAAGTAACTTCTATTCAATGGAGCTACAAGGCCACAGACGATATTGTCAAAGTGGAAGTGTGGGATGTGGTAGACCGAGGAAGGAAAAAGAAGCATTTTGAAGGATTGAAACTTGAAAATTCCCAGTTAGAAGTTGCTGAAGAGCATGCACTTGACGCTGAGTTCTTGGATGTATACAAGGGCACGAACGGGGTTATAATGATGATTGATCTGACAAAAACTTGGACATTTGATTATGTTCAAAGGGAACTTCCTAAAATCCCGGGTCACATTCCTGTTATTATATTGTCAAATCACTGTGATATGTCTCACCATAGGACTGTTACTCCAGATCATATTAGCTATTATATAGAATCTATAGCTGGGTAAGCATAAGTACAGAAGTCAATGAATTCTATGAATTCTTGAATACTATAGCAGTTTCCATATGAGACTTTAGAACTTTTTGAAACAAGACTCCATTTGGAGACAACACAGTAGAATGAATATTTATTCAGATATGAAGCTACAAAAACACTTGATATTCAAAGGGACAAAACTTTTGAAACACTAATATTTGTCTATGCCGGACATGTGTATTATGCATGATGTGCATGATGCATTATATAGATAATGCATCATGAAGACAAAATATCACAAAGCCAGATATTGAATTACAGTTGCAAGGTTAACAAAACAGACAGTTAAAGTTAGAACTATTTTTGAAAATTTCAAACATCAACCATAGAGAAACTCAAATAAATTTATCATTTTCTATTCTAGCACACGTTCAGCTCAAGTACGTCATTCGGAATCCTCAATGAGGAATGGATTTGGACTGAAGCTTCTTCATAAATTCTTCAATCTTCCTTTCCTTCAACTACAAAGAGAAACGTTACTGAGGCAGTTGGAACGCAATGAAGTTGAAACTAATGCCACCATTCAAGAGTTGGATATGTTCTGTGTCTCAGACGAGGCGAACTACAGCAAATTTTTAGACACCCTCATCAAAAAACGGAGAGAGGTAGCGGACTCGAATGCCAACATACCTCCTCCCCTAGTGAAAGCACCCTCAGGCATGGGCCCCAATGAAATGAAAAGATCGCAGAGCGCTTCTATAGTTATTGGAGCTGGAAAACCTATACCTTATGGCAATTCTGTACTTGTATCCAAAACAAATACGGCACCACAACAAATGTCCAAAAGCTCCAGTATGAGTTCCGGATTCGTTTCTAAAATTGTTAATACTGGGGTGGCTGAAGGACTTCCTGACATAAAAAAACTCGACATCAGCCCTATAGTGTCTGTTGAAGAATTTTGTCCAGACGGTGGACAGCTTACTGGGTTCTTAGACGATGTTCAGTTGAGCGCCCAGAATAATACCAAGGAAGAAGAACACTCCGATTCGTAAGTTGAAATATCTAGTATCACCTTAAAGAATGAGTTATAAAATTTGTTTGAAAATGTTGAAGCTTCTTACTAAAATCCAAACAGGGATTTATGCAAAGTTTTGTCAATACTTNTATGTACTTTTCAATTCAGTTGAGCATCAACATGAAAACCCAGTAGCTTAACTGTTGTTTCTTCGTCGAGCGCTTGCCGATTTTTTGTGAAAGTGATGATCTCTGCTTTATGTTTGTTTAGGGACTAAACGTTTGAATTTGAAAAGATTTCCATTTTCAATAATGTTTCCTCTAACTTACATTTTATCACGCTCAAGTTTTTATCCTGTACCAGAAGGGTAGAGTCATCTACATACATAAAAACATCAGCAGTATCAATAAATGATGGTAAGTCGTTTATGTAAATGATGAACAATGGGGGACTTAGGACTGAACCCTGAGGCACCCCATGTTTGACTTCTATAGTTTTCGATGTCTTGTTATTTAGTGATACATACTGCTGTCTGTCTTTTAGGTATGACTCGATATCTAATGCTGTTCCATGTATTCCATATTTGTGGAGTTTTTCAATAAAATATCATGAGAAACGCTATCAAATTTCTTTGACAGGTCACATAAGATTGCACGTGTATGTATCCCTACATCTTGATTTTTGACTATCGTGTGCACTATATCGGTGACAGCTTGAGAGGTTGATCTGAGAGAACGAAAACCATACTGATGATCACTTAGGAGTTTTCCCTTTTCTAAAATGTTGGTTAATCTGTCCTTGATAATAGCTTCTATTATTTTTGAGATTATAGGAGGTAATGTTATAAATAATAATAATAATAATAATCGTCTTTATTGTTTCCCAGCTGTAGTTACATACAAACATTTAAATAAATTACAGAGCTAGTTACTGATGTAACAAAAGGCGAAGTTCAACTCAGTTAGCACAAGATCTACTGAGTTGTTCTTCTGTAGTTGTCACAATTATTAGCATTGCCTTTCATCAGAATAGGGGTTGCTCTCCCCAGCTTTAAGTGTGATGAAAACTCTCACTTTACCAGGCAGATATTTATCAGATGTGTAAGAGGTTCTGCTAAAATTTCAGGGATGAGTTTTGTTATTTTCGAACTGATATTGTATGCATCCATACTACTACTATTTTTAAAGGTTCTCAAAAGTGTTAAAATTTCGTTCTCGTGAGGGCCTCAGAAATACCGAGGTTTTTACATTCATTTTCAAAAGTTCCTCTCCTCTCAGATCGGTGGGAGGTATTGTTTTAATAATATTGTCAACCATTGTGGAACTATATTCACTGAATTCATCCGCAGTAAGGCACATGCTTTCAAATCTCGAAAAACTACTCTCCTGTAGGGGAAAAACAGAAGAATTTGCGGAAAACTCGTAATTTGAAAGTCTGAAAATAGCAAATTGTGAATCACTCTGTTGAAATTAGCGGAAACTTTTACAAACACATTTCCCTCAAATATCTACCCAAAATAATTGAAGTTTCCGATTCACATTAGTTTTAGATATAAATAGAGCGCCATTTTAGAGTCGATAATTAGTTTTCTTTATCTCCTAAAGATACCAACTTGGTTGGTGAAACGCGCGTCGAGAGGAGTATTGCAGCTCTGGTCTTTGGGAAAAGTGCTTGTTTTGTATTCATTCGCCCTAGGATATATTCAAATTACCTCTCTCACTAAGGATCAATTTGAGACTTGTGAGAAACGGACTTCTAAGTAGTATTGGATGTTTCAAAAGTTTTGTTTGTTTCCATGTCATGTGGTTTTGTAGCTCCATATCTCAATAAATATTCATTCTACTGTGTCCTGGTATACACTGATTGATAGAGATGGAGATTTTGTACTCTATACATTGAAGCTGTTAATTTTTTTGCCTCTTCAGCTTATTCGATAACTTCATCGAAGTGAAAAACTCAGGAAAAAAACTATCATATTCAGAGATATGAAGACACACGACGGGTGCAAAACTTCCCAAGTATTACCGATTCAGAATTGCCAATACTTTATATACTTTTTTTAAAGGACAAAACAAAAGCACTACAGGAAAATCCTTAAGGCGCTCTCAGATCGGTGCCTGTGCGAAAGTAGCGATTCACATTGGATTTGAAACGCTGGAGAGTAAATCAATTTGGAAAACCAATCTCAGAAAGTTTATTATACATAAACGCAGTTCTCCAAATGAATAAGTTCTTAAACAGTGAAGTTCGAGGTGTACTGACTTGAATCGCAAAACGATGAGCAGCCATAGTCCGTCGGGTATTTCTGATATGTACAGCTCTTGATGGAATCAAATGTGTTAAGTCACACCTCCCGTGAAAGTATCTATAGGAGAGAGACAAATCTCCAACCTTTCTTCGATGTTCCAGGCTATCGAAGTGGCACGTGATGTTGTCGTCTCCAAACAGGTGGATGGCTCTTTTCTGGATGGAATCCAGCAACTTCAGGGCATGTTTGTGGGCAGCGCTCCATACATGAGAACAATACTCCATAGAAGCTTTATAAAGCATCAAAAGTTGCTGAGGTGTCTACAGTTCTCTGGTTCGGAATAGTGTTTCAAGCTTTTGAGAAGCAGCCTTTGCAATTTCAGCGACATGATTGTGCCAAGACATATTGGTGTCTATTTTAACCCCCAACAAACTTATGGAAGCAGAAAACGGGATTGTCTGACTTGACATTATTATATCTGGTTCGGAGACATTTATCTTCTTGGAGAAAACCGATGCCTGGGTTTTTTTTTGTGGCATTGAATTGAACCTGGTTACTTTCACCCCAATTCGCAATCACTTCTAGATCATTATTAAGATATGCAACCTCCTGCTGCCGGTGAAGATGTACATCCGCAGCCTATGTCCTGGAAATCAATTCAGTTGAGCATCAACATGAAAACCCAGTAGCTTAACTGTTGTTTCTTCGTCGAGCGCTTGCCGATTTTTTGTGAAAGTGATGATCTCTGTTTTATTTTTGTTTAGGGACATAACGTTTGAATTTGAAAAGTTTTCCATTTTCAATAATGTTTCCTCTAACTTATGTTCTATCACGTTCAAGTTTTTATCCTGTACCAGAAGGGTAGAGTCATCTACATACATAAAAACATCAGCAGTATCAATAAATGAAGTTAAGTCGTTTATGTAAATGATGAACAATGGGGCACCTAGCACTGAACCCTGAGGCACCCCATGTTTGACTTCTATAGTTTTCGATGTCTTGTTATTTAGTGATACATACTGCTGTCCGTCTTTTAGGTATGACTCGATATCTAATGCTGTTCCACGTATTCCATATTTGTGGAGTTTTTTCAATAAAATATCATGAGAAACACTATCAAATTTCTTTGACAGTTCACATAAGATTGCACGTGTATGTATCCCTACAAGATTTTTGACTATCGTGTGCACTATATCGGTGACAGCTTGAGAGGTTGATCTGAGAGAACAAAAACCATACTGATGATCATTTAGAAGTTTTCCCTTTTCTAAAAAGTTGGTTAATCTGTCCTTGATAATAGCTTCTATTATTTTTGAGATTATAGCAGGTATTATTATAATAATAATAATAATAATAATCGTCTTTATTGTTTCCCAGCTGTAGTTACATACAAATATTTAAATAAATTACAGAGGTAGGGAAATAATACAGAGTCAAATTGATGGAAATTTTATAGAGTTCTAAAGATGGTTTTGAAAATATTACCTTTATTGTATTGTTTCGTTTTTATTTTTCATTGCATGTAGACCAAATTGTGTTGAGGACCTTATATGGGAAAGAATATATATTCACCATTCATGTATGCATATAGGAGTTTGAATATTAATAAGGCTTAATGACTAGATGTTTATCTTCTTCATTGGTGAATATCTTCCAACACTGTAACAATCTTAAGTGATAATTAATGTTTTTTCTGGGAATAATCTCAGGAATGAAAAAATGAATTTGAGAATTATCTTCCAGGGATACAGATACAGGAAACCCTCTGGTTTCTGAACTCCAGGAAGATTTCGAACCTGAAGAAATGTCTTTCTCGAAACTTCCAAAATACAATAAAAAGCAGGAACCTCCGTTCGTGGCGCCTACAAGAATGGTTCAGTCTGAGAGTAGTGAAATAGAAGTTGAAAGAATGGTGCACGAAGACTTTGATATGAAACAAACAAATGATGAATTCGACTGTACCATCAATTCTGAAATCTCAGAGTTAACATCAGACGCTTATGATGGATGGATGGCTGCTGACACCAAGTGGAGGAGATCTCCAGAAGGTTAAGTAACTTTTGCTTTTGATATTCCAAGTGTCCCAACATTGTCTCTGCTCGATGTATTGGTAATACTTATATACTGGATATCTCATAAGCCATGGTTCAAACTAAAGAAGATAGAGGAGGCCATTTCTGATAAAGTGTTCAAATAACATAGGGTCGATTCATTACCGTTTTTGAGTAATTTTTATTTTTGTGATTTTCACAAAAGAACTTGTTTTTGTCAAAAAAAAAACTAAGAAAATCCCGAAAACATTTTTAATGATTTTGTTAGAAGTAAGTAGTAGGATTGTTGGTTTTTCATTGGTAGAATGATTGTAAAAATGTAATTTTCCAGAAAATCTGAGAGGTTATTTTCTTTTTTACATTTCTGTTTTTCAAAAAGTTACAGTGGTTTGAAATGCGTTTAATTCTATCCCAAACAGTCAACAAAAATATCCCTTTTGGTAAAAAGTGCTGCTGACCAAAATAAGGCCTCATTTGTTCAAAAATTCCAAGTAAGTCAGTTGTTTTCTAAGGTAATGGGCACTCGTCCATATAAATCGAATTGTTAACAAATTGTTTCAAAGGAAGCACTTGTAATCTGCACATATATATTTGGTTTCAGCAAGATGGTCTTCACCACATTTTTCCCGCTGAGTATGAAAATTTTCAACAAAAAAGATGGATTGGAAGGGGTGAACGAGTCTCTTGCACGCTACAGTTCCCGTATATGAACCCTCTTGACTTTAATAATCTATATAGAATCTAAGACGTCTCTGTCAAAAATTTCAGATGTCACCGTTATTAATGTAAAAGCAATGGCGAACAGAAACTATAAAATCTTAACCCTGAATATTAGCAGCTCTTATTTAATAAAAATAATAATATTTATTTCACCTGTTGAACAGTATGAAAGCATTACAATAAACATTTATATACAGTAACAAGGAAGACGTCCATGTATAACTAAAAAGAAATATATATATCAATATAAAACAACAAAACATGACAGATACTGATCTGTACATATAACGGTAATTAACAATTTTTTTTTAATCGAGAGTAACTATTAAAACTCGTCAACAGTATAGCAGTTTCTTTCAAAGAGATATTTTTTCAATTGTCTTTTGAATATGCAGATGTTCATTGAGTCCTCAATAGAAACATCTAGCTTTTTATATAGTTTGGGTCCATGCTATAGGTGACTCTTCTTATAGAGGGAGGTTCGGTGAGTATTCACTATCAACAACCCTCTAGCTCTAGTTGCGTATGGGTGGTCTTGCTGGTTTGCGCTAAATTTTTCTTTATTCTTATAAACGTAGAGACTCATCTCATGTATATACAGACCAGCAACTGTATTTCCAGCTCTTTGAATGAGCTTCTGCATGAGTGTCGCCATCCTAAACTAGCAATTATTCTGACCGCACGCTTTTGTAAAATAAATACTCTTTCAGCAGAGGAGCTCATACCCTAATTCAAGATTCCATAGCGCAAGTGACAGCCAATAGTTGCATAATATAGATTTAGGAGAACCTCTCTTCCACAATGATTTGACATAAATCTCAGTTCATAACAGTTCTTTCGTAGTTTTATCACATAGTGAATCTATATGAGGACCCCAATTGAGCTTATGATCTAGAATTAGACCTAGCATTTTTGTTTCTAGTTTGGATGTCACCTCTAGTTGGCTATCTTCATATAATTTGAGAGTTTCGGTGGTGTTCTGCATTGAGAATTTGACTAATGCTGTTTTGCTGATATTTAGTGCTAAATGATTTTTACCAGCCCATTTCATTATGTCATCATATATGGATTCTGTTGTTTCTGCATGCTGCATCATTGTAAATCCAAGATGGTCGGGGCTACAAAATGGCGGATTACATATTGTTTTACAACTACCTCAATATGGGTATCAAATGACAGGGCTTGACTAGTAGAATAGTAGTTGTTACACTTTGAGAAAGATGCAAATTCAAGATGGCCGCAGCTACAAAATGATGGATTACATATTACCTTGTAATACTGAGGTACTAAATGAACTTAACAGAATGAGAAGAATTGAGTAACAACATTAGAAAGTAAAAACTTGAAAATAAAATAAGTCAAAAAATATGTGGAACAATTTTATTGAAAAAAAAATAATGATGTAGATAATGTACTAAAAACTAAAAAATATTTCGGAATGTCCTAGGTAGCAGTCATCAAACCACTCTCCTCAGCAATCTACGGTATTGATCAGATAAAGAAATAATAAAATCGTTTGGTGTAGTATTTACATATTTGATCAGGACCTTCCGAATTATTTTTTAGTTTTTAGTACATTATCTAAATCAATATTATCCTTTTTTTTCAATGAAATCATTTAACATTAATTTTTTTTCTATATTCTATTATATTCTATAGAAGAAAAAAGATAAGGTAATTCAGGTGACTGAACTGAACAGTTCATCTTAAAATATTAGCAAGTCATTAAGGCGATAAACTTTGAGGTACGATGGTCTCAAAAGTTTTCGACCTAACAAAGATACAAAACATATAAGGTTATTCTGTTGTTTTGAAATACTGAAATAACTTAACCCTTCAGACCTACTTGAAATAAAATGTAAAATTTTGTAATGTGAAATGATGAAGACTGTTTTTCAGACTGAAAAGAAAGCTAAGAAGAAGTCTAAAGATAAAGATAGGGAAAAACATAAGGATACAACCAAAGCAGACAGGAAACACAAACGTCAATCTCGTGATGAAACCACTTCCCACAGAGACGAATTGGAAGAGTTTTTGAACGGTCCAGCTGGTTCCCCCATAGAAACCGGTTACGAGGCCATTTAGCATTTTACCTGGCGTCATTGAAAACGAGTATGAATTGAATTTTTAATGTGACGCTTGCATCTTCCAAAGCTTACTAAATTTCTACATAACCCAGGTACTTAATTCGAGGAAAGATGGAAATGAAAAGAGATTGGAGAAAATAGTTTTATTTGTCTGTTGGTGATTATACAGATTATGATTGTTGATGTTTTCCTGTGGTTTTTTTGAATCGTGAAGATAGTGTTAGGACCATTGATGTCTGAAGCAATTTTTCCAAATATTTTTTACTAAAAAGTGATATTTTGAAATGATAAATGAAATTTTTCTTTGCTATGGTTTTGTACTAAATGATTCATGAGCTGTTTATGATGAAAAAAAAGTGTGCTGTAAAAATAAAGAGGAATTACGCTCTAGTTCTGGAACTTTTCTTATTGAAATTGAAATCTTTGGAATTTTGAAGCAAAAATATAGACAATATTTCTGATGTATTTTTGGGAAAGAAAGTTTTTGGCTTTCTGCTACTCTATCTTGATACAAAAAAATGTGGGAATCTTCCAAAGAAAGGAAGGAAGTAATTTGAAAATAAGTAACTCTATACATAGATGTGTAGATCATGCAAAGAAGTAACTTTCAGACACAAACTGGAAGAAAAGCTCTCTCGAATCAGGTACTTTCATATAAACATTGAATTACATGAAAGAAAAGAATTCTTTCAAAACAAATACTTTTATATGAACACTGAATTATACAGAAGATACTTTTCTCTCATCTTGATACTTTTGTATCAAGATGGAGTAGTAGAAAGCCAAAAACTTTCTTTCCCAAAAATTAATCACTCCTAAAAATATAACCCCTTCAATTCAAATTTCTGATGTACTTATGAAATATTCAAAATAAGCTCATTTCTATTATTTTCCAAACTAACAGAGGTAATGAAATATAAAATGTATATCAGGCGAGAAATTATTGTACATTGAGCCAACTGAATGGATGAATTTGAAAAAAAAAACTTGGTTCAAAAAATCAGTTTTTGTAATTTTTCAATTTTTATGAATTGCTTTTCAGGAACAACTAATAACTAATTTTTGGGAAAGAAAGGTTCTGGATTTCTACTTTTCTCCTTTTTCAAGAAAGCAATTTATTTCAAAATAAACTCTTTACAAATATGAGTCATGCAAAGAAGTAACTTTTAGACACAAACTGAAAGAAAGTTCTCCTGAAACAGCTACTTACACGTTTATTCAAATGAGTTCGTACACTTCCTCTTCTTTTCTTATGTTGATGTTAATTGATTTATTCTCAAACNCACTTTTTCATTCTAAGAATGTTCATGAATATGTAATACAGGCATTTGTTCATCATATATTTTCATTATCAAATGCTTGTTAATTTCTCTGCATGATCTGTGTTTTAGTTGTAAGATAAATATAGATAAGGTTAAGTGTCTGTTATTTATTTACGTTTTATATTTTATATTTTGTTAATGAAGTGAGCATTAATCACAGATATTGTTTTTTGTTTTCAAATCCCTGGCATCTCCTGATCGAAGCAAAAGCTGACATGAATTTGAAATCGACTACCACATGGAGTTTCAAAAAGACGTTGTATACTGCTCCATTCGGTAGAACAAATCATTGTCTGATATAGATAATTTTTAACGGCGAGTACGGTTCATAAGTACTGTTGCATTTTATTCATTCCACTTTGACACACGTACTCGTGTGGTGAGAATTCATTTGTAATAAAAGTTTCGAACGTAACTAGGAACATGTTATGGTATAGCTAGTGAAGACAGAGTACCGTTACATTTTTATCCATACTACTTTTATACCTTTAACCATACGGGTCGAACCCCTTCGGATTGTTAGTTATCATAGTAACAACTTTTGACGAGTATCCATGTATCGCACATTTAAGCCTGCCGCATGCGGCATAGTTTCATGCCTTAAGAGTCATCTCGCAATGAACAAAACGTATAGAGAGAGAGAGAGAGAAAGTACTTTATTGTTTATGAATAACATCATGGTTACAAAGTTAAAAAATTAAAAAAAAATAAATAAAATATACATAGCACTGATACCAGAGAAAATATGTCAATAACAATTAAACTTGTTAATAAAAGGTAACATGTCACACTTAATACTATATAAAATTCATGAATATGTAATACAGGCATTTGTTCATCATATATTTTCATTATCAAATGCTTGTTAATTTCTCTGCATGATCTGTGTTTTAGTTGTAAGATAAATATAGATAAGGTTAAGTGTCTGTTATTTATTTACGTTTTATATTTTATATTTTGTTAATGAAGTGAGCATTAATCACAGATATTGTTTTTTGTTTTTAAATCCCTGGCATCTCCCGATTGAAGCAAAAGCTGACTTTGAAATTGACAACCACTTGGAGTTTCAAAAAGATGTTGAATACTGCTCCATTCGGAGATCCAAATCATTTTCTGATATATCTAATTTGTAACGCCGCGTACGGTTCATAAGTTCATACTGTTGCATTTTATGCTTTCTACTTTGACACGCGTACTCGTGTGGTGGTATTCATTTGTAATAACAGCTCCGAACATAAACAGGAACATGTTACAGTATAGCTATTGAAAACGGAGTACCATTACATTTTTATCCGTACTATTTTTATACCCTTACTCTTAACCATACGGGCCGAACCCCATTTGGTCAGTTTTTTGGATGTCGCATCTTCAGCTTATTCGATGACTTCATCGAAGAGAAACCTCTAAAGAAGCTAGCCACTCGCGCCAGCATAACGGCAGGAAAAAATTCATCCAAAACTCGACGAAAAATAGTCACAGGTGAAATATCATTTTCAGAGATACGAAAATTATATTTGAGATATAGATTGTAAACACGACAGGGGTGCAAAACTTCCTAAGTATTACCGATTCAGAATTGCCAATACTTTATTATTATTCCGATGGTTCAGGCTATCAAGGTTGTACGTGATGTTATCATCTCCAAACAGGCGGATGACTCTTTTCTGGATGGAATCCAGCAACTTCAGAGTATGTTTGGGAGCAGAGCTCCATACATGAGAACAATACTCCATAGAAGCTTTATAAAGCATCAAAAGTTGCTGAGGTGTCTACAGTTTTCTGGTTCGGAATAGTGTTTCAAGCTTTTGAGAAGCAGCCTTTGCAATTTCAGCGACATGATTGTGCCAAGACATATTGGTGTCCATTTTAACTCCCAACAAACTTATGGAAGCAGAAAACGGGATTGTCTGACTTGACATTATTATATCCGGTTCGGAGACATTTATCTTCTTGGAGAAAACCGATGCCTGGGTTTTTGTGGCATTGAATTGAACCTGGTTACTTTCACCCCAATTCAAAATCACTTCTAGATCCTTATTAAGATATGCAACCTCCTGCTGCCGGTGAAGATGTACATCCGCAGCCTATGTCCTGGAATCCAAATGGAATGACGAGACAAGTGTGCTGTCGTCAGCAAAGCAATAAATTGGATTCTTGTTTTTTTAGAATGAGTCGTTGAAATACAATAAAAAGAGGGTTGGAGATAATATGGATCCCTGGGGAACACCAGCGTTGATGGTGAAAGTATTCGAGAGATATCCATCGACAGCCAATTGTAGGAAACGTTCTGACAAGCCATAACATCGAAGTTGGGCCAGCAAACCCTTTTTTTCTCTCCAAAATTCAACTTTAACTGCAGCTTCCTTCAGTGGCCATTCTTTCTCACTACAATTATCTATTAAGAGAAAATAGACCTTCATTATTATGATATAATTACTATATTACTCGAAAAATTGACAAAATAGCTCCAATCGAACTAGATAGAACTAGTCAGTCTTATGTAGTTTTGGCATATTTTCTTCCAATGAAAGCCTTTACAAACACATGAAGGAAAACAGATAAAATGATAACAGTAGCGAATAGCATCATGTGATGACTAAAAGTTAGTTCAGTTTTCTTTTCCACTATTAAGCGAACAGTTCCAGCAAGTTCCTTCAGTTGCCAACAGCTGTAGACGTTCGAATCGGAACTTCTGGAATTTTTGATGTGGATTCTATCCGTTATGCTGATGAAGATCCTACCTTTAGATTCCTCGGACACAATTTCCGGAATGAGGTTTTTGTTTCCTATCTGCCACTGTATCGGGGCGTCCGTGTTCAAATTTCCCGGGCATGTCAAAACGATTGTTTTGCCTTTCACACCGTATATTGTTTGACGTTCAACTGTCGGTTCTAAAGGGGGAAAAGGTTGCGCTATGGAATAAATTCCAGCCGAGTTGTTGACTTTTTCAATCACTTTTCCATCCTTATCCACTACTTCGAATATTTTATTCGCTTGACATTTCGTCTTGCAGTATCCAACCATTATCTCGTTTCGCCTGGATTTAACTTGAGGTAGTTCTTTGATAGATTTTGGTAATATATGTGAAACGCAAGGGATTCCGAATTGGAACACGTCGAACAATTCCAAGTCTACATTCGTTATTTTTTGCGCGTTATCTGTCTCATTAGTTGAATTTGACGCCAACGTTAATTTGTGTTTTTCTTTGGAATAAACCGTGCAGTACCCCAGTTTGTTTTTTCTTCCGACTTTACCACAAGTACTACATTTGGACCATTCGGTCCATTCTGTGTCCACAATCAACTGGTAACCTTGGATTATTTCAAACTTTTTGGGATAAGGACCAAGCGGTGTCTCAGGATTGTGTACCTCAAAGAAATCACTGTCGCTCATATTGACCACTGTCAGGAAATATGGGGCGGTCAGTGACTCACCTAGACTGCAGACATACTGGCCGGAATGTTCGATTTGCAAATTGTACAGGTGCAAGGTTTTTTCTCCCGGAGATTCAAAAATATTCTCTGTAAACTCTAATAGCAACCGGAAGNTAAAGATAGAAACCCTAAAGCATAGTCGAATTTGACATTGCTTCCTTCAAAACCTAAAACTGCTTCAGGTGTGGCTGATAAATATTTACCAAGTGTTTCATTCTGTGCTTTCAGGCATATGTAATATTCCTCCCATTTTTGTTCGTTCATTTCTAGGAGTTTCGGGTTTACACCGGGATATTCCGAATTGTCACCTCCAAGGTAATTCAGAGTCTTACCCCTTTGTTTATTGTAAATGCTGGAAGCTTTTTCCCTCAGTTTTTTGAAAGGGCTGTCAAATAGTGCCAGAATACCGGGTATAATTGTAATTAACATTATTTTGTCAGCCAGAGTAGGAGCTTTCATTTTGACGTTTCGAACCGGTAGAAGATTTGTTACATTTTCTGATGCACAAAAATGTTATGTACTGAAAAATTATTTCAGGGCTAATTATTGATGGGCGATGCTAGTTTTTGCTAGCTGATCACGGATTTGAAGCCAGAACTTGGCGCTCTGGTCTACTTTTTGAGGAATCAGAGATTGAAAATCTACTATATCAGGAAATAAATTCACTGAAATTCTTCAATGAACTCTGTCTGTAATTGAAGGAAGTACCTACCTCAATTAATACAAAATCTANATATTTCCCTATAATATGTGAAAATTTTTGTATAAAATGAAAATAAATATAACTCAAAATATTTACCCGATGGACATTTTTTGATGTTGAAGTCGCATTTTTTTTATTTGTTGGCTAGTGTTATTTATCACTGCTTCCAATACATTGTCGAACCACGATAAGTATGTTGTACTTGGCGCCCTTGTTCACTCGTAATATATTCAAATAGGTCGCTGTGAGTTTTGTCTTTTCGATAAAAATCGGTCAATATCTTTGTAAATATTGTATAGCATTTTGAGTAGAAACCGAAAATATTTTTGATATATTTCACATTAATCAATCAGGCTTATCGGATTCTTGAAGTGTTTTTACCTAGTACCAGATAATAATATCGGCTGCACTTATATAAATACCCAATTATAAACGATGAAACACTCAGTTCTTCAGTGATATTCACGAAGAATGTATAGGTAAGTGTAACTTTTACGCAGAATGCTTCCATAAAAAATAACGTTCAATATTATTTCAGGGGTTTATTTTTTTTATCAGCTTTGGCTCTTGCCACTGCAGACCTGCCGGTAATAGATAAAAACGTTTTCAAAAATTGCTCAAGGATACCTTTTTGCTCGTAAGTACTATAATTAAAATATTGTTTACCTGTTTAATTCAAATTACCAGCTTTGAATTTTCTGTTATTCACATAAAGACTACCACTCGAGAAATAGTTAATTGTTCAACTAGTTTCAGAACGCATGCTTTTCATACAAAATAAATAGTAAAATATCATTTAGGCTTTCGGAAGATGTCATGGCTAGCACCAGTCTCATTGGAACGTGCTAGCTCAGAATTTACGTTAGTATTTTACTACCAATAAAAGACGAAAATGCACGAAAAGTCCAGAAAATAATGCTTCAACTCGTAGAGGGATCAAACGCAAAGCTCATGCGTGGTGTTGAATTCCATTGAAAGCATATGCCCGGTGCAAAAAAGGAATTGAAAGCTGTCGTGATATTCCCTTCAGTTTCAATCGTTATCGGCTTCAGCTATCAATAATTATCAGTGAAACGATACAGCACGGCACTGGTCACATTTGAAAGTGTACAACATTTCAGAGTATTTTCTGAAAGAAGTGCAACAAGTACAATACAACAGAAAATAGTGTTGCTCCATGTGGAGAATCCAATCGGACACGTTTGAACTCGCCAGTCGTTGGCTCATTAGAGCCGATTTACACAGAACGGACGTCGGCGTCGGAGGGAGGCGTGGTACGGACGTGGGGCAGACATTTGTTTCTTCCGACGTCTTTCCTCCGTGAACATAGAAACTACGTGTGTGCGACATCGTTTTCACGTCGCCTCATCGTTTCCATATCATTTACGTAGGAAATATGAAGCGGCGGTTATTCGTTAGTCACCCAGCCCTACAAATCCCAGCCACAGTCTCATAAACGCAAATCGTCGCCTGTCCCCACAAATCGTCGCCCAGTCCCACAAATCCCAGCCACAGTCTCAAAAACACAAATCGTCGCCTGTTCCCATAAATCGTTGCCCAGCCAACAAATCCCAGTACCAGTTCCACAAATCGTTATTGTAGCTCAGTCCCATAAGTAATAATAATAATCTTCATTATTACCCATTACATTCCTGGAAAACAATAAGATTTTGCATTATAGGCTTATGAAAGATGATGTTTTCCTGTTACAATCATCATTGCAATAGGAAAGTGACTATAGTTTAATTCCCTTCATATTGCCCGCCTGTCAAATTGTTCTCGTTGTCTCGGCATCGTTTCCACGTCGCCTCATCGTTTCCACAATATTTACGAAGGAAATATGAGAAAAAGACGTTCGTTCTGCGTGAATCGGTCCCACTAATCGTCGCCCAGTCCCACAAATCCCAGCCATAGTCCCACATACACAAATCGTCCCACAAACACAAATTGTCCCACAAATCGTCGCCCGGTTCCACAAGTCTATGCCCAGTCCCACTCATCCCAGTATCAGTTCCACAAATCGTTATTGTAGCTCAGTCCCATAAGTAATAATAATAGTCTTTATTATTACCCATTACATGCTTGGAAAACAGTAAGATTTTTGAATTATAGGCTTATAAGGATGATGTTTTTCTGTTACAATCGTCACTGTGATAGGAAAGTGACTATTTCTTATTGCCCTTCATATTGCCTGCCTGTCATATTGTTCTCGTTGTCAACACGGTTTGTACAATATTTGCCGGAAGCCGAAACTCCATGGTAAAATTCAGTGAATCACAAAATGAAAGTTCTATCCAATTTTTCATCGGTCATCAGATACTTCTTCTACTTGTTGAAACGAACTAATGGTATGTTGTATCATATTGCCATGAAATTGCCTAATATTTTCTAGGAAACGCGAAATATTTGAAAACGATTTGATTTTTCATAATACATCGTATAACTTCCAATATTGTGCAATGATATTGTACGGGTATATCTGCTATAGATCTCTCTATTTCAAAAATAATGAAAATTAATCAATATTGATAATAATTCGTCGTGACTTGGGCCTGTGGTGATCAATTGAGAAAAATATTTGTTAACTAAGTAGTAATAGCTCCATCTCGTGAACGAAACCCTCAAAACGGAAAAGAAACATACCAGAAACCAAAATAAATATGAAGATTATATCAAGGAAAGATACTCACGTATAAGATAATGAATATTTCGAAACAAAACCATTCATCTTCCCAAACGTACCTACACAGTACGTTAGGAGAGATAATACCTTGGAAACCGGTTTGTAGTTTATCTATTTAATTGACTTTGTCATGATCCTGTTGCAGGCAATCATCAGAACCTACTCTGTAGATACTATGGTAGAATTTCACTTTGAAATATTTATTTTCTCATATTCTGTAGTTGAGTACATTATCTGGAATTAGTGCATTTTTGTTTCATTCAAAGATTTATCTTTCATTTATCTACAAATTTTACTTTGTTAAATGTCACGTTATCAATAACATAAGCTCTTCATCTGAATGATTTATTTTTCACACAATATATCTGTTATATCTCACTTTTAACAACATATCACATATGCATTGATAAGGATCTTCGCACGCTCAGTATAATCAGGTTAAACACGTCATTCAAAAAATTCAACCTTGAAGCAAATCAATCACTATAGATTTAGTATTTTTCCTCTACATTATATATTTTTTTCGTTTTTATTTCTGACAAAAAGAATGTAAACATTAAATTTTCAGAAGTAACTCCAAGGTCCAAAGTTTAAAATCATTCATTTCTTTCCATGTCATTGAATGTATGTGTAATATGTATGAATGATCTACTTCGTCACTGTTTAGTAAAAATCCCTCAAATTGGGATGTTTACTAAAAATCCCACTTTGTGGGATTTTTACTAAATTCTACATATGCAATGCTTTATACACCCAATTTTTCGAATTGAAGTACCTAAATTTCAAGTATCTGAGTTTTATTTGGTCATTTATTGTTTTATGTGTACCTAATTTGGTAATGAATTAAATTACATGAGCTTATGTACCTACCAGTTTCCAAATTTTAACAAAATTTTAAGTAACGAAGAGTTATTTGATTCTATTATTTGGTCATTGAGTAAATTTGCTGATTTCTAAACATTCTAGAAGATTGAGTTTCAAACTTTTCTCTTCTAAATGTAACACGTCGTATTCATGATTGAACTCATGTCCTTTTGTTAAAAAGTGTTTGCAAATGTAGAATTAATCTTTCCACTTCTTTCTTTCGCCACTGTATGACGAAACACGTGTTGCGTTTTTTTTCAAGACCAAACACAAGCACTACAGGAAAATCCTAAAGGCGCACTTAGAGCGGTGCCTGTGCGGAAGTAGGGATTCACATTGGACTTGAATCGCTGGAGATTAAAGCCATTTGGAGAAAAGTTCTCAGGATGTTTATTCCACGTAAACACCGTTCTCCAAATGAAAGTGTTCTCAATCAGTGAAGTTCGAGGTGTACTGAGTTGAACCTCAAAACGATGAGCAGCCACAGTCCGTCGCGTATTCGTGATATGTACCGGTGCCAAGTCACTTGAACACTTCCCGTGAAAGTATCTATAGAAGAGAGACAAATCTCCAACCTTTCTTCGATCTTCTAGCTAGACTATCAAGGTTGCAAGTGATGTTCGCGTCTCCAATCAGGCGAATGGCTCTTTTCTGGATGGAATCCAGCAGTTTCAGTTGGGTCTGATCTGAGCTTTATAAAAGATCAAAAGTTGCTGAGATGTGTACAGTTTTCTGGTTGGGAGCAGTGTTCCAAGCTTTTGAGAAGCAGCCTTGGTTTTTTCCAATAAGCCGTTGATATACGATAAAAAAAGGTTGAAGACAATATGGATCCCTGTAGAACACCAGCGTTGATGGTGAAAGTATTCGAGAGATATCCATCGGCGGCCACTTGCAGGGAACGTTCTTCCAGGAAGCTGAAGAGCCTTACACAGAAGTGATCCGAAAAGCCACAGCATCATAGTTTGGCCAGCAAACCCTCATGCTACACATGGCCTCTGAAATATCAAGCGCAACAGCTCTTGACTCTCCATGTTTCTCGATTGCGTTATTCCAAATATGGGTGACATACCATAGAAGGTCGCCTATTGATCTTTGTTTCCGAAAGCCATATTGATGATCGCTCAAGATGTTGAAACCTTCCAAATAATCAAGGATACTCTGGTTTGCTCCTTTCTCTATGATTTTTGATATCACTGATAGCAAAGCAACTGGTCTATAGTTATTTGGAAGAGTTTTCTTGCTCTTTCTGGGAATAGGCTGAACGCAAGCAATCTTCCAACAAGAAGAAAAAACCCCTTTCTTGCAAGACAGGTTGAAAAGTCTGCAAAATACTGGTACGCACTTTTTAAGCATTCAAAAAACAGAATAAAGTTATATAGTGATGAAATGATGATGAGCCAGAAAAATATACTTCTGATTCTGAAAAAAATGATTCCACTAATAAATGTAATAGACGACTTTTCTGATTTTCAGCACTCTCCGACATCGAGTTTTAGAAGACGCCTTAAAATATACTGCAGATATCGGAGGATTTTCGATTCGTAACAATGTCGTTAACGTCCCGTTATATAATTATGATTCAGTTTTGAATATGCAATTATATCTTCTGGAAGGCAATAAAGCCAGAGTTAGAATAGCAGAATTGGAAAATACCCGATTTGAGCTGGAAGACATAGTAATCGTAGAAGAACTCAAAAAAAAGAAGTGAGTTATAAACAACGAATTTGTTGAAGTACAAAATAGTTACTTACACTTGGGGCAACCAAAGGTTACACGTGCGTCATCATTTCGTGCATCCGAAATAAGTTGACAGAGTTATGAAAAAGAAACAATATTTTTGGTTCCGACATGTATTCGTTTCTTACTTGGAAAGGAAAACTATTTAAAAGTATTTTTTTTACTGCACATTTCATAGATGACGCATATGTAATCTTTCGTTGCACCAACTGTGCTTCAGAATATTGTAATTACTAAAATTAATGCTCCATACAGTATTTTATTATGGTTTTGTTTAATAAATTTGTTCTTTTTTTTAGACTGAAAGTAATATTGGAAACACAAAGTGTTTTATTCTACTCTGAAGACTCCCATCATAGTATTCGCGTCGCTAAGGGTCCTCCGTTTTTCGTGAGATTCATGTATAAAGGCGATATTCTCGTGGTTTTGGACGCAGAACGGATCTTCATGCAGAGCGTAAGTATATTTTCGATAAAAATGACACACGAGCATTCGATAATTGACATAATGTTGATATTTTCTTAACGGGTTGAGCAGCCAATTGTCAATTGATTGAAAAACACATACTATATCGTGGTGATGAATACGAAATCAATAGTTTCGGGGGCATTTGTCGTTATTTTGTTAATGTCATCACAATTCACTTCTATCCCTCAATTTACATCATCACGTTGTAGAATAGGCAACACTGTACCATTACATAAACAGTGGTATTAACTGTATCTAGCATTTTTTCAAGTGGCCCACGTAAATTGAATCGAGTAAGCCATGTTAGTCAACATATGTAAATGAAAATTCTATATGTATGAGTCGCTATACCAGTGTATAGGCATCTTAGAGGTTGCCTTTGGATATATTTATCACCGAAGCTTCTTGCTGTTTCTTCATGATTCAACAACTGGATGTAATTGCATTTTCAAAGGTATATAACAAAAGTTTATTCGGTTTTCTGAAAGCGAGTTCATGTTCCTGATGTGGATATATTCTACAATATATTTTTCCGACAACTTGTAGTAGTTTGTACACTTCTTCATGAATAAAATGAAATGGGATAATCAAATATCGACGACGAACTTTTGCAGAAATGATCGGCTAAATTGAAGTATTTTGAATTTCAGACTAAGGAAAGTGAAGCATTCACTTTTGGGGTTGAATTCGACGGATCTGAAAGACTTTACGGTCTGTTCCACCATGCGTATCAACTTGCTTTGAAAGAAACGATGGACGATTCTTCTGATCCTTTTCGATTCAGAAATTCAGACTCTTGGGCCTATGAAGCGGACTCACCCATGGCTCTTTATGGGACTGTACCAGCAATATACGGTCATTCGTGAGTATGAGTTTTTCAAATGGGTTGACGCTTGTTCCTGTATTCCCCACCAATAGTACCACTATCACTACTATTGTGAGCGAAAATATTCAACTTTTTTGATTGTCTATCGATTTGATAGAAAAAAAAACATTTCCAATCAATGTGACTTTTAGCTTCAACTACAGCCACTTCCTTAGCTCACAAAAGTTTCGACTTCTGAGGATTATCGTCCGTAGGGTAGAATTCATATTCTTTATATATAAGTCAATGGATATTCACCAGTTCTTTAATTTCAATTTCATTACAGAGCAAATGTAAGTTCTGGAATATTTCTTCACAATGCTGCAGAACAATGGATAGACATTACTTATAAAGATAGAAACCCTAAAGCATATTTTATGGTAGAGGGAGCAGCTTTTGATCTCTTTATTTTCCTTGGACCCACTCCGAAAGATCTTGTTAGACAGATTACGGCATTAACTGGAAAGGCACATATGCCACAGGTAAATATCACAGTTTTTCCATTCCTATATTTATGATTTCGTTTCTAAATTTTTCTATTTAATGAACCTAAATATAGATTGTTGGTTCTGATAGTGAAAATATGATTTCCTTCAATATAAAAACTCACGTACTGCTAACTTTTATTTCTCTCCTTATACGTAAACAATTTTTCCTTGCAGTACGATGCAATGTCACATATCACGTGTGTGTATCTGAAAACACCTGTTGAAAATAGAATATTATATAAAATACACTAAAAACTAGTTTCAGTTTGTGTAAAAGGAAGGTTTTCGCCCTTATTCAATAATAATTGAATTAGTTTCTAGAAGTTTGTTATTGTTCCTTATGTTATTTGCCACCTGATTGGTATCTAATATTTACCTGTTTTCTACCAGCAATTACGTAAATGTGTGAACGAAAGACTCTTAGGAATGAGGCTTTTCTCCGGTACCTGGATCTCCAATATGAGGAAATCAGTACCTGGATCTTCAGTATGGAGAAAACAGTACCTGGATCTCCAGTGTGGAGAAATCAGGACCTGGATGTGCAAGTACTGAGGTGTCATCAAATTAATTTACTATCGATCCCATTTCATTCACCGCCATATTTCTGTTACAAGTGAACCGTTGAAATCAGATTCCATTTTATTCCATCCCTGACTGATTCCATAACTCTTGTATTCGATTGTCATTGTTTATCAGGAACAAATAGGGACTTTAACTGTCAGACATATTGAAATCAGATATAAGGTTGGGAGATGGTGAGATTTCAGTTTCTTCTTACGTAAAGGTGTGAAAAAAAGGCTCTTAGGAATGAAGTTCATAGGTCTCATTCTACATTTTTTGATTTTTCAACTTTCGAAGGCATCCAAAAACTGTTGTCATCTACCTCCCTAACAATCTCAAGCATCCTAGTGTCATCAAATTAATTTACTATCGATCCCATTTCATTCACCGCCATATTTCTGTTACAAGTGAACCGTTGAAATCAGATTCCATTTTATTCCATTCCTGACTGATTCCATAACTCTTGTATTCGATTGTCATTGTTTATAAGGAACAGATAGGGACTTTAACTGTCAGACATATTGAAATCAGACATAAGGTTGCGAGATGCTGAGATTTTAGTTTCTTTTACCATATCTTCGTTATTTCCAAGTATCCCCTTATCAAAAATGATCAAATATTCTACCAATCTTTTAGAAACAAATGAATTATGCGGTGAAGTAGTGAAAGAGTACATCCAGCTGACACAAATTTGCATGGGGCAGAATTGTTTCCAGTTCGCTAACTGTTTATAGCAGCATCTGTTCATGAGCGGTTTTGAATTGGAAGCAAGAGAACTGTTGGATGACTTTCCACGAACTCAGATCCCATACATGAATGATGTATTTGCCATTTTCGACAATGATAAAAGTGAGTCAGAGGATTTTGGAGCTTGTCTCAACAAGAAGTCCTGAAATATAAAACTCCCGGATAAAATTAATATAAGTTGCCATTCTTGGATGTTCTAGTCATAAGAAACATCGATATGGGTTGAGAATTGGTATCTGATCTTTACCTGCAACTACGTAAAGGTGTGAAAAAAAGGCTCTTAGGAATGACGTTCATAGGTCTCATTCTACATTTTTTGATTTTTCAACTTTCGAAGGCATCCAAAAACTGTTGTCATCTACCTCCCTAACAATCTCAAGCATCCTCATTTAATCTGTGGCCGTTCTCTATGGTACTTATATGGTCTATGCAACTGAATGTGTGGAATATGTTCTTTGTAGCGGGCTTTCATAGTCCGCTCGGTTTGACCAACATACTTTATATCGCCATCCTCATGGTTAATTTCCTAAATCCTAGTTGTTTCCTTTTCACAGTTTTGACTTTCGGGTTAATATGAGCAATTTTGAAAGCCACTTTCATATTGAATTTTTCATAAATATGGAACCGTATGTTGATGAATATTGGTTCGTGGAAAGTAATCCAACTCTTCTCTTGCTTCCAATTCAAAACCGCTCATGAACAGATGTTGCTAAAACCGTTAGCGAACTGGAAACAATTCTGTCCCTTGCAAATTTGTGTCAGCTGGATGTAGTCTTCCACTACTTCACCACATAATTAATTTGATTCTAAAAGATCCTTCAAATATATGATCATTTTTGATATGGGGATACTTGGAAATAACGAAGATATGGCAAAAAAACCAAAATCTCACAATCTGCCAACCTTATATCTGATTTTAATATGTCTGACAGTTCAAGGCCCTATTTATCCCTGATAAACAATGACTATTGAATACAAGAGTTATGGAATGAGTCAGGAATGGAATAAAATGGTTAGCTGATTTCAACGGTTGGATTCGATAGTAAATCAATTTGATGACCTGGAGATCCAGGTCCTGATTTCTCCATACTGGAGATCCAGGTACTGATTTCTCCACACTGGAGATTCAGGTACTGATTTCTCCACACTGGAGATCCAGATACTGATTTCTCCATACTGGAAATCCATTAATGATTTCTCCATACTGGATATTGTTCAACATCCTCGCACTTTAATGGTGTTCAACGACTTGATGTTAATTTGTGACATCCCTTCTCTGATACCTGTGAGATACCAGATGACAAGTCGATTTGCCTTGATCTTTTTATGTTTTTTTCATTCTTAGATATTGGTTGGAGACCTGAAGTAGGGCTCTTTTTTATTCAGTTCGGAAATTGGAATTACTCTCGTGTGATATCAGTTCTGGATAAACCGTGGATGGAATGCATTTGGTTTTTTTGTTGGTATTGAGGCTTGAAATGATTCGATTCATTGTTTTCTGTGAATAGGCAATTTGTGGCATTCGGTTTCTCTAGATTCACACGATTGAAATGTTTACTTTGAAGGCCTGGGATACCGAAATGAAAAGTTATAATATGAAAGATTTTCTTTATTGAATTTATGTTTAAAAATAGAAAAAAATAATTATATGCAGAAAAGAAGAAACTGAAAGTCGATTTACAGAGAAACGTATCTGCTACGGGAAGGAAATGTGTATCTATATCCGATCCACATATCGCTGTTGACAACAACTATTCGGTCTACTTGGGAGCAAAAGACAAATATTTCGTCAAGTGGGCTAATGGATCCAATTATGAAGGTAATCAAGATGATTGAAGAACATTTCACTCATTGAACAGAAATCATATACCAGAATATTATGTGGAAAGAATGATCATTTTTGCTATTTGCCAAATAAAATTTTTCATTTTTTAGCTGACTGCTGGCCAGGTTTATCGAGCTGGATAGACTTTATGATACCAGAAGCATCTGACTATTACTCAAGTTGGTTCGCTTTCGACAAGTTCAATGGCAGTACCGAAACATTAGCTGGTATCTGGAACGACATGAATGAACCAGCTGTATTTGACGATACCATAGAGAAAACCTTACCATTCGAGGTATTGCACGCTGGAGGAGTCAAACATGGAGATATTCACAACATCTATGGATTTATGCAAGTAGGATCCGAGTTTATTTTCATTGGTAGTTACAATAATTACACATATTCGGACAATATTTTTTTTGTACATTAAGAAAAATAAGTAGGTATCAGAAAAAATTTTCACGATCTTTTCCGGACTAAAATCAGTCCAAAAGACCGTATACTACTTGATAAAACAGAAGGTTTTTGGTGTTGTATAAATGCCAACTCATTTAATAATATGGATAGGTATTTATATCTATTGGACATTATATTCAAAATTTCGCCATAAGTTGAGTAAGATTAGCCAATATTATAATATAAATTGCCTCTCATTTTTCAACTGTCAATGAATGAAAATTTTCTATTTTTTAGACAAGAGCCACCCACAAAGGACTCATGGATCGTGATCAACAAAAGAAAAGGCCTTTTATTTTGAGTCGATCAACCTTCGCTGGATCCCAAAGGTATGCCGCTATGTGGACAGGGGATAATTCTGCCACCTGGAACCATTTTGCTAACACCTACCCAGAATGTATGACGGCTAATTTAATGGGTATGGTATTTTGTGGTGCCGATATCGGAGGATTTTTAGGAGATCCTAGTGACGAACTGTTGCAGAGATGGTATCAAGTGAGTACATGATCAGCATCTATCATTCTCTCAATATGGGAAATGATGTATTCAAAGACTAACGATGCCCACGACTTTGAGAACTTTAGTTTTTCACTTTTTCAGGTATTATAACACCAAAAAGTCTAATGTGTTTTCCTATCTTTGGATTCATTAAAAACATCGTTCTACATACTATAAATACAGTTGACCAAAGATTCAGCACCCCCTCCTTATGCTCAGCATCTGATGCTCTAGAATCTCATAGAGAACTAGTGATAAAGTGAGATGGTAATCAGCCCAAGCAGCGTGTTGACCTTCTTTGTTTCCAAATTATTTTCAAAAAATGTAGAAATACCGTGGTAATTGTGCTGTAACTTTCGAACTTCATACGGTTACTGTGCCGGAGACAGTACCAATTACTGTGAAATTTTTATTCTAACTCGGTGAATATTCTACAAAACAATCGAAATTTACACGATTACTGTGCCGGTAACTATGAAATTTCTATTTGGGATCAGAATTGGCTAGTTCTAGATCAATACCTTACTGAACAATTCAAACTTTACACGGTCACTGTGTCATTCACTAGGAAATTTTCATTCGGGATCAGAATTGGTTAGGTTAGGTTAGGTTAGGTTATACCTTACTGAAAGGTCAATACCTTACTGAAAAATTCTAACTTCACATGGTTACTGTGCCGGATACTGTACTAGTTACTATGAAAATCCAATTCTGGATCAGGATTGACTAATTCTAGGTGGATATTGTACAAAAATTGAATTCTGCAAGGTTACTGTGTCGGTTACTATGAAATTTCTATTTCGGATAAGAATCGGCTAGTTCTAGATCAATAACTCTCTAAAAAAAGTGAACTTTTCACGGTTATGGTGCTGGATACTGTACCGTTTACTGTGGAACTTCTATATGGGATTTGAATTGGCTGATCCCAGTATACGGGATCAGAATTACTGAAAAATTCAAACTTCACACGGTCACTGTGTCGTTAACTGGGATACTTTCATTTGGGATGGAAACTAGCTAGTTCTAGGTCAATACTTTATTAAAAAACTCGAACTTTACATGGTTACTGTGCTGGATACTGTACCAGTTACTGTGAAATGTCAATTCAGGATTGAATACTTCTAGGTGAAAATCCTACAAAAAATTGAATTATACACGGCAACTGTGCCGCTAACTATGAAATTTCTATCTAGGATAGGAAATGGTTGGTTTATACGGTTATACGGTTATACTGAAATATTCTTTGTGATCGTTAAACTGTGAACTCATTTCAGTTCCCAGTGAAGTGTTGAACACGTATTAAACATTTTAGGTTCAGTACAACAAACCAGCTACGTCCATGAAAAAACTTTTAAAACTCTTTTCGAATTTGTCTGTGGCTAAACCAATCAATCAACACCCATCCAACAATTTAATTGCAAAGAATCATTTTCGATATATGGTCCACATAATGCCTTTCAGTTCAAATGTATCGTAAAAGGAATCTTTAAAAGACCCAACATCGACAGCTTCTATTTTTGACGAAATATTTGTTATTGTGCTATTGTTTTGTAGATTTTTGGAGTTTTTATACAAGAATAGGTTTTAATTCCTCTTCAAAGATCGGAATCATTCGGTTAGTATACAAAAAAATACTTTAATATATATTTCAAATCAGAAATACAATTAAGAATCATCATGTCCTTGACAAAAGAGACTTTTTGTTTGAGATGCCATCAAACTAGCAGATTTCAAAATTGAAAATTAACCATTAAATTGATTAATTTCATCAATTTATTTGTCAAGTTTCTCAGAGAAGTCAAACACAATTTCGAATAAGAGACTACATTAGAACTGTTCTCCTAATTGATGACTCAAAAGGATCCAACAGTTTTTCTCAACACATAGAATCTCTAATGATTTAAATGCGATCTCAAAGATTTTCTGAAATACTCGTATTCCTCGTAAAAATACTACATAGTATAGTATTGTCTTGATGAGAATATATGTAGTTGAGTTTATCACTAGCGAAGATATTGATCATATTTTCTCATGAATATCAGTATTTTGTCTTTCGGCTCGACTGTTTTGAAAATTCATCATTCTTACATTTCAGGGTGCCGTTTGGACAACATTCTTCAGAGGCCATTCAAGCAGAGAATCGCAGCGACGCGAACCATTCTTGTTCTCTGAGGAAGTTCAAAACGTCATCAGAAATGCAATAAGATTACGATATCAACATATTCCAGTATTTTACAGATTATTCTTCGAACATACCAGGACAGGCGATCCAATTCTCAGGCCTCTATTCTATCAATACACTGACATCAACGAAAGAGATACTCAAATGCTCATAGGTGAGTATATACAGAAACATATTTTTCAGTTTTATAAAAATAAGTTCAACAAATTAGGAGTTTGAAAAAACGCGATGACATCTCCTCTCTTGAAGATGTTCAAACCAAAACCCCAAAAGAACTAGTTGTCTTGCAATGAAAGGTCTGAAGAAAGACAGAGAACTGATTTCATTCGACGGTAGGAATTTTAGTTTGGCCTCGTTCAAGCTCCGTCACGCTGGAACCCGCTTTGAAAAGAATCTACCTTTTTTTAGCCTACTTTACCTACAAAAGATACTAATAAATGTAGTAATGTTCATTTGTTTGTAGTGTTATCGATTACTGAAAAAGCATTATCGATATCATTCTAATTACGAAGGACGAGTAACAATGTGCCAAAAAGTTCTGAAATAGGTTCTAAATGGATTGTAGTTTATTATAGTAACAACAAAATATTACTATATTTCATATTCTTTTGAAGTATAGTAAAAAAGCTACGATAACAAGACTTCAAATCATAAAATAACAATTGTCCTCAAACTACAAACGATGGAGTTGATTGTAGCTGAAATTAGATGTTTGTAGTTGCCATTAAACACATCAAAAATGAATGAAATAATACCAAGTATTTTTCAACTAATCTAACATAACATAACCTATCCTAACCAATTATGTAACCTGAAATCTGAAGTGAAACATTATTAACTACTAACATATTTTTTGAACGGGTCAACTCAAAAATTTGAAATTTGGGATAATGAAATTAATGCATGAATACTTTATTTTGAAGTGAAATTGATAGATGAAACTTTCAAGATGGCGACTGGGCGCCATCTGGGAAAAAATTAAATGGAAAGGGGGTCTCGTGACACATCTCTTTGAAGGTCTTGACGAATACTTCAAAACCCTAGAATATGAAGTCAATGTCTTCACCTACTACAAAATGGCGAAACTTTTAATAATTGCCTGAATACATTGACATTTAACTCCATAATATTTATGAGGTAATAAGCTTGAGGTCACTTCAGAAGATGCTGGAAATGGTTGCCTGGAACTTCTTGACATATTAACAGCCTATCCGATATTTAACGCCAAACATTTTCGAATACAGTAACGTCAATATCTCTACAAATATCTATTCTTCTCAGCCGTATATCCAACAATAAAGCAGGTTCAGTTCCGTACCCGTTTTGCTTCAAATATCCCCATAAAAAAGTCCAAAGGTTTCAAATCTGGCGAGCGGGCTGGCCATTCTGGAGGACCTCGACGGCCAATCCAACGACCGGGAAAAGTAGCGTCTAGAGTAATGGGGTGGAGCTTCATCTTGTTGAAATACAATATCCATATCGAATTCATTAGGATTCGCTTCGACGATTTCAGTGATGAGAGGGTCAACAGTATTTTCCAGCATATTCAAATACAGTTCCCCTGTTGAATTTTGTTTAATAAATAGAGGTCCTACATTATGGTTTCTCAATATTCCTGCCCCAACGTTGATTTTTTCTGGATATTGGGTATATGTTGCCCGGAAAACGTGAGGGTTGGTGTCACTCCAATAACGGTAATTCTGTCTGTGAACATTGGCGTTTAAAAAAGTGTACATTCGTCACCAAAAAAATATTGTGGAGATTGGTAGGATGCCTTGCGAAGGTTTCCGGCATGATTTCGCAGAATTCTGTTCTTCCATCAGGGTCGTCTTCAGTTAATTGGTGTACCATCTTAATTTTGTATGGATGATACCTATTCCTCTTCAAAAGTCTCCACACAGTAGAAGGAGATACCTCACAAATATTCGCGACGGAATATGTAGATTGTTCAGGATTTACTACCATCTCACTAATTTTGCACTTGCCATTCTTCCGGTATGGACGGATAACCTGAGGGTTTTTTCTTAAGTACACTACCGGTAGTTGTGAATTTGGATACAAAATAAAGTATTCATGCATTAATTTCAGTATCCCCAATTTCAAATTTTTGAGTTGACCCGTTCAAAAAATTAAAGGGGGCGGCATTAAAAAAAAACTATATGCGACTTACTCAGTTACCATTTACCAGCTACCAGTGAACAATACTGCATTTGTCCGGCTAAGATTTCTGCCTTGGTACGGCAAGCCGGCCTGATCTTGAGATTCGGGAATAGAGGAGGCATCATTTCACCAAGAACTCCAATAATCAAAACAACCATCTTTGACACGGTGGTCTAGATACAGTCTGTCAAGCTCGAAGAGAAAATCTCGATATTTTATCCGTATTTCTCCTCTTTTTGGACGATATTCTTTTCGCCAGGAGCTGTTGATCGTTGATGGTCGAGAAGAACTACATCCGGCTCACATATTCTTCATTTACTAACTTCTTTCTTCGTTTCAGGTACGGATATTATGTCTGTTGCAGTCACGAAACCAAATATAACTTCGGTGAATGTATTTATTCCTGGAGAATCTGAGTATTGGTATAGAGTAGATGAGGGATGGTCCGTACATGCTGGAGGGAAAGAAGTTAATGCTGAAATTAATATCGCTACCGTGAGTTCCTTCCTTTATCTTCATATTAGCTTCTCCCTACAGTCGGATAACACATGTCTATCAAAATTGGGTGTAGTTCAATAAAATCTGAAAATCACTAAATACAAAAAATGTTTGGTTCAGATTTGACTGTAAATTTTCACAGTTTGAACAATTTTGGTGTATCATAAATGAAAATCATATCCACTAACTTGTCCATGTATGTGTAAGTATGAATATTAATCATTCTGACACATAAGAGAAAGTTTAAGTTTTTGTGGAGGGTAGTCGTAAAATTTCAACAAAAAAAAACCAATAATCTACATTAAAGCTATATTCATGTATTTATTATATTATTCATCATAATTGCATTTTTTTCAGTCTCCGTATTATTATAGAGCGGGAAGTATCATAGTAAGGCAAGATACAATTGTAAAATCAACAACTGAAGCACTGAATGCCTCATACTCTATTTACGTCAATCTTGATCTGGTGAGTAATTATTAACTTAGTAACTATCGACTTTTAAAATGAAAATACATGCGTCGGAAGAGTCTGGGGATTTTTTTATAAATTAGCAATATTTTTATAAAAACTGATATCCTGAAATTATATTGTGAGATCAATGGTATCAAGGACTGTCTTCAACTCTCCTTCAATCTGAAACCTGTTGAGCAATGGTGTTTTTCGCAACAATCTTCCTTTAATGACGTACACACTAAAAAATTGTCCATTTTCATATTAATATATAATAAACGATTATCGACTTCAACAGCCTCACCAATCTAGGTGTTACCTTCTACACAAAACTTTCCTTCATACCACATATTGAAGCCATTATGTCTGATGCAAACATAATGTATGGATTTATTGCACGTATTTCCAAAAATTACTCGAATCAATCTACATCGATAACTTTATACTTTGCTTCCGTCAGATCAAAATTAGAATATGCATACATAATCTGGAATCCATCTCATCAGTTGTATGCAGAGAAAGTTCAATCCGTACAACGTCGTTTCTTAAAACTTCTCTCATGTAGATCAGACAATATCTATCCACCAATTGCATTTCCCCATGATGCATTGTTAGCTAGACATGCTTTGAATAGTTTGAGTTGCTGTCGTGATTGTCACTCCACAATTTTTCTTTTTGAACTGATTGATAATCTAATTATTAACCCACATATTCTGCCAAAACTTAATTTCAATGTACCTAGACCAACCTCTAGAGTGGTTATTTCTTTTTATCTGCCAACAGCACGTACAAATATTCTGAAACGTTCACCTCTCTATAACATGTGTGTCAAATGCAATTCTGCAAGTTGTCTGCTAGACATTTTTCACTGTTCCATCTCTGAGATTAGTTTTTTTCACTTCAGCTAATTCTATATGGATTGTTTTCATCTTACAACTTATTGTAATTGCATTGTATTGTGATTCGACTTATATCCCTGTTCTGTAGTTCGGTATAACCTTTATACCGGTATAACAGTGTATAAATTAATAAATAAAAATCAATTTGGTTGGTTCTTCAAATTATAATACTGCTACAACTGCCTTATTTTTGTATATATTTTGCGGAACAAGAAATGCAAAAATGATAACAAATATTTCATAATAATCTCCAACATACTTTTAGAAGAAAAAAAATGTTCAAAAACCTTAACATTCAATGAGTTTCCATCTTCAAAATTATCTAGCCTAAGTCTTCCAAGTAAAATATTCAATTGGATTTAATTATATATGAGTAAAATAAATATGAAGGCAGAACCAAAAAATATTAAACTTGGTATGCCTCAGGGGTCGGTTCTAGGCCCTTTACTTTCTGCTACATATGAATGACTCACGTCAACATATAGTAGATAGGCACATTACAATATTTGCTGGTGACACCGCCATAACAATATCGAGACAAAATGTTGAGTAACTTATCTACAAATCAGAAACCATTGTCGACCATTTCAGTGCGTGCTGTCAGGAAAATAAACTCATTTTGAATACTTTCAAGTCAGTATCGATGGAATTGAATTTTAGGGCAAATACTTCAGATGATCCTGTCATGAGCGAGATTTAAAACTCTGTGGAAGTGAAATTTTTGGGTACCTACTTGGGTGCTAAACTCAACTGGGATAAACAAGTAGATCATACGTGTTTATTGAGGATCAATAAGATACACTATGTCATAAAGCAGCTGAAATCAAAATTATTGAATCAGGATTACTCAGAATTCATTATGTAATGGCATATTCCAATATCATATCATCTATGGCTTCAATGCCATAAAATGTCACTAAATTTTCAGAAATCTTCATATATATTTGAATCAAAAAGGTCTGTATCAATTGATTAAAGGAATCCAAATACATTCCATAACGAAAATAATGAATACTCTTCTAGTGCTGAGTTTCTTGGTGTCATTCTAGATGAAAATGTATCTGTTTTAAAAAAATATTTTCTTGTGCTCTGTTTGTACTTGTTATAGTTAGTTTTGAATTACTGTTTTTTTCTGCCATAAACATTGTATGTTTCTTGGAGAAATGAATCATCATTAATGTAATGATTTGTAGTAATGGAGTAATGTCTCAATGAGCGTATTTATTGCCGGTTCATCACTATAGAGAAAAAAACTTAACTTTCACAACTACAAATGCGTTGCAGGTTCAGTCTAGCACCACTGATGATACCTATGGCGAGTCGAAACAGTGCTGCCTAGTGCTGCATCATAAATGCGTTGTGTTTGGGTTCTGGTTTTCAACTATATAACAATCTCAATAAGTCTGTAAATGAAAGTTTCAAATATTAGGTGCACATGAATTATTTTCGATATTATGCTAACAACACATTTTTTTCAGAACAACCAAGCAGAGGGTCGCTTTTATATGGATGATTTTATTAGCTTCGATTACACCAACAAGAACGAATATATATACTTTAGCATGCGGGCTATCAACCATAAGTTGATAATTACGTAAGTGTAGTTGTATGAATCAATTCTTTTAGATTATGCTTTTCATACACACCAGAACTGTAATGCTCTTCTCGACAGGTATTTCACAAAGGAAGTAAATTGGATAGTTGAAAATTTATGTGTTAAAATTCGATCGATTATAATATACATACACAAGATAATGTATCCAATTTAAGAGGAAAGAAAACCAGCAATAAACTAGAGCGACAAGTCAAATGCTGAAAGATAAAATCCCAAAACATGCTGAATTTCATTTCAGAACTTGACAATTTACCAAACTAACATGCACAGTTATTGCCGATTAGAGTAACTATCAATTTCATTACCATTAAGAATGATCGATCTTTTGAAAAAAGATCATAGGAAACCGTTATTTTAACACCTTCAAGAGGAAGATCTTTCTCTTAAAGATGATCACTTGGTGATCGAAACCCGTGTCGAGGTGTTAAAATAACGGTTTGATGTTGGGAAAAATCCCAGTAATATTCATTACTACATCAAAGGTTCCAAACACTGCATCACAAGTATACACTCCTATCAGAGAATTGCTCACATTTCCACTGACATCATTGCTACGTACAATTCTACATCTGTAGCTCTCTGATAGTAACTTCCTTCTAAAAGCCAGGCTGTACCAATCCAAAGTACAACGCTTCATGAGCAACACAGATCTGAAAATAACAATTCTCAACTTCACTAGTAATTCAAAAATGGAATCAACTGGTCCACAAATATGAAACAATTTCTCTTATGAATACACCACTATGGGATAGACAAAAAACAATGAATATCAATGGTGAATGAGAGTTCACAGGGCGGTCTGTCACGAAGTCAAGCTTCAACATTGACCTCAGAGAGAAAAATCGCTATCTGTTGCTTTCACTGCAAGTAGGCCAGTAGACGATACCAAAGTCCGAAAGTGTTGTATCTGGTATTGCGTCTGGTTTCGAACTATGAATGCATCCCTTTTGAATTAATTGCAAGCATTATTCAACTTTGTGAATCGAAGGGTTTAGTTGCTGCCTTTCCACTAACTTGCACTAACAAGCTGATCTATTTATTAATACAAACTATTTGGCAGTACACAATATTACTTGTTAGTTTTTGAGTGATCGGCAATAAAAAAAACATTTTTTTTTCAATTAAAGTCCAACTGAATACTATCGAACAATCAATAAGTAAATATTTTTATTTCAGGCCAATTGATGGAAATCATGGAGACTTGGTCGCCCACTTAAAAGAAGTTATAGTACATAGAATTGTTACTGAAAATGATGGTTAGTATATTTCAAGAAATTGTTGGAATTTTGTATCATTAGCAAAAAACTGTTTTTGAATATACCGAATGGCGAAAATTCAATAGCATACTATTGCTATCTTAGTAACGGTAGAAGATACAGGTTTGGTTAAATCAGAAAATATTACGGGCCATTATCGAAATATTAAAAAAAAAAGTGGAAACGCTTTGATTTCGATTTTTCCGTTCTGTTTCTTCATTTTACAGAATATTCAGATAAAGTTCGAAGGTTTTTGATTAAATAACATGAATACTACAATATTTACTGATTTCAATTTTCATACGACGTTTCGTTCATTTAGGGTCACCCTTATCGAATACGGGCCTGTATTTTTCAAAGCAACTTATGATGCCTCAATTCTGAATTGATCAATGCGTAGCAAATTACTTTATATCTTTTTCAATCTAAATGACATAAAAATAATTTTTTCGTATAGAAAAATGAAATTACGATATTATGATTTTTGTATTGATTTCTGATAGACTGAATAAAAATGAAAGCAATGGATAACTTGATCCACGTGATGATATTTTGTTTTGTAATGAACAAGTTACCACTTTCTCGAAATTTCAGTGTTGATTGAAAAATTTTCGGCATTTTTCCAAGCACAATTGATTTTTAAATATTTATAACAGGCTTCAAGTTCCTTTTTTCACTTTGTAGTAACAAATCAAGTACTCACCTAGATATTAACTTTGGGAGACAATCATGATTATCATAAGTGATAAACACAGGATTCAGAAAGGTATCATAACTTGTTAAAAAAATACGGGTCTGTATTCTAAAAAAATTGACGAGGGAAGCCCTAAGTAAACGAACGAACGCAAATAATTACAAATGATTGCATATTGAAAACCCTGGATTTTTTTTCATATTCTGTAAAATAAAGATACCAGATCAGAAAAATAAAAATCAGCAATTTTCAGTTTTTTCGACTATTTCGAGAACGGCTCGCGATAGTCCGGATTTCCCAATATAAACTCCATTGCATTTTATAAAGTACTACGCAGACGTGGTTTATGGTCCGGGAATTTTGAAGAGTGACTATTTTAGGATCCAAAAGATCCAGAAGGCATACTTTAGGCTCATTACGGGTATGAGGAAACGAGAACACACTTCCCATCTGTTCGGGGATGTGGGTTTGTTGGATATGGAATCCAGACGAACATTTCATTCTGCAATTTTTTTTCTAAAACTCCTTAAAACAAGAAAACCCTCATATCTTTTCGAAAAAGTGTCCTTTAGAACTGAAATACACCATCATAACTTGAGAGTCAGGACCCATTTAACAATATCACAGCATAAAACTTCTCTACTTCGCAGATCTTTCACTTGCCATATTGCCTATTCATATAATCGGATATCTTTCAAACGAAAGATAAAAAAAATCTTCTTACAATAAATAGATCCAACTAATCGAATTATGTCGAAATCAATTAACCTTTCTCCAAGTTCGACAAAATATATATGTATTTCAACTTCTCTGTACATACTTGTTGCACTGTTCTTGATAGCGTAGTGTTTTTTTTGTTTTTCTCTATTGTTCTTTTGTTCGGTTGGAACGGTTGGATTGAAGAGCAATCTCTGCGATGATTTATCATGCGCAGATATTGAATCCTGCCATTTGATTTGTTGTATGGAACCATCAATAAAAGCCATTATTATTATTATTATTTGCCCAATTCAACCAAAATTGTATCTTCTACCTTTAACAAGATAGCAGTAGTGTGCGATTGAATTTTTACCACCCGGTATGGTACATCCTTCAGGAAATCAGGAAATCTAGTTCTGTGACATCTAGTAATGCCAAATGGAACTAATATATTGATCTTCTTTTCATATTTTTTCAAGGAAAATTGGGGTCCTCTGAAACCACATACATCAAAACAGCAGACGGCACACCTTTAGAATCTATTGATATTGGAAAAGAACTACTCACTGGAGAGGGACTGACCATTCACTTGTGATGTTATGCTATGTTTACATGAACTGAAATAAAAGAGTTAACAATGTAGTCATTTTTAATTCTTAAGAGCAAGAACATGTATCAACTGAATTCTATGTATAAATTTATACATATCTCAAAACAACCCTTGGGCTTAATGGGCTGAAAAATATTGGCAACACATGTTTCATGAACAGTGTAATCCACTGTTTATCAAATACGAAATGGTTACTGGAATATTTGAAAAAGGATAAGTACATTAAAGCTTTCGCAGGAGTTATCAAGGAATTGTGGTCATAAGATTTATCTCATAGAGCAGTGAACACAGTCTCCTTAAAAAGTCAGATTCAGAGTTTTGCCCCTCGATTCATGGGTCATGCGTATAAAGATACCCAGGTGTTCCTTCGTTATCTTTTGAAGGTTTACATGATGACGTTGATAAAATTATTGAGAAACCTAAACCGACCTTTACGGAGATGAACGAAAGTTAATACATATACATATACATATGACTCTAAGATTGTAGATAATTTCGTTTATCAATTGAAATCCACGATGAAGTGCACACACTGTGGATACGCATCTGTAACCTTTGATCATTTCTGGGATTTGTTACTCCCCATACCACAAAGAACTGGCCAATTGAGTTCATCACAGTGCTTGGATTTCTTCACAAGAGGGAAAACTTTGGATGGACATGAAAAACCGAAGTGTTCAAGTTGCAAGGAAAGAAGAAAATGCACAGTCCCTATCGATCCATAAGTTTCCCGGAATTATGGTCTGCAAGTTCTTATGCCAAAAATTTAGTCTACAATTGCGGTAGATATTAGCGATGAGGCAACGGACGCAGTGCTCTAAAGCACATAACTATGTCTGTGTTATTTCTGGATCATTAGAAAACATTGAATTTAATAGCTGTGTTGAAAATTCACGGTAGCACTGACATTGAGACTGATATCCATCCTCAAATGGTGTTCCTAGAACCTCAGTGGGAAAGCTTTGCCTATGTACCGTCAAACAGTAATGGAATTTGATCGCTGGAGAGTCACAGATAAGTTTGACCGGAGCCTTCTTCTGGGGCATCACAGTGGCTCCAGAAGTTCTTCATGATAATTTCCTACCAAACGGCCCAAAGGTTAAATAAGACAAAGTGTGTAAGATATAATCAAAATTTTTTGTTCGTTTGAAAGACCTATTGTGAAACATCCAAATTTCCATGATTTTGGCTCTTAAAACAGGCTGAATTTGATCGATGGCATGGGTTATGTTGGTTTTGAGGACCGCTTTGGTTTGTGGCACATTCCATACACCTGCGACTTGGAAAACCTCACAAGGAAAAGTCTAACGGGGACAAATGGCATAATCTCGGTGGCCAGTTCATATCACTTCCACGTGAGATCTTTGATCTCTTTGATGAGATTCCATAGCCTTGACACTGACCCCTTGATATAGCTGGCAGCCTCTGGTTTCTCTTTCCCGAATCTTGCGTGTCTCAGCCTTGCTATTGCTTCGCATTCACAGAGCACATTTAGTGCAGTTTCTTCCTCTTTTTGACAGAACCTGCATTGGGTTTCTTCCGAGAGACCCATGTTGCTCATGTTTTCTGAGTCGGTTGCCACTCTCCTTACAACCTCACGATTGTGAGATCTTCCATGAATCTGGGCGATGGTTTCTTTATGAACTCTTTATGGATGCCTTCATACATGCTTTCGCTACCCCACAAAGCAGATGTCTCATGATAGTTGATAGTTTTTTAACCAAATTGTACAATTGTTTATGTAAATATAAAGTGCGATACGAAGCTCATACTTGATCATTAGTTTCAATCAATTTGGAATTGAATTAATCGCTGGAGGTCAGCGATTTTTGGTGGTACTATGGGTTCACGTTTCTTTCAGAATTTGAAGCATACAGCAATTGAATCATCCTCACCAATTCTAAGACATTTTGTTTGATTAGTATTGAAAGTAAGCATAAAAATGTAAAAGGTGAAGTAAGGTCGGGTTAAGTTTTATGTCAATACATGTGTTTACTTAGCGTTCATGCTACTTTCTTATCACATATTCTTGACATATAAGGACTAGTTTCATTGGTAGAATAGAGCAATCTGGTATTTTTTCGAAATCTAACTCTAATTACAACAATATTGAATACACACACGAAATTCGTACTTCTACACTGAACTAACAAAAACCAGCTGCTTTCTTCGAAATCTCCCACGAAATGAGAGCGGTTTTTCATTTCTTCATTCAATCCATACAAACTTTTCTTCATTATACATGTCGCATCAGATCGTCAGCTACAACAAGAATATATTTTCAATTTTGCGATAACTCCTAACATATTATTGCGAGAACTGCTGAAGTAAACTAAAGAACGTATTCTAAAAACACTTTATTGTGTGATTTAATTATTATAGGGCGTATAATTATTAAGGCATGCCCGAGGAAGCCTNATGTGAAATATTTCAACTTCTGTAAATTTTCAAGTGCACAGTGAATTGATGAGTCCAAGCAATTGGATTTCATTTAAATTTTTCAAAATTCTAGAAAACTCTCGATTCGTGATAAGGCTGAGATGTTATAAACAATAATCCGTGAAACTAATTTCATGTACAAAACACTTGAGAAAACTGAAAGGGATATATATTTAAGATAAGATATCATTCAATTACCATATTTTGACACGAGCGACGAATGAGATATTCTTTTTCACTTGACAACAGTGTTCTTTAATACACGGACTCTCGACGAAAATGATCACCCCAATGATCATCCATTGGTGAAACGAGAAAGTAAACTAATATAGCCGATACTTACATAATCAAGAAACCCGTTAAAAATTAATATCCACTTTGCATATTTCTTCCAAGTGTCCGGGTGATACTGCAACAACATAGGTTTATTATGCTTGTCCTCACATCATTTTATTACATCCATTACAAAAATTTTAGTTCTCTTCACATGTATTCACATGTAGTCGATGATCTAAAAGAACAATTCGTTCACACCAGTCTCAACTCCCTACACTGTATGTTAATGGAGTCAGAAAACAACTACTCCCCTGGCTAATACTACGAAGGGCGTTGGATTATATCCGTCAGATGTCAGTGCAAGAATATTTACTATTATTTCTGCATATGCCGTTGGCGGTACAACTGACGTAATAGATTTTCAATTATTGGAAAAATTGGAAAAAAATAAATAAGTTTGAAATAAATTGATTGCAATCCTTTCGGTAATATGAAAAGAAGAGTTATTTATGATAATATACACGTTGTTTAATCAGGAGACTCAGTCGTGGTAACGTGAACACAAAAAAATCATGAATATTATTGGAAATCATCATAGAGAACCAATCTACGAAATAGATAACTGAGTTCACTTGGAATCGATAATATTGAAAAGTTTCAAGCCTTTAGTTGGTAACCTAATAAAAATAAAAATAGGACACTTCATCATTGTCTTGAATGTGACCAGGTTTTTGTGATGGTGATCTCGATTACCCTCACTCCGTTTCTTCATTATATTTTCGAAATAAGTATGAAACTCATTTTTTGTAGCTATAATTCTCGAAATTGAATAATCAGTGTATGCAGATCTTTTTTATGAAATTTCTGTTGCAAGCCATGAAAAATTAAAAACCACATAATTTTGCTCAGCTCATATACAGGGCTATTCAAATTCGTTTCTGTACATGGGGATTTCGTTAACGATAAGAGATAGACTATCGGTTAAATTATGGCAAAGTTGCGTATTTTAGAGACCTATTCAAAGATGTAAAAAAATCGAATATAGCTCTTTTGGNTTTTTTGTTTTTTCCTGTATATCTCCAGAACCAAAAGAGCTATATTCGATTTTTTTTTCATCATTGAATAGGTCTCTAAAATACGCAACTTTGCCACAATTTAACCGACACTCTATCTCTTATCGTTTACGAGATCCCCATGTACAGAAACGAATTTGAATAGCCCTGTAAATGTCGGTGAGAACTATACTATAATTCCAAAATAGTACGTACTAAATTCTCAGAAATGACTCTGACGGTTATGCCTTAATCTGTTTCTTGTAGTGGCTTACTAAAATTATACTATGATTTTTGTGTGTATGATTTAAATAAAATATTGGGACATATGAAGAATCACAGCCTGACAACAATGTTTTCGTTTTGATGCAATAATATCTCTGGGAATTTAGTGCCTACTATTATGGAATTCTAGTATAGTCCAAAGTTTTTGAATCAGGGATCAGAGTATACTTGAAATATTTTCTCCAAAGTATATTTTCAACGTCAATTGTTTTGGTCCACTCTGTATTGGCATTCTATGATTTTTATGAAAAATAATTTGCGAATACTGCCTATCACTAGTCGCAATACGGAGTTCTCTTTCAAAATAGTTACAAATCATAAATTTTATCGTTAATCTTGTTACAAAGTTTTTAGTGAAATATACCCTGTAGTTCCAAAAAAAACTTTCATGATACTCATTTCGAATGTTTTTTCAAATATGATAATCTGATTCAATTCTCTGGCAGACATCCAAACAATTTATTTAAGGTCGAATTTCAACAGAATTCTAAAGAAATCGATAAATGTTGTGCAGTTAGTTTTCTGTCTATATTTAGACAACTCAAAAGATATAGGTAGATTTTGACTTTTATTCAATTGATGATGTACCCCGCGAACATGTTCATCATATCGCAGATTAAATCCGCCTAGGATTATGAGGGATTAGTTAAGGAAAATATAAAAAGAAGCATTCAAGTGTCGTTCATAGTGTCCTAGATAACTGACAATGAGGTATGTACAAGTTTCAAGAATGTTATAACATCGTTGTTATTATTAATTTCACTATTACTTCAAGAACCATGAATTGAAAAGGGAATATTTATAGGGGATCTCAGTTTTTTTGGAAAAAAAACTATGTTTATATGTATTAGTTGATTCTCCTGGCCATTTGACTATTCTCATTTTCATATTTTTCATTATAGTGAATTTTTTAGCGGTGATTTGACGTATAATACGCCCGATTCTTAAGTAAAGAAGAGGACAGTGTCTAGTGATTTTTCTACAATTGTTTAAAGTTAATTTATGTTCGATTGAAACAGCTTCTCGTTTTTTCAAATACGGTCCATTCAATAAAGATTTCTAGTTTGTGTTTCCAGCTATATTTTCCCAGTATTTTTCTTATTTTTGATTGACTCTGATCTGATTTCGTAGCAATGATTTTTATGTTCCCAAAACACATTTTAACGATCGTTCTTCCTGACCTTAAAATAATCCGTAATTGGTTGATTGTTGAGATTAACAATGCTAAAATATAGGTTCGGATGTCAACTAATTTGCAATACAGACTTCAATCAACTCTAATTACGTTTTTATTATGAAAATGTATACTAATATATCAATTTGTTTTATTTGTGTTGATATATAAGTAGTAATAATTGATTTTGCTGCTGATTAATTGTGTGGAGTACCGCATTATTCACTGAAACTGGAATGAGAATGTTGACCTAGTAACTATTAAGATAATGGAAGTACGTCAATGTATTCATAATGATCCAGTTTTCTTTTTGAGTCTTCAACTATTTGTGGTCATCACACGATTTCGAATTACTCACAGAATTAGTACTTTATTCAATGAAGCGTGAATTGTCCTGAAAAAATGAGGTATGTTAGATAAATTACAAAATAGTCCTGTAATGATTTTATGATGCAACAATTGTCTGAAAAGAATGCAATAATATACCTAATACTGACTGTGATAATTATACAAATCCGATATTCTGGTTTATATTATATGTTGATTGAGTTTCCTGAATTCATAATTAAATGATTACGAACCACACTCTCTAGGATCGATCTCGTTTTTTTCAATAATTATCTCCTTATGTTGAAAACAATGTTCCTGACGATGGGAACTGTAAAAGTTACGCTCTTCAAAAGTGACCTACTACTAATAAAATTTCGTAACATATGGACAACTATTAAATAAATTTATTTTACAGCGATTCAAATCCGACGTGGATCGCTACTTTCACACTTGCACCGGTCTTAGAGCGCTTTGAGAATTTTCCTTCAGTACTTGTGTTTTGTCCTTGAGAAAAAATTGAACATTTTGTATGTGCAAATAAATGGAAGTAACAAGTGAATAAAGATTCTCAGCATGCTATCATAAAAATGATATGTTATTTTGCATGTTGTCACTGCCAAAAGTGAAATATTCGTTATTGCTTTCTGATCATATCTCTTGAAGAAGACCAAATCGTTTTAACTTCAGATTTAAGAATAGCACACGAAACTGTCATATGCACTATAAAATCTCAATTTATCCGTTTCCGTAGGATCTGATATTCTGGCAACACCCGTATTCCAAGTAGATTTTTCAAGCGTAGATGTTCATTTTCCTGGTGATAATAATGTTCGTTGGTATAGAGCGGATCAAGACTGGGCGGTGTATTATGGAGGTGACACTAGAACAATTTCTGCCCCATATGATGTTGTGAGTATGAAAAATATCATGTAAAATGTTTGTTGCACATACTTTCATTTCCGTTTTCTTTGCAGTCTCCTGTATTCCATAAGGGAGGTAGTATAATACCTCTAAAGGACGATGTCAAGCGTTCTACAACAGATATGATCGACACATCATACACTCTTTATGTCAATCTTGATTCGGTGAGTATATATATATTGAAGAGATTTTTTGAATTTCTAATTCACGTCAAGAACTCATCAAAAATGTTCCAAAAGGTAACAATACATTATTCAGTATTTTGATGTACAATAAGGAGGAGAATCAAAAAGTTTTTTAATAGAAAATTGTTACTTGCAAAGTTTTCCATGCAAAATGTATCTCAAAGCATGAAATAAAACAGACAGTAAATTAAATAATGATCAATTCAAAGCTCAGATTTCTTCTCTCGCTCAAGACAATAATGTTGCCAAAATTGCTCTGACTGATGGTAAAAATCGACAACTTGAATTGCAAATAACGTTCCTTCAAGGCCGCAAACTGAGATTGAAAGTTCTGGAGAAAAACAATCCCCGATATGAACTTCAACACGTGCTTGAAAAAGATCCTCAGATAATCAGGTAAGTACGCATCAAACAAATACTTGGGCACAACAAAATCCTCATCTCATTGTGGAGCAGAGAAGTCAAAGAAAATTTGGATTCAGTATTTGGGCAGGTGTTTTCAGTGTTAGAATTATCGCCCTGTTCGTTTATGATGACACTATCACATTTCAGAGGTATTTATGAATTTTAAGGCAAAATATTAAACCCCATGTTGATGAATTGCCACTAATGGCGCTCAAAAAAAATATATTTTCAACAAAACAGGGTTTTGCCTCACAACACTGCAATTATCACCAATTTTTTGGCTGCAAATCTTGGTAATAATTGGATAGCTAATCAAGGACACAACCGTTGGCCGGACAGGTCATTGGACCTAATGCCTATGGACTTTTACCTCTGGGAAAGGTTCAAAGATATCCTTTTCAAATTGCTGACCATAGATCTCGTGCAACTAATTGCAGGAGTCGTTCTTGTGAGTTGCATTGCATCAGTGTGTGAGCTGCCTTAGAGTTAATGTTCTGAAATCAAGATATGAAAAATGCTCTTTCATCTCCTTCGATCGCTTTATTCACGTAGTTTCCTATGAAAAAAATGATCTTGAAAAAGTCTCTGTGAGATCTGCAATAGGTAGCATTTTTTTGTTCCAGCCACAACTCCCAATCACAATCTGACGATGCTGTGACTCTTGTTGCGAGTAATGGAGACAACTCCAAAGTTATTATACGTAAAGGACCCCCAATGACTGTGGAGTTCTATAACAATGATGTTCTTGAAGTGATCTTCGATGCATCTCGCCTCGTTCTGGATAACGTAAGTAAATGATTGCATTAATGTAACGATGAGAGTTCACAAATTTGCAACCAACTTCAGACCGAACAAAGTCAAGCACTTTCATTTGACGTCTCATTCCCTGGTGCAAAACAACTATTTGGGCTTCACCACCACGCCACTAAAATAGCGCTACCCAATACAGCTGATGGCTCCATGGATCCATTCAAACTTAAGAATTCGGATACTGCTGGTTATGAAGTAGGCTCACCAATGGCACTCTATGGATCCAAACCAATTTTGTGCGGACAATCGTAAGTTCATCTCAGAAAATAATTGACACCGATGTTTTCTAAATGTATGAATTGATACACTCTTTGCTTCAGTACAACAAAAACAGCTTGTGCTTTCATACACAACGCAGCTCAGGCTTGGGTCGATATTGACTATTCCACTCAAGATAAGCCATCAGGACACTTCATGTTGGAAGGTGGATCACTCGACATATTCGTACTTCTTGGACCAACTACTAAAGAAGTTGTTAGACAAATCACTGACCTAACTGGAAAGGCTCATTTGCCACAGGTAAGGACTCAGTTATTTTAACACTTGTGCTCATGCAAACATATATTTTGTTTCATTTGAGTACAATTTCCACTCTCAAAAAGACGCCATAGATCACCAAGACATTCAGTTTGTTGAAATGCTTCGTACTGGAATGAAAAAAATTGATTGGAATGCATTTGAATCTGTAACAGGCAGTAAACTGTTTGAAGTTTTATTGTACGCATGTAGAATGAAACAAAATACTTTTTTATTGTACTGATTNAGCTGTTTCAGGAGGACTTTCTTTCAGTTTGTGTCTGAAAGTTACTTCTTTGCATGATCTACACATCCATGTATAGAGTTACTTATTTTCGAATTGATTATTTCCTTCCACTCTTTGGAAGATTCCCTCATTTTTTTTTGTATCGAGATGGAGTAGCAGAAAGCCAAAAACTTTCTTTCCCAAAAAAAAGACGATGTTGACCAAATGAAAATTTGGTAAAACAACCATACTGCAAATGAGATTGAAAAAATATTGAACCACTTATTATCAAAAAATCTTTGAAACAAACTCAAGAAACTCGTCCATGATATAAATATAGAAGAACGGGTAAAGTAAAATCTACATATTAAGATAGTGGCCGTCGATGGCTACCATTTACGCTGGTGTTCCCCAAGGATCCATATTAACCCTCTTTTTATTGTGTATCAACGACTTATTGAGAAAATCGAAGAATCCATTATATCGCTTCGCTGACGACAGCACACTTGTTTCGTCACTCCATTTGGATGCCAGGACAATTCTGCTATCTGTTTCTCCAGAAAATCTGGAAGACAAAGGGAAAGAGAAAATCTGGAAGACAAAGGGAAAGAGAAAAAAAAGGAAGGACTCAAAATGAAGGTACCAAGGAAGTAGATCTTGAAATTGACATTAAAAAGTTTTAGACCAAAGTTGCAGATTGGTATGACTTTAGATGAATGAAAAAAAAAGAGGTATCCATAGCATAGCCATTCATAACAGTATTGAATAGAATAGAAATGAATTATTAAGATAAAGCAAAAAAGTTGAGCAAATTATTTTTACACCAGTTTATGAAAAAATTGTATAAACTGCAGTAATGGAAATTACCAAAAACATCACAAATCAAACAATACCTTATGAGAACTGCTGTAGCACAGACAAAATAAATGGGTAATGTTGAAAATAAGAAATATAAATATAAGGTAATGATGAAAAATGTAAGATCTAACTCTGTCTTATCTAATTTATGATGGATAAGTATCTTCAATCAATCTGGATCAACTCCAGGTAAGTTTCACAACATTCTGAATAAAAGTTCAGGCTGAAGATAAAATCTGAATTGTATGATTCTCCCAACATATGTGGAAGCTTGTTCCTGAGTTCAGATGATATTTGAAACAAAAATGTCATTTGTATTCCGTCGTGAAAAATGTGATGCACTAAGAAGATCATTAAAGACTTTGCTCATCACTTTCAGAACTTCCTGAATTTCTAAGCATGCGAACGTTTTTATCTATTATTTGAAGACTGTGTTTTCGACTGTTTGAAACAACGATAATTCTAAATAGATTATGGAATACGAAATCACAAAGACTTTCTCTTATCTTGATTATAATACACTTTTCAGCTTTGGGCCCTTGGATACCACCAGTCCAGATATTCGTACGCAACACAAAGCGAGGTACTAGAAGTAATATCAAGAATGGACCAAGAAGACTTCCCAATGGATGCTATTTGGCTGGATATCGACTACACAGATGGCAAAAGGTATTTCACCTGGAACCGCAACAATTTCCCAGATCCCGTACAGATGCAAAAAACAATCGCATCAACTAACAGAAAACTGGTATCAATTCAAGATCCTCACATAAAAGTTGACGACAATTATGCAGTATATACTGGAGCGAAAGATAGATACTTTATCAAGAATCCAAATGGCACCGATTTTCAAGGTGAGATAAAAACTACTAGCGAGTAATTATTTCAGCGTTATTACTCTCGTTTCTGACATGAATATAAAGTGATAGCGTAAGTTTTTTGGACCATGGCATTGAATTAAGAAGAAATGTTTTGTTAAAGGTGATTGCTGGCCGGGCAGATCGAGCTATATCGATTTTTTGAGTGATGCTGGTAGAGATTACTGGGCTAGTTGGTACGCGTATGACAAGTTTGTTGGTAGCACAGAAACCTTAGCTGGTACTTGGAACGACATGAACGAGCCTTCAGTATTCAATGCTTATGAAGATGAAAATTCTCTTCCGCATGATGTTCTTGAAAATGGAAACGTTAAACATAGAGATGTTATGAACTTGTATGGATTTTTGCAGGTAAATTCATTGATAATTTCTATAAGCTCATTGATTAGAGGGTTAGACGATGCTTGTATTCGATTTCTGTTTCTTTCAATATTGAACGAAAGTAATTTTTTTGTATTTTTCTTATCAGTCAGTGGGTTGTGGTTGAAGACTGGCAGTAAACAACTTTACTTTAAACGTTCAAGCCAGTCTCGAATATACCTACACAGTAGGTTGAATGAACTGACGCCTATCAGAAAACAACTACACCCTGCATATGCAATTGGCAGTACAACTGAAAGAGTCGACGTTCAATTTAGGAACGGGCACACTTGCAGACCGGTTTCGGGCTCATTAGTCACTCATCAGTGGAAGATAGTGGCCATCATCGACTTAAAGTCAATGATATTTAATAATTGAAACTAACTGCATATCCAAATTTTGACCGATTCCTCTGAATAAGAAAGAAACATTTTCTTATTAGTCAGTTTGTATTACAGTACATATATTTGTACATTAGGATATTTAAGAACTATTAAAATAAAGCATATGTGATTCCTATAAGATGTTTCATTCACCGATCGATCAGCAATTCAAATAGCTAAATGAAAGACTAATGAACTAATGTACACTATACTACCACAAAATTAATCCGTTTTGTGCTTCGTCCGGTTAGTACGACATAGTATATCCGGTCCATTGAAGGTCGTTATATCCGGATTCTACTGTACAAGCATTTGTATAATTTGTTTCTTCCACAGAGCAAAGCGTCCCACCAAGGTCTCATGCAAAGGGACGAAGGTAAGAAACGTCCTTTCGTACTGAGTCGTTCACACTTTGTTGGATCGCAAAGGTACGCCGCCATATGGAGCGGTGATAACAGAGCAGAATGGCCGTATCTTACAACATCTTACTCCGAATGCATGCTGTCAAACCTCCTGGGACACGTTTTCTGCGGAGCGGACATTGGAGGATTCGACTGGAATACACCAGATAATCTTATGCTTAGGTGGTATCAGGTAAGTGGTGGAAGTTTTATTGTCGCCTTCGAACTTTCTTACACTTTTGAGCCAATACAGTTTCTGATTCCATTGGCTGTGATTTACAGGAATTATACGAGAAAGTCTCTGAACTAACAAAGATACAAGATGAATATTACTGGAGTTTTTTCCTAACACCAAATCGTTATTTTCAACACCACGACACGTGTTTCGATCACCAAGTGATCATCTTCAAAGAGGAAGTTTTAATCTTCCTCTTTGAAGATGATCACTTGGTGATGGAAACACGTGTCGAGGAAGTTTTAATCTTCCTCTTTGAAGATGATCACTTGGTGATCGAAACATGTCGAGGTGTTGAAAATAACGATTTGGTGTTGGAAAAAAATCCAGTAATATTCATTACTACACCAAAGGTTCCAAACAGTGCATCATAAGTAAAGATACAAGATATTTTTTCAGTTTTTTTTTATTTTTCAACATAGTCTCCTTTTAACTCCACACACTTCTCCCAGCGATGCCTATATATCTGTAACCCGTCCAGATAGTATTCGGCGTTTTTCTCTGCAAAATAATCGTTCACAAAGGTGACTGCCTCTTCATTTGACGAAAATCTCTGTCTTCCGAGCGCAATATCTAGATGAGGAAACAAAAAGAAGTCACTTGGGGCTAGATCTGGTTAGTAAGGCGGATGTTCAAGCAGTTCAAACCGTAATTCGTGGATTTTCGCGTAATGATGCGTAATAATGGTGTATCCAGATTTCATCTACTCTACAGTGATTAATCGTCACCGGAACTTAGATTTATTGCACCTAAACTGCGCCAAAAGAGTGTTGAAAATGTTTATTCAAACACGTTTTTGGTCTAAGGCAACGGTCGGCAACAGGCGGACCGTGGTCCGTTTGCAGACCGCGAAAGGTCGAACCTTGGACCGCCAAATATTGTAATGTGCATACCAAGTATAAATTAATACGTAGATAAGGTATACCATACCTTTATTAATTGAAGTGATAATGAGGCTCGTAAAGAAAAACGCCATGCATATCTCAGTTCTTACAAAAAAAGCACTAAATTATTACTTTTTTGCATGAGCGAGCAAGAAAAATCCACAGAAGCAGCGTTGCGTGTGTACTGGACGCTTAATAAACACCAGAAACCATTTTCAGATTATGGGATGATGAAGGAACGTATGTTGGAAGTATTCACGGCACTTTTTGGAGAAAAAAAAAGATGTTGTCGCTGCATTTTAAAGTATTCATTCCATTATCAGCGAGAAGTAACACACGAAAAATGGAAATTTTAGCTGCTGATATTGAAAACACTCTTCTTGAACTTCTGCAAAAGGCACCTTGCTACGTCATACCACTTGATGAATCATGTGACATCGTTGATGAAGAACAAATGTCAATTTTCGTAAGATTTCTTGATATTGAGTGTCAGATTTTTAGGAAAGAGTTGCTAGCAATATCACTGTTGAAAGGTAACACTCGAGGAGAAGATTTATTCAAAGTCATTGATGAATTTATTACTAAATCTAACATTAGTTATATAAAATGACGGGGCCCCAGCAATGATTGGCAAAGGAAAAGGTGTAGTGAACCGAATCAGAGATAACAACTCAGGTCTACTTAGTGCTACACTGAAAGAAGTGATGAACAGCTTGGTCAAGTTGATTAATTTTATGAGATCTCATTTTGCTCTCCTTCATGCAAAATTGAGATACGGAGGGAGCCAAAAAGCACTATAATTTTATAAAATTTTATAACAAACAAGCGTAATATGGTGGTCGTAGCTTTTCTGAAAGATATTTTGAAATATTTAAATGCGCTCAACACAGAATTACAAGGAAATTGAAAATTAATATGCAATCTGATACAAAGCGTGTCTGCTTTTTGTCGCAAGCTGGATATCTTTGAAAAAGATATTGCAAGACAAGAATATATTCAGTTTTCGACAATTCTTGAACATAAAAATAACCCTGGAGAAGACATTGCAGTGTTTGTCGCCATTTGAAGTTGATGTAGCAGCAAAATGGATAGATGTGGCTGCTAAATTGTTTAATCTGTCAAAGGCATCACTTTAAATAGAGATAATTGATTTGCAACATATCCCAGAAAAATATGAAAATTGCAAGAAACTAGCTATAAATTTGGCCACTATGTTCCTCTCGAGAACCAAACTATAAAAACCGGCTCAAGACCGTCGGTGTAATTTCTCACATTAATATGTGTTTTATAATTCAGAATTTGATTTGAAACCAAAATAATACATAAGTAGCACTTAATTTTCATCAGTTGTTTTTTTTTGGACTTTTTCAAAATTTTCCCACAGTCTCCGGACCCCACCTAAAACTACTTGCCGACCACTGGTCTAAGGTGAACAAACGCGGCACCATGCACATACGGCTTTCTTATGTCTGAATGTTGATTTAATATGTGAAAAATATGTTTTTTTGACATCTCTATAATCTCTCTCATTTCAATTCAGCGGTCGTCTAGTTTGGTAAACTTTTGGATCCGATTGGATTACATCGATGGTGGGCATTGCTCCGTTTCCATTGGTTGAGTTAAACGGCCGGATTCGTGTATTGTTGAGTGACTAGCTGTCAATATCCTTTTTCTGTTGAATTATATCTTCTACAATCTTGCATAGTTTTCAGTTCAATAAATCTCTTCGAACGCGACAATATGAGTACTTTCTCTGAGTACATGTACTAAGTATACCAAATATGACAACATCTCTTGTATTCAGAGAGCTGCATTCTTGAAACTCTTCTCGTAGTTTCAATTAAGACCAATCTACAAAATAACTGTGGCTTGAAAATCTATCCTTAGCTTACCTCCGATTCTTAATAAGTATATTTAAACCAATGAAAATCATTCCATTCCACTGATGATGTAAATGCCAATAGATCCCCTTACGAAAACACCTTCTATGAGGTCGATCTTCTATCAAACATAAACAACCCCAACGAGGTCTTTTGTGTACTATTTAAAAAAATCAATAGGGAATATAATTGGGAATCAGAAATCGTCCACCAACCAATCGTTGATCCACTATGTATAGGACGGTGATAGACATTGAAAAACAACCGAAAGTAGAAGGAAGTTAACGCACTCTCTAGGAATGAAGCCAAGCTCACCACCAATGAAACAGAAACTGTGTTTTCGATAATATTTACCGCAGTTGTAGACGAAACATCATACCAACAAACCACAAAAATAAATTTTACACAGTTACAGCCGACCGTGAAAGTTAACATTTCTCAAAACATTTGGATTTCAGGCTGCAGTTTGGTTACCATTCTTCAGGAGTCATTCCAATAACAACGTTAACAGACGAGAACCGTACATGTTCTATGATGAAATGAAAGTGGTTGCCAGAAAAGCAATGAAAACTCGCTATAGATACATACCTGTATTTTACACTCTCTTTTATTTGCACACCAAGTACGGAGATCCAGTGGTCAGACCACTGTTCTACGATTATCCTGAAAGAATCGACGATGACCAGTATATTTTAGTGGGTAAGAAACAAAGAATTGTACTGAAAAAAAAAACATTTCACTTGCCTCAAAAGATTGTTGGGAAGATATTCCGTGTATGCTGATTCAAATTGAACAAATTAACGATTTGGATTTCACACTTTACAATGGAATGTTTCAAATATCTCAAATAAAAACGTCTCACTTCAAAAGTCGAAATCGTTAAAAAACATTTTTTCGGAATTGAAACTATCTTGTCAAATCACAATAATTTTACTTAGCTTTACTCTAAAGAATCTTTGCCTTCAACAGAATAGATGTCAGTACTTTATATTTATTCAAATTCATCAAAAATTACAAAAACTGGGTTGCAATCTCAGCTAACCAAAGCTAGCATGAACTAGTTCAGCTAGAAATTAAAACCAAAACGTAACTCATATTGCAAATTCATTGAAAACATGTTTTTTCGAATTCTAGTAGCATTAGTTAAATTTGGATTTGGTTATAGTTCAGATTTTGAATCATCAACAATTATGCTCTCGATAAATTTGCAACAAATGTTACTGCTTGACATCTGTAGTACCAAGTGTAAAGGTGGCTTTCATTATTTTTTCAATATTCATAAAAATGTGAGATCTGTTTCTACCTTAATTTTGTTACATTGCCGAAAGAATCAACGAAAGAATCCATTGAAGAATGAACAGTAGTTTACTGGAACCAGGTTGGATTCAATGCCAGGAAAATCAAAGCATCGGTTTTTTCAAAAAGATAAATGACTCCGAACCGGATATGATTATGTCAGGACAGACAATTCTGCTTTCTACTCCGATAAGTTTGTTGGGAGTTGGAATGGACACCACCATGTCTTGGCAAAATAATGTCGCAGGAATTTCAGAGGCTGCTTGGAAGACTGCTGAGAACCAAAAAACTGTTCACACTTCAGCAACTTTTGATGCTTTATAAAGCTCAGATCAGATCTTCTATGTAGTATTGTTCTCATGTATGGAGCTCCACTCCTGAACATACCCTGAAGCTGCTAGGTTCTATCCAAAAAGAGCCAACCGCCTGATTGGAGACACAAACATCACTTGCAATCGGGTCGGACCCCTCTGGATCTGTACGTTAAAGAGGTTGCGTTAATGGCAATGTTACGATTGCGCACGGCTGGTGTATACCTCGAAGTAGGAATGGGTCAATTGAGGCTGAGCCTATGGCGAGAAGCGCTAACTGTGCAACCTCTGCTGTAGGCAACCAGTGATGCACTTGAACCCAGGTTTGTGTTTAATAAACCCTACAAAATACAAATAAAACAGAACACAGAGTCAGATGCTACAAATGCAATACGCATTTATATATATACAGACGGCTCAAAAATCAAAGAAGGCGCAGGATGTGGAGTGTACTCCAAATCACTAAGCCTGAAGATTGAGTGGGGAATGGGAAAAAATACCAGCGTGGACCAAACAGAACTGGCTGGTATCTCAATCGCCACAAAAGAAATAACCAGGAAAGGAATTTCTGGCAAAAACATAACAATCTACACTGACTGCAGACAAGCCCTATTAGCCTTGAACATACAACGTGTTACCCCAGGGCTAGTACCAGAGTGCCATCAAGATTCAGCCAAAGCCTCGGTAGATAATTTCATTATCCTGAGGTGGTCTAAAGGGTCCGACAGGAGTACAGGTAATCGCATTGTCAACTCTTTAGCCAAGGAAGCGGCTGGACTAAGAATTTTAGCACCCAGTGGCACCTACGGCCTGATGACTTCGACAATTGCCGTACTAGCCAAATGTTACACCCATGCCCCAATCCTTAAAGAGATGGGATGGAATCAAAGGATACAGTCTTGCCAGGATCATCCTGGGCGACTCTGGGAAGCTGGCGCCGAAGAAATATCTGGCGATGACCAAGGAAAATCTATGCTCAACAGAAGGATTTCTGACTGGCCACTCTCAACTAAGGAAACACCTCCATGATATGAGGCTAGTAGACGCACCTCTATGTAGGATGTGTGAACAGAAAGATGAAACTGTCAGGCATGTCCTATGCGACTGTCCGGAGTTATCGTCAATAAAAGAGTGTGTGTTCGGCGAGTCTTGGCCTACACCTGCCGATATTAAGGAGATGTCTCACAGTGACCTGTCCACCTCCCTGGAAAGGACACGATGGACGATGACCTAAAAGGACAACTCCTCGGGAGGATGTACAATGGGTCACATGTGGCCTAAGTTCTGTGGGCTTACACTCACTCCCCCTACTCTACAGATACAAAGATGCAGATTTGAACAGATTTTCTAAACAGAAAAGATACAGATCACTTGCAATTTCGATAGTCTGGAACATCAAAGAAAGTTTGGAGATTTGTTACTCGTTTATAGATACTTTCTCGGGACGTGTTCAAGTGACTAGGCACATTTGATTCCATCAAGAGCCATACATATCAGAAATACGCGACGTACTGTGACTGCTCATTGATTTGAGGTTCAACTCAGTACACCTCGAACTTCACTGTTATGAACTCTTCCATTTTGAAAACTGCCTTTATGTGGAATAAACTTTCTGAGGAGGTTTTTCCAAATAAATTTATTTTCCAGCGATTCAAATCCGACGTGGATCGCTACTTTCACACATGCACCGGTCTTAGAGCGCTTTGAGGATATTCCTTCAGTGCTTGTGTTTTGTCCTTAAAAAAAATGAACGTTTTGTATGTGCAAATAAATGGAAGTAACAAGTGAATAAAGATTTTCAGCATGCTATCATAAAAATGATATGTTATTTGCCATGTTGTCATTGCCAAAAGTGAAATAGTCGTTATTGCTTTCTGATCATATCTCTTGAAGAAGACCAAATCGTTTTAACTTTAGATTTAAGAATAGCACACGAAACTATGTCATATTACTATAAAGATGCACTATAAAATCTCAATTTATCCGTTTCCGTAGGATCTGATATTCTGGCAACACCCGTATTCCAAGTAGATTTTTCAAGCGTAGATGTTCATTTTCCTGGTGATAATAATGTTCGTTGGTATAGAGCGGATCAAGACTGGGCAGTGTATTATGGAGGTGACACTAGAGAAATATTCACCATCGACCAATTTTTTTTAATAGGAACTGGTACAAGATATCTTAATGAAGAGAGTTTTGGATTCTTCATACATTGCAGCATTCCGAAAACCGGTTTACTTGTTTTAAAGATAGGGCACTTTGAAATAATAACAAATTGAAAATAATGAATCACTTTTTTATAACTCATTCAATAATAATATATCTCAACAGATTTACTTTGAAATAAAAACAGAGAAAAGAGTACCGAACCTAACTTATCATAACTTGAATTTCAAGCACTATTTATTATTTTCTAATACCATTGTGGGAAAGACGAATAGAGCTGTAACAAAAATATTCGGTCAGTGTAACAATTTCCACCAGACTGCATTTTTAAGGTATCCTGTTCATTCGTCTGGTTGATTTCAGAATGGACACGCTGAAGGTTTATTATACGGGGACGATTTCACGAGCTTTGAATACTCCAACAACAACAAGTTTTATCTTCTCAAGTTCACGTACAACGACAACAATCTGAAGATTGAGTGAGTTTTTTCATACAATACTTTTCAAACCATGACTATATTTGACTTTTTTTTCAGGAAAATTGACGGTGATCTTGATTACAATGGTTCCTTCAATAATGTTGTAGTTCACAGGGCATCATTATCTGGTATGTATATGAATAAACCTGAGTTGAAGTTCCATTTTACAGTAAATATATTAAGACAGTATCAACTGTTCAAACTCAATTTAAACAAACTCCTGGAAAAAGATCATACTTTCTATTGGATAATTGAGTACTTTTTCAACTTCCAACTTCTGCTTCTGATGAATGGAATGAATTAGATATAATATTCTATGAGATACAAACGTGAAAAAACACCCTTTTCAAAGGAAAACAATACTAGATGAGGCATTATAATAATTTCACCTATGATTTCTTTCTCATTTTTATCATTAATGTTGATTCTGATTCTTTTTTTCAGATCCATCTGAAGTTGTAAGAACTGTTCATAATTCAACAATCGATGGTACACCTCTGAAGGATCTCAATTTTGGACTACTCTTCTCTAATGCCACAAGTCTAACGCTAAACTTATAAGAAATGTAGTAACATTTACGAATAAATTCATTCAAGTATCTGTCCATTTTTTAGAATGAAAGTAAGAGCACATTTTTTCCAGTGAAAATCTGAAATTCCATTCACAGAAAAAAACTCAACGAAACAAAAAATAGGTGAAAAATGAGAAAAAATACTCTTCCATGTTATTGTACCACTTTAATCTGTAACTAATATTGTTACTGCAGTATCGTCCTGAAGTCCGATTATAATTAATTACTGTGATTATTTGAAAATGTCCTTATAAGACGAAACTATGGTAACAACATTAATTACGAATAAAAGTGGTAAAAAACAGGAAAGTTTATTCCTCATTTTTCATGAAGATCTACTACCACGTAGTAACGACATCATCCACTAATTTATTAAAAAGTAGGTTTTTCCATTCACCGTCTGTCATTTTTATGCGATCGACAATTCTCATACACTGAAACTAATACTAGTACTAGTACATGTTGATGTGGAATAAATTTCTTGAGAATGTTTTCCCAAATGGATTTAATCTCCAGCGATTCAAATTCATTATGAATCGCTACTTTCGCACAGGCACCGCTCTAAGACCGCCTCAAGGATTTTCCAGTGGAGTTTGTATTTTGTCCTTGAAAAACCTCTAAGGAAAACATGTTTGTTCACCGACAAAAAACTGTGAACGTTGTATATAAAGACATTCTGTAATATGTTTAGCATCAGCATTGCACCCGTGCGGAGCCTAGGAGGTTCGCTAGTCAACAATCAAATTCAAGTCAAATATTAACAATCATGAAGAACTGAAATTCTACAATGATATCTTATGAGTGATATAATAGAACGTAGTATTTTACTAAGAAATTCGCGATGAATTATTGAGAAATTAATTTTGAAATTATTTTTAAATATTACCATGATCAGCAATTCATTGACATTGTTGGTTGGTGATGAGTAGTCTTCATTTGGAAGTGATTATTTCGTACTTCAATAACAACAAATTATCCGGTAAACTTTTGAACTTTGCGATAATGGATTAGGTAAATTCAGGGTCGAACTCACACAGCATCAGTAGCATGTCAAAGTGAATTTTGCATAGTTTCCACATAATCAAGTTGGATATTGTGAGATCAACTTCCATTCATTATCTACATCTGAGTATTACCGACTTAACAAGTACCATACTACTCCATATGCTATCTGTGTTGCTAATGCCTAATAACACTTGAGAACCTGACCTTCAGTTACCTTCAATTTGGTGATAAACTGTGAGTAATTCTGATAAAAACTCTCAAAATCGTTTATACAAGACCTAACAATCTTTTGGTGGCCCGTTCACAGTCTGAATATTAATGCAAACGAAGCATTCTCCTTCATTTTCGGTTTGTGAGCAGTTGAATAAAAAGGTGGATATTGTATTTTGTGGGGCATAAGTGGTCCCATGTTTCAATTACTGAAATTCGATTCACGGGCCTTATAGTGATAGAGGTGATTTAGGGGGAAGTCCTATTGTGACGGACACCTGAGGTTTTCAGAAAATGAAATAAAAATTACTTCGAGAAATGAAACTTCATTTATATGCTATAGTAGGGGAGCCCACGATGCAAAATAGGGATTTACTCGAGAGTCATAGAGATATATTAGGTTGCAAAGCTTAGATGATAAGAAGAAGAAAATGTTATATACTATATACCTTTTCAGCGGTGGGGGAAGCGGCTATAGATTTTTAAATATGTAAAAAAATACTGTTGAATGTACATACTCGAGCGCGTCAGACATTGATAGCATCAATGTCCTACGTATTTTTAATAATGTTCGTATGTTGATCTGATCGTTTGCATGATGCGGGTGGTTGTACGTAAGGNCAGCAGCAATTTTGATGAGGTTAGAATTTCGCTCCTTTCACTTCTTCTCTTCCGAACCGCTGATCTTTTTATGGCGGCATCCGGCAATGCTGACAATTTATGGACAATCTGAACAACATCTGAATAAAAGCTCGTCGACAGCTTGGGACTGCTGATTATTGGTTCGTTGATAGATTCTCTAGGAGTCACTGTCGATTCTTCTAAGACCAAATCGTTGGACAGTTGTGCATCGCAGGACGTCACGGAAACTTCCCCGCTGCAACTTGGTACGTTCAAGGAAGTTTCTGGCTCTTCTAGTGGGATATTGGTCATATCTGCAGCCAAATAATGTACGTCAGAAAATAAATGCCTATCAAATGGGTAAATTCCTGTGCATTTGAACCCAGATACCGCAATATCCAGCCGAGCTACTTTAGTAAACGTTTCTTTGACCTGACCAGCAATATTGTAGTCGGTTACCCGAGATCCGGCGTTTGCTCTCATTCACATGTCGCATCGTTGGTTATAAGCATCTTTGAATGGCTTCATGAATGTTCTATCCAGCGGTTGGAGCTTGTAGGTGGTGTGTGGTGGTGAGCTCATCACATGAACGTTGTTTCCTCGGCAAAAGTTGATAACTGCCAGTGTCTTGTGGCTGCAATGGCCATCCAGTAGGAGCAGCACAGGGCTATCTTTTGTCGGGTGTGAGTATTTAACGAATATTTGCAACCATTGTACGAAAAATCATAGTTCATCGAGCCGTTTGGTTGAGCCACGCCAACGCTATCGGGTGGAGCATTGATCATGAGCCTATCATTCTTCAGTTGCCTAGGAAAGACAAAAAATGGTAGTATGAAGTGGCCGTTGACATTCATACAAAACAAAACTGTTATATTTTTGTCCCTTTCAGCAGAAGTGAGATTTGCCACTTGACGGACAGCCCTACGGCTTGCATCATGCATGTTGATTCTGGTGCTCTCAATGAACTGTTCGGATGTATCTGCATGAGATCATAGTAAAATTGCTTCCCGGCAATGGGGAATCTTCATTGCTTCAGCCAAGTCGAAAGCTAACTCCAGAAACTTCTTCGTCATCAGCGGCAGACATCTATTGAATGAATCTTTTACGTGGTCCACTAAAACTTGTTTGTACTCGAGTGAGAAGGAAATCATTCGTTGCCCGTTGGTGAAATTTATAGATTATTTTGTGCCTGATTGGTTGAGTATCAACCATTTATTACTTTTTCAGAAACGCTTGGTGCTACGACGAACAATATACTGAACGATTCTTTACTGTTTTTCAACCTTTTCCAGTTTCAAAACCCTAAAAAATCAGTTGTGGACTACTCGATCTCAAACAGCTATATTTTGTTTGACAGACGCCAAAAAATGAAATGTCCAGATATCATATTCGATAAACTATATGAATATGAATATACATACATGATCCAGAGAACTGTATTTTTTCATATACTTTTTTTGATTTATTTTCAAACGAATATAAAGTTATCTATATAGTTTGCCAGTCCGGACCTATTCAATTGTCAGTTATACTTCTGATGATATATCACACATTCACTTGAGAATCCATGAATAACAATCCTTTTCATAGTTGAAAAAATTATGAATAGCTCTTCAGTCTAATGTTGAAAGTAGAACATGAACAAAAATTGTTTAGCTCATTGAAAAAACGTTATGATATAATCAGCAACTCCATATCAACCATCAATATATATCTAAGGTGATAAGTTACAATTATTTACTTGGCAAAATTGAACGAAATAGACATAAATATTAATTTCGATTCACAGGTGTAGTGATGAAGTTGTGCTGATTATGATGAGGTAGGTACCAACTTGCATTAGAAAAGAATTAGGTTTTATGCCCTGGAAAAGTACAAATCTGTTACGAAATATGATTGTTAATAATGAGTAATTGTTAAGAATGAGTTCAAATTGATTGGGGGAACCCATATGATGGCAGGGTTCTCAGAATTTTCTGCGAAAAAATATTAGAATAACGCACTGGCATATAGATATTCAAAATCAATGACATATTACATGCTACACCACAACATGAATTTCTCAAATATTTCATACCATTTCAGATGTATTTCTGGATAAATCGCTCGTTTTCAACTGTAGATAAACTAATTATCATTTCAATTTCCAGATTCCTGTTTATTATTGCCATTTTGGCAACGACTCGTGGAGCAGATCACAACGTATTCAGAAATTGTTCCAGGATACCTTTTTGCAAGTAAGTTTTGACCATCCAAGAAAATATTGGTAATTGAGCTTTATATGTATTCGGGAGTAGAAGTAACGTTCCTTTAATGACCAAAAATCCATCAAAACTAGATAGAAATATAAGCAGATTCATAATATCAGTTTAGGTGGATACAGCACTTAGCCACATGTGACCCATTGTAGATCCTCCCGAGGAGTTGTCCTCCTAGGTCATCCTCCACCCTGTCCTTTCCAGGAAGGTGGACAGGTCACTAGGACACATCTCCTTTATTCCGGCAGGTGTAGGCCAAGACTCGCCGAACACACACTCCCTCATTGACGGACTCCGGACACTCGCATAGGACATGCCTGAGAGTTTCATCTTCCTGTTCACACATCCTGCATAGAGGTGTGTCCACTAGTCCCATATTATGGAGGTGTTTCCTTAGTTGACAGTGACCAGTCAGAAATCCTACTCTAAAGCGTAGATGTTTCCTGGTCATCGCCAGATATTTCTTCGGCGCCAGCTTCTCAGGGTCGCCCAGGGTGATCCTGACAAGATTGCATCCTTTGATTTCATCCCATCTCTTAAGGGATTGAGCGTGGGTGTGACATTTGGCTGGTTCCGTAATTGTCGAAGTCAGCAGGCCGTAGATGCCGTTCGGCTTATTTGAATGAGGGCGGAATCAGAATTTTGCCAGGGGGCGCATTTTCAAATATTCCCCTGTACATTTTTTAATAACGAATGTATTTCGACGTAATTTCGACATCAAACATTCCAAATGGCCATATTTGAAAAACTGTCTTTTCCGTTCTCAACATAAAATAATAAATGTTTGCCCTGAACACGAAGACTTCTAGAATTGATGATTTCAATCGAGAGTTTGGTGCCTCCGTCAGAGGTTGAGTCATGTTTGAAGATCATCAGTGTCATTATTAGATTGACTGGTAACTCAGCTATACTTATTTTCTTATAATAGTCAGTTAGTTTGGCGCATGTTTGGCAATACAGTTGATCATCACCCGTTAAAAGTTCCATTTTCAGATGATTTGACAATAAGCTTGGCACGAACTGGTTATCGGTCATATTAGGAAACGCTAGTTGAAGTTCCAGAAAATCACACACGTTTTAGCTACCTCTTGAACATTTACTACAAAGTAAACAAGTGAGGATTTTCCATCAAAAGATCTACAAACACAAGATGAGATCATCCTTCGATCCAGAGCGGTCAGGAGTATTGATTCTGCTATTTGTTTGTTATAGAAGAGTATTCAACAAGAACCCCAAGAATTCAGAACAATCCCCTTGTTGTCCTAAGGAGTATCTACTGGACTTCTAAAGACTCCAGGAAATCGGTTGGTGGGAAGGATGATACATTTTTTCGAAACTGCATGAACAATTTTTGGTGAATAAGTTCTCGTTCATCGTTAAAACCTCATTCTTGGAATTCTTCGTCGTGAACAACACTTGTAAAATGCTATTCATGTAGCAAGTGTTTCCTGAATTTTCCTTTCAAATTTTTCAGGACAACTGTCTACTGATTCGTGAGGAAGAACATGTTTCACAGAATTTGTATCAGAACCATTTCTCGAGCTGCAATCGATCCTTCCAAGTGATGAAGAGTTTCGTAGAGGGATCAATTCGGCTCTTGCTTCATCAAGCTCTTCCGCTGAAACGTAACCAGAACCACGGCTGCTCATATTTGGGGGGCAAGAATGACCTAAGTCCATTGACCGCATTGAAAAAGAAGAAGGTGGATCAATCACTTGTGAATTAACCTTGATGGGAGACTGATGAATATACAGATATCTCGGCTTATTTCGAAGAGATTTCAGTTCCTTACTGAAATGAGGACAATGCATGATCTCATCAAAATTATGTGAAGGAGGAATAGTTCCAAGGACCAAAGCAGCATTACCACGTTGAATAGCAACACTGATTCTTTCTATCAAAAAAGAAGTGGAACGGCGATCTTTCGTTGCTGGGCAAATTCTCCTTCCGAGTTCACGAACGAATTACAGAGACTCCGGGCCATAAACACATAATTTAAGTATCGAAATAACATAATTTTTGCCTTTCCTTTCACTTCCTTGGGTCTTGTTATTAAATAACTTTATCTTATGAAATAAACAATTTTTTCAAGCTGTGTATTTCATATCTCGCTTAATTTTTTGTTTTGCACAACATCATTGACTGCGTCATTGCAAAAGAAGGTGTATTTTCTAATTTCGCCGGCTACGTACATTCTATTAGCGATTTTTTAAATTTTGATACACTCATCAAGAACATATGTTCACAATTTCAGTTGATGAGCATGTCTAGTTTTTTAGTGAGAGGCATAACAGATGGATCAATGAATGTGCATAACATTTTTTGTAAAAAATGGAAATGAATGCTCAGAAACACTTCAAATGTTGACAGTGGCATACGGTGATTTTACTCTGAGTCAGAAAAATGTTTACAAGTGTTACAAGCTTTTCACAGAAGGTCGAGAAGGTCAAATATTGAGAAAGTGGAGAAAATTGTTAAGGAGAATCACTATTACAGATGCCGAGGATCTCGGCATGTCGGTTGGCTCATACCATGCAATTTTTTTGGAAATTTTGGGCATGAAGCGTGTGCTGAATTGTTGCTGAATTGTTGAATAAATAAATATTGTTTTGGAAAAAATGAAAATTCACTTCATTTTAACAGGCTTTTATTCTTAGCTTCACCTGTATGTGTGTATGTATATTTGTTTGTAACTCCGGAATTATCGACATTATTGCTTGATCTATTCGCGAGCAGATGGCGCTATACGTAACCTCCTTGATATATTTTGAACTCATTTTACATGTATTTCTTCATTGGAAAAAAGTATATCATCGATTAACACGCTTTTACTAGCTTAACCTGTATGTAAGTTTGTTTGTTTGTTTGTAGCTCTCAAGCTCGGGATCTGTATTTGACAGAATTATCGACATTATTGCTTGATCTATTATTTTTTCAACAGACAACGTATAATAATTTTATAGAAATTCAGCACATTTATGTTCACCAGTCAATTTTTTTTCTGTACGTACACTTTCAACGACTTCACTGGCATTCCACCTAACGATATAAATAAGAAATTCAAATTATCTACCTTATCGGTGAAATTGATAACTTGGATGATTTGGAGTTTTGTTATCATTCATTTACATTTATTATCAATATAACGACGAACTTCTTAACTGCTTTCCAATAATGATATAGTTGTGTTTGAAACCAGGGGGGTGTTGCCCCCATGACCCCCCTTGTATTCGCCCTTGAATTCAGACGTATAATAGACACATACATGAAATGATATGTATATAAAGAATCTGTAGAAATGTTTATTTTTGTAAATGTACATTTTTGATATATATTTTAGTGAGTTGAGAAATATTATTCTTCCCGGGGATTCCTTATTCAAGGCAGATTTATCTTCATGGAGTTCATCGGAAAATATGGTGAAAATCCTTCTAACCAACAAAATAAATGACGCTTGTATCCTAGAATTATCTTTTCTGGGAGAAAATAAATTGAGGATCAAGATTGCTGAAGAGAATTCCAAACGATATGAGTTATCTGATGTTCTATTATCAGATCCTCCAGCAATACCGTAAGTAAATGACGTTCATCTGGGAAAAGTGTATGCGATGAACAAAAAAATTAGATGGACTCACAACAATAACTCTCTCACTTTTTTTTGTTGACAGTTCTTCCAATGTTAACGATATCAGATATGAAAAATCCACAAATATAATCATTCGCCATCTGATTTTGTAAACTGAAAGATAATTTTTTTGTATTCAATAATTTGAAACTTCATACAATGTATATTTCTGGAGAAGTTTTTCATTGAAATTCTATCAGATTTCTGGAAATTCAAAAATGTTCAAACGATCTATTTACTTTTGAATTTCAATTATTAAAAATTCCCATTAATACAAAATAAATGATATCCACAAAGTATTTACACCTTTCCTAAATTTTGAACGAACATTCCAGCTTGGGCCATATTTATATGAAAAGCACCATTTTAGTTGTGCCTGCCCCGCTGGAGATCGAATCAGGTTTTTAGAGTTCGGCAGAGCCGTACTCTTACCATTCGACCTGAAAGACCACTCACCATACAAACTAATCGGCTTCGTTTAGAAGCTGGGTTTATTTGTTCGAGTGTGAATAGGGGTGAGCCACAATAAACCCTTGTGGTTTGCGGTGGAGGGTCGAATAGACACACTCAGTTTAGACCTAACCTAACCTAACCTAGCCATTTTAGTTACTTTTTGTAAAAAACGACGGTATCACTCGCCGCCTAAAGAACGCTATCTATACGTTTCAATTGAAAAAGGGGGTCTTGTGATATTGTTTGATATATCTTTACAGTATCTATCCAAAAGTGGTTCACTTTTGGAAACTGATTAGCTGTTCCTGAGTTATTAGCATTTTTGTTGTAGGATTATACTTGAAACTGTGGATCGTAGTGAAATAGCAAAGTTGAAGTAGAACTTTAATATAATTGAGAAATACTAAATTACACGTGAAGAATAATTGACGAACTAAAGCTGTCAATAACAACACTTAGCAACCACATGAGACTACACAGGGTGAATATAAGTTGCAATTCAGTTCATGTTTCAACAAGTTCCACATTATTTTTGTGAATCTATAAACCAAAGATGAGTTTGTTGATAATTTCAATAAAACATTGGTCATAATTCTCTCCAGTTCATGCCAATTTCCAAAGAAACATTCACCTTGAAATTATTTTTTATTAAAAAAACTAAAATGTTACGTTCTCACATAAACTCAGTCAGACCTTGATATTTTGTCCCATGAGATGGGGTAACTTCCCCCCTCCTCTCATTGGGGGGTCCGTAAAATGACGGAACTTGAGAGATGTGCAATTGAAATTTCATGACAAATAGTTTGGTTATTCTCATTTTCAATTTTTTTCAGATTCAATCATTCAAAGGAGGATAGTTCATCTCTCAACTTCTATCCAACCAGTACTAGCCCAAACATAAGGGTGAAAATAACAGAAGGTCCACCATTCAGGGTTGAAATTTACAACGAAAACAACTTATTGGAGGTTGTTTTGGACGGTACCAGATTTTTCATGGACAATGTAAGTTATTTGTTAATTGACACATATATTGTAAAACTGGTGGGGATGGTTTCAGCTTCATTTGTTTATTTTTCCAACATATTTTGGTATACTGCAGCTTCATGGTCATATCGCGTTTTTCTCCAACTTTGCATTACACCCTTTCCAACAATCTTGTGTCCTGTATTATTTTGTTCAGATCCCTGGAAGCATGTCATATTCTGCTGAACCTGATTCAGGTAGTCTATAGTAAAATATAATGAACCGCCCTATTTTGTTCAGTTGCCCTCTCAATGGAAGTTGTCCACAAGTAGCCCTGTGATTATTCTGAGACGATCCCTGCTCTGTTGAACCATACCTTCAGCACTCTTCTCGGACGGTCTCTTAGAGGAGGTTTTACCGTATGTGTTTCTTGGTACTCTTTATATTTTTTACAGACCCTCTTTCCAATCTGATTCCAACATATTATTATTTTAAAATAAATCTGTTTTTCCGTTAACCACTCTGTCGCTCCCCTACAAACGACCACTCTCATAAGTAGAAACTCCTGCGAGGTAAGGACTAACGAGGTCTGTTAACGTGTGACGGGTTGGACAATAGAGATTTAAAATTGAACGTCCGGTCTCACAGCTTGAACCACCGGCTCACACAGCGGTCGAGCGGTGGACCAAACCACCCACGTCTACCCGATCGGCTACCATCCTTCATTGAAATTCCTCTCAGATTTAGCATAAAATATTTCTTAGACATATTATTTGTGAATGAAAATATATGGTCCCTTCTTCGCTAGGACATCACCCATTGTTCTTATTCCGTTATAATAGGCATTGACACCAAGTTTAATTAGCTTCTCTCTACCTGATAATTATCGCAAGTCCGGTCAGAGATACAAGTAAGTATATGATCAAAAACTTTTAATGTCATTGGAGTACCTAGTTCTCAGATCACAACTCAAGAATCTATGTCTTGAAGCATTTCTGATCACAACTCTATAGCATGTATGACAGATAGTGGAAAATTTCACAAAATTTATAGAGATCACGTCCCAAGCATGCACCATCATCGAAACACCAAATGAAAGCTTTTTCACCAAGCTGTGGCTTATACAGTATTCTTTGTTTGACGGTTGCTCATAACCACTTCAAATTTTACCTTATCTTACCGGACTAAACCTAACCTCACCTATCTTAATCCAACCAAACTAATTAGTGATAGATTATTCACCACCACCAAACTATTGTTTATTTCCCGGTACATTCATCATGCTGACTGCTGATGACTAGGTCATCAACATAACCTCACCTGTAAACTATGCTCATGGAGCTTTAGTATCAGTTGTAAGTGTATTGAGAAATTCTACATAAATCATTTGATTATTGCAGCAAAACGAACGCCAAACATTTGCCTTCTCGGTAGGATTTGATGACGCCGAAAGACTTTATGGACTACCTAGTCACGCAGTGGATTTGAAGTTACCCCAAACAGCTAATACTTCAATGGATCCCTTCAGATTGAGAAATTCTGACACTGCAGGTTATGAAGTTGGCTCTCCCATGGCCCTTTACGGATCAATACCAGTTGTATATGGACATTCGTAAGTTTCATACTTGATATACGTTTTACTTTACGGGAAATACCTGTTCAGGTACAAAATATGCAGTGTCAACAAATTATGGACAATGTGAATACTAATATCATTGTTATCAATTGAAAAGTCATTCATGGAAATCCGTGATCACGTTAGATTCTGCATTAAACTTGTCGCCCACTTGTCAGGCACAGCACAGCACGGCCCGTCCCGTATAGGATTGGAACAATGAAAATGAATGGATAACTTGCCTGATATGAATTACTGAGAAGTCCAATTAGTCAGTAACTTGTCGTTTCGTGAATTTTGCCTACAGATTGAAAAAAAAATCAATTGAAGAAATTTAATATCAATTTTCAAGATAGCTAAGTAATGATATTCAATATTTTCAGTATAACCTATAAATTACTAACAAATCATTTTTCATATATGAATCAATGTATAGGTTGAAGGTGCAAAGTAATATACACATCTCGGTGTTGAATAGTAAATCTAATTAGCTAATGTCAATTGTTTTTCTTTAGATCCAAATCCACATCTGGTATATTTCTACACAACGCTGCTGAACAATGGGTCGACATATCCTACACGGGTACTCGACCATCAGCATATTTTATGGTTGATAGTGGAACCCTGGATCTGTTCGTTCTGCTAGGTCCTACTCTTAAGGAAGTTGTTCGGCAGTTCACAGATTTAACAGGAGTCACAAACTTGCCACAGGTATTTCAACACAATTCTTTCGAAAAGAAAAACATACTTCAGTCATTGTAATATGAATGTAGGCATACATGTTTTAAATTCTCATTGCTATTAATAAATGGTATTGTCGTCTATAATGTGTCAATAGTCACAAACGTTTTTTAAAGGGTAGATTGTAGGTAATCTGAACTATGGTTGAACCATCCAAGAGTATTTGACTTACCTTTCTGATAAAATTGCAACCCGTTTTCAATGTATCTTTCAATATTTTCACCAAATAATAACCAGAGGTTTCTCGTTTCATTTGCAAAGTTTGATATCGATATGAGTGAAATTTCAAAATGGAGTAATATTGAACTCGTTGTTTCATTTCGTTTTGAATTTTAGGGCTCGAATAAATAGCGTTTCCTCGACAACGTTCCAGAAAGATTCAACAAGTTTTCGTCCCCACACTTTATTCTCAAGGAGGCTTTGAAGTTGCGATCATTTATCACTGGCTCAGGGTCATCGACCCTGAATCAGCAAGACTCTTTCAATTAGTGAACGGTGTCCTTAAGAAATGAACTTCCTGAGAGGTTTTTTCCAAATAAATATAATCCGCAACGATTTAATCGGTACTTTCGCTCAGAAACCTCTCAAATTTTTCTGTAGTATTTGTGCTTTCTCATGAAGAATACACCAGTTTTCACCTCACTGAAAATGGTAACCATCAAACCAAACGAAACGAGCAGAATAATAATAAGGTCTTATTTTTCAACAAACGATTTCCAGCATATCACACTTCCCGAGTTATCTTAATTATTGTACAACATATCAATATCGCTGTTCTTCATATGCGTAGTTCTGTGAATTGTTCGTGCGAACAGTTCCTTGATTTCTGAAATCTTTAGGTTCGTAAATGTCAAAAGCAGAAATTCAAATGCCAGTCTCACTTCATTCGTTCTGCGAGTAACAATTGAATCGCAGAAGTTTCCAGGAATCGTTCCGAAATAGTGATAGAATAGCCGCCCTGTGTAATAGTTCGTATAATAGTCATATGATATATTGTATAATAGAATAGACCTGTAATAGAGTAGCTGCCCTGTATAAAAGATCATATAATAGTCGTATAAAAAAAAGTGTAATAGAATAGTCACCCTGTGAAATATCGTATGATAGTCGCATTATATCGTGTAAAGAATAGCCGCCCTGTATAATAGATCGTATAATAGTAATATAAAAACGTGTAATAGAATGGCCGCCCTGTATAATAGATCGTATAATAGTCATATAATAGATCATGTTGTAGAAACGCCGCTCTATAATAGAATAGATGTGTAATAGAATATATGTGTTAAAGGATAGCCGTCATGTAATAAAACAGACGTGTAATGAAATAGCCGCCCCGTATGATAGATCGTGTAATAGAATTGCAACCCTGTATAACTCATCCTATGTTTGTCATATAATGGGCCATGTAACAGAATAGCCACCCTGTAATAACAAAGACGTGTAATAGAATACCCGCCATATATAATAGATCACTGATGTATCTGCTGCTAAATAAAGATGATTATTATTATTATTATATAATAGTCGTATAGAGAAGTGTAGTAGGAGAAGTAGTGTGTATAGGAGTGTAGGAGTGTAGTGTATAGGAGAAGTATTGTAGGATAGCCGCCATGTATAGTAATAGAAAAGACGTGTAATATAATAGTATGATCTAATATATGAAAATAGATGTTTGTTGGTTGGTAAGTGATAAACCTCTACAGCGCTCAACCGATCGTGATGAAACTTGACATGTATAAGTGATTTTTTATAGAGAAGGTTTATCGGCTATCAATTTTTCTGTAACTCGCCACTAGATGGCGCTGTAGAACAATTTTTTTTGAAAGCACTGTTCTATAACGCTGCGCACGCCTGAGTTCATTGATTCTGATTCTGTCAAAACATTGGAACAGCAGCGATACAGCAACATAGTACTAGCTGTACAGTACAGGGCATAACAAAAGTGTAATATGATAGAGGTGTAATAGAATAGACGTGTTATAACATAGCCGCCATTTAATAGAATAGACGTGTAATGAAATAGTCGCCCTGTATAAGAGATCGTGTAAATGAATAGCCGCCATGTATAATAGATAATTTGATAGTCATATAAAAAAGCGTAATAGAATAGCCACCCTGTATAAACGATCGTATAATAGTCGTATAGTAGATCATGTTATAGAATAACCGCTCTGTAATAAAATAGACGTGTAATAGAATAGACGTGTAAAGAAATAGCCGCCCTACATAATATATCGTGTAATAGAATTGCCGCCCTGTATAACTCTTCGTATGATAGTCGTATAATGGGTCATGTAATGGAGTAGTCGCTTCGTAGAGTAGTCGTATAATAAATCGTTAGCATATCGTGTAATAGACGTTCAGTGTGAATAATCGTTTTGGTCTCAATTTAGCCTCACGAAACAAATACATCATCGTCTTCAATTGTTTGGTGAACTTTTCTAAAAGTATAAAAACTTTATCGTTCTATAATAAAAAACTCATCTACATATTTTGTAGTTGTGGACCTTGGGCTATCATCAGTGCCGGTGGTCTTACTACACCCAAGAACAAGTCAAAGAAGTTGTAGCCCTCATGGACACCCACAATTTCCCAATGGACGCAATATGGTTGGACATTGATCACACAGATGGAAAAAGGTACTTCACTTGGAATCCTCAAAACTTCAGTAATCCCGAGGAAATGCAAAGGAATTTATCGTCAACAAACAGAAAACTAGTCACTATCTCAGATCCCCATATAAAAGTTGATATGAACTATAGCGTATACGCTGGTGCTAAAGAAAAATTTTTCGTGAAATGGGAAAACGGAAGTGATTTTGAAGGTGAGTGAAGTAAATAGTTCTGTCAGTGAAAGCATTTTTATAGATCAGACTTAAAAGTTGTTTAATATTGGTAGGGTGTGAAGTTGTACGCATCAACAAAGCTCACTGAGAGAAAACAATTAGGTTATTTCATACTATCCATGATGTCTCGTATTTCATACAATAGTGGATAATTGCAAAACTCAATTAGATAAATGATGCTATAAATGTAATACGCATAAATACAGACGGCTCAAAAACCAAAGAAGGCTCAGGATGTGAAGTGTACTCCAGATTACTAAGCCTGACGATTAAGTGGGAAAAATATCAGCGTGGTTCAAACCAAGCTGGCTGGTATCTCAATCGCCACAAAAAAATAACCAGGAAAGGAATTCCTGGCAAAAATATAACAATCTGCACTGATAGTAGACAAGTCCTATAAGCCTTGAACAGACAACGTGTTACCTCAGGGCTAGTACTAGAGTGCCACCAAGATTTAGCCAAAGCCTCGGTAGATAATAACATTATCCTGAGTTGGATTGAATGGCACGACAGGGGTAAGGGTAATCGCATTGCCGGCTCTTTAGAGAAAATAAACGGCCGCACTAAGAATTTTAGGACCCAGTGACACCTACGGCCTGATAACTTCGACAATTGCGGAACTAGCCAAACGTCACACCCATGCTCAATCCATGAAGAGATGATATGGAATCGAAGGATGCAATCTTGCCAGGATCACCCTAGGCGACCCTGGGAAGCTGGCTCCGAAGAAATATCTGGCGATGACCAGGAAAAATCTACGCTTAACAGTAGGATTTCTGACTGGTCACTGTCAATTAAGGAAACACCTACATAATATGGGGCTAGCAGATACACCTCTATGCAGGATGTGTGAACAGGAAGATGTCCTATGCGAGTGTACGGAGTTATCGTCAATAAGAAAGTTGTGTGTTCGGCGAGTCTTGGGCTACACCTGCCGATATAAAGGAGATGTCTCCTAGTGATCTGTTCACCTTCCTGGAAAGGACAGGATGGACGATGATTTACGAGGACAACTCCTCAGTGCTGTGGGCTTACACTCATCCTCCCTACTCTACAGATACAGATAGATAAATGATTAATTCTGATAGAACACATAGAAACCTGATGATGTCTCCTTCAAGACAGCATCATAAGTTTGCTAATAATTCACTCTCAGCAGATCTGAGAAACGAAAATCGTGAAAGAACTCATCCATATCCTGACAGATACATTTTCATCTCTTGAACTCACTGAATCTCCCAATATCTTTTGAATACTCTTCCTACTCCAGAATCATATATGATTAGTTTTCGAATTCCAATGATATCACTGTATTGTTTGAATCATTACCGTAACGTAAAATTTCATTGAGGAATTATTTTCGTTCGTACGCATAACTTTTATTAGTTTCGTTGTTAAAATAAATTCAATTCAACTCCTGAGGAAATGAAACATTACTGCCACTATATTCTTGAATTTTAGGAAGTTGCTGGCCGGGATTGTCAAGCTATATAGATTTCCTCAATCCGGAGGCTAGAAAATTCTATTCAACTTGGTACTCCTACGATAAGTACAATGGAAGTACAGACGTTTTAGCTGGCATTTGGAACGATATGAACGAACCTTCTGTATTCGATGATTCCCTTGAGAAAACCATGCCATTCGAGTTGGTGCATCATGGCAATGTAAAACACCGAGACATCCATAATATCTACGGGTTTCTTCAGGTACTGACAACTATTTCAGGTTTTCTGTTTTTTCAATATTTAAAATGTAATATGGAAAAATCTTATGTCACGTTATTCGTGGTCGCACTCCCCCGAAACGGCTCGACCGATAAATATTGAATTGTCTGTGTATATTTGGTAGGAATGAGAATAAGCCGGATTTTTTCATTTGGCATCAAATTCCATACCCCATAGGAATGATTTATAATGCAGAACGTTTGCCGGATCAGCTAGTAAATCGGTACGACCAATCAGCCTTACATCCTTCCTGTTGAAAGGATTTGAGAAGATACTGGACGGAGGGTGGCATTATATGCATCCCCCCTCAATAACCACCAATAAGCTTATCAAACCGGCAAATCGACAGATTCTGCATTAACCAACCTTGTAGGGAAAATATCCCAATTCCTTGACAAAAAGAAGATTGCGATATGGAAGGAGCATTTGACAATGCACTACCTAAATCTATAGAATCGTATCTGGCTAGGAACAGTAAAGAATCAACCATAACTGGCTGGATCTATGCCATGCTGGTAAACAGAACTGCAACTACGACTCATCAAGATGAGGCCATTAGGGTAAGGATCACCAGGGGCTGCCCTCAAGGTGGGGTACTATCTCTTCTTCTGTGGTCGATCCTGATCTACTTGATGCCCTCGATAGAAGAAAAGTAGATCTGCAAGCTTATACAGATGACCTTGTCATCTTGGCAAGGTCAACGTCGAGCAGGGTAGCTTGTAATATCCTTCAAAGCACGTTGGACCTTGTTTAGAGTTGGTGCCTGAGGGAGCAGATGTCTGTCAAACCCAGCAAAACTGTGATAAGTGTCTTCACCAGGAGGAGAAAATTGAAAGATCTAACGCCACTTTTCCTCAATGGTGTGGTCATTCCATTTGGAACGGAGGTGAAATATCTTGGCAATGTCCTTGACAAAAAAGTCACCTGGAACACTCACTTAGAAAAAGTTTTACACAAAGCCAAACTATTCCTATGGACATGTCAAAGGATTGATAGAACTTGGGGTTTAGGTCCCAAACAAATCCATTGGATTCATGTGATGATTGTCAGACCAATTATGGTGCAATTGCCTGGTGGCTTCACAGAAAACGTCCCAGACAAAGCTCTCTGGCTTACAGAGACAGGCTTGTCTCGCCATCAGTACCACACCGTCAGCGGCCATGGAGATTTTTACAGATCTACCTCCTCTCCACATTTTTTTGGAAAAAGAGGTTAGATAGACTGCGTATAGGCTTATGCACATTGCCAATTGCACAAATCAATTTTATGCAGAGTGCAACAGACTGTTGGTTGACACTGGAAGTCACAGCATTCTGGAAATGACCTCTGACTTTATGACTCCAATTGTCAACTACGAACTGCCTTATAAAGTACTGTTCCCGAGTAGAGAGGACTAGATCCTCCGGGAGAAGGAAATATTAAGAGCAGATAGTTGTTGGTTCACAGATGGATCAGAAACACCTTCCGGTTCTGGGGCAGGTGTTTTCAGTCACATACCCAGGACAGAGATATTGACCTGCTTAGGAACCTATGAGACTGCATTTCAAGCGGAAATTTGTGCTATTGAATTGTGTGCGGAGAGATTGGAAGAATCCAATCTCATACACAAGTCAATAAAAATATTCTTGGACAGTCAAGCGGCGTTGGAAGCTCTTGCCTCCTGTTCGCTCGCAGTTTGTGAATACAGGTACAAATTATATAGTTTGGCAAAGTGAGTAGGTCCATTCGACTCTCCACCACAATCCGCAAGAGTTTATGGTAGCTCACACCTATTCACACTCCACCAAATAAACCCAGCTTCTTAACGAAGCCGATTAGATTGTAAGGTGAGTGGTCTTTCAGGTCAGATGGTAAAAGTACGGCTTTGCAGAATTCTAAAAACCTAATTTGGTCCCCAGCGGGGCAGGCACAAAGTATATGCTCTACTGTTTCATCATTTTCCAAGAAGAGGCGATACACACTGTCTTTCGACAGTCGGTGTCTCTGCATATAATGATTCAAATGACAGTGACTGGTAAGAAGGCTTGTAAGACATCGTAGTTCATCCCTACTGTGGTCCAACAACTGTTTGGTATCAAACTTCGAAGGGTGAATAAATGCCTTGGAGTGAGCCAATCCTGGAAGATTCTGCTAGAAGTCCATGAATCTTCTTGCCATTCAGGTGTTCAATGTTTGTTCGGCAGAGCCTAAAGCGATGTCAATGACAGGTTCCGGTCTGATGGAGGTGCTTTACAGCACCCTCCTTTGCAAGGGAGTCAGCAGCCTCAATGCCTTCGAGGCTAGTATGTTCAAGAATCCAGACTAGAGACAATCTGTTAAGTCTTCCTATCGAGGAGATTCGTTTTTGGCAATTTGATACCAATTTAAACGTTGCTTGGTAGAAGCCAAAAGCTTCCAACGCTAGCTGATTCCACTTGATCGCTACCGAGAGTGGTAACAACCCTTTTTTGTATCGGGGCGGCTTGAGAATTATTTACCAGTTCACTATTCCGGGCTAGTAGGCCATAGTCGAATGGAACTGGTAGTATCAAAAGTTTTGTTTCCCACTACGAAGCTGGAATGTATTGGATCGGTTGAAAAATGCATTTTTGCTACACGCTTCATTTTCCAGGTGGAATTATATGCAATACTAAAACGTGCAGAATACAGTTTTCTCACAGGCCACTAGGCCACACTTAATTTATCGATGGATTTTCATCCCAACAGCAAACCGCTATTTTCAATATTTCGACACGTGTTTCAATCACGAAGTGATCATCTTCAAGAGGAAGATTAAATTGAATTACATATAATATTTTCCTTATTTATACCATAGATATCTCTGCTAGGTACCTGTGTCTTAATTGACTCAAATTGATTTTACATGTTGCTTTATCTACTAGTTTCAAATTAATTTCTAACAGTCAGGTAAATCTGAAATATAAAATATTATTTCAACAAGCTCTATAGTATACCATTAGGTATTGGTCCACCATCGTTATTGAAGTACGATGGTGAACTAATACCTAATAGTATACTAGATAAGGCAATATTGCCGATAAGGCAACATGTAAAATTATTTAAAGACACTTAAGGCGCAGGTACTTAGCAGAGGTATCTGTGGTATAAATAAGGACAATATTACATGTAATTTAGTTTAATCTTCCCCTTACAGATGATAACCTGGTGATTGAAACACGTGACGAAGTGTTAAAAATAACGATTTGTTGTTGGGATAAAACTCCAGTAATATTCATTATTACACCGAAGGTTCCATAACATGGTCTCGGAATGTTGTGAAAAACTCAAAGAACTGGTGAACAGGAATATATTGATGATTTTGGAATCATTGGTGAATATGGGTCCTGAACGCTGTAGGGTTAGGTTATGTTAGGTTAGGTCCAAAGCGAGTGGGTCTATTCGAGCCTCCACCGTAACCCGCAAGGGTTTATTGTGGCTTACACCTAATCACACTCGACCAAGTAAAACCAGCTTTTTAACGAAGCTGATTAATTTGTATGGTGAGTGGTCTTTCAGGTCAGATGGTATGAGTACTGCTCTGTTGAACTCTAAAAACCCGATTCAGTCCCCAACGGGGCAGGCACAAAGTATACGCTCTGCTGTTTCATCATTGATGAGGTAGTCAGATAGTCAAGGTACAAGATTCCCACGTTGATACCCGCGACAACATTTCCATATGAGGGTATTTGCACGTTAGTTTGCTTCTGGTTTTGGTGAATCATCTGTTGAGCGCAAACGTTTGCTAACCTGCTCATGGGGGGTTTGTTCCTCCACCTGAGACAGATTCTGCGTACGCCGCTCAAGAATTTGGTGCAAGGTGGTTTCAAAAGGTACCTCGCTCTTGAGGAGACGACTCAGTCGTTTCCTGTCGTTACTGTGCTACATCATTCATCGACTTTTCTTGCTTGTGTTTGCCTTTCAAGGACAGTTGAGATCAGACTTATAGTGCTTTCGGTTTCAATATCCTCCTTATATTTTTAGACGAAAGCCTCCTATCAGGGTCTCCTGGACAGAGACAACGGAAAGAAACGACCTTTCGTGCTGACACGTTCTCACTTTGCTGGCAGCCAGAGATATGCAACAGTGTGGACTGGGGATAATACCGCAGATTGGCCTTATCTTAGAGTCAGTTACTCTGAATGTCTCTCACTGAATCTTGTTGGGATTGCGTTTTGTGGAGCCGATGTCGGAGGGTTCTCCAACAGCCCTGATGTGGAACTGTTGCAAAGATGGTATCAGGTAAGTCTTTCGATCACTTATATATAGAGTGTTACGGATTATTCACGGAATCAA